TTGATGTTCAGCGATTCGGCTGCATTCTGTGTCTTGCCATGAAGGCACCGAATAAGGAGTTTCTCCTCTGTAAGGCGCTTGTAGATAGGCATAATTGCCAATCCTTGAGCCTTCGTCAACAGTGGGGTGTGGCGTGGTGCAGGCTCCCCCAGTGCTTCCGCACGCTTGTGCTTGCACCACGAATTTGATCCCGCGGGGCAAAAGTTGTGGCTACTGGCACCATCACTGGAGCAGCAATGAAAATACGATGCCCATATGGCAGTGTACATATTTCGGACACTGTCCTAGTTGCTCGCGATGGCGATCTTGTAATATGTTTGTAGTTTTATTATTGTCGCATCTTTCAGTTTTTCGCCTCGTGGCAGTGGCGTTGCCAATTTCCGTAGGGCAGTTCCCAAGCGCTTTGCAACGTGGTTCGTGCACTCTTCTTTGTCAATGGGGGTGTCACAGTATACATTTGCCTCGCAGACTGCAGTGTAGGCCTTGCTGTCACCATCACTTAGGAAGCTGGTGAATCGCAGTGGAGTTTCATAAGACAAGGTCCTCTGCCATATATTGACAGCTGCCGCAGGTTCTATTGCATGGGATGAGCAGTCAGTGTTTTTTTGGCAAACTGCAAGATGAAAAGCTCGCCATATCTCTTCATCCTCCACAAGGTTCCTGTGTATACTGCAAGCATGGCAGTAGTTCGAAAGAACTTCAAAATCGAGGCAGAGCCCCGTGTCCAGGGACACGATTGTGCCCACTCCATTGTGGCTTTTATGACCTCTTTTCTGCCAGGTGCCATCAAACATGACTGGCACATCTCTGCCGCCGACTGCGTCCTTCGTGATGTTTCGTGCCTAGTGCAAGTTTTTGCTCAGTGCCATCATCGCCGCACCATGGAGCTTCTTGCAAATGCTGTTGAATGTCTTGTGATGCATCGGGCTCGGAAGACCGAGAATCGCACAAAATCGTGAAAGTTGGTCGTGGCCTGCGCCTATAGCGCGTGCTGCCAGAACTGCCTTCACGTTTACAGCAAAGCTGTCACGCGAGCTGCCGCTGTCAAAACGAGCGCTCGTTCCTTGGTCCCCGGCCGAAGCAGTACGTCTCGACGTGTGCGTGAACGAAAGTGCAGATTCAGGGCAATCAGAATTTTGACAGCACAGTTCGAGGAATGTCGAAAGTCCTTTGCGCTTTCCAGCTGCCTCTCGCACGCCGAGCTTTCGTTCGCGGCAGGTTGGGCATTGCGCACCCGCCACAAGTGCCGTCAGCGCATCGATTTCGCAAAGCAGCATGTTCGCAGTAGCAGCATCTACCGGTCTACGTTCACTCTCGAAGAATCCAATCTTCCTTTGGGATGCACTGACGAATTCCATGGCAGCGGCTATTTCACAACCACTGTCGCAGGGTTCGGTGACGGTGTTAGGCCTATCCGAAGTCGGAGCGTCGGGGCGTTGGTCAGGGGCGACATCGTCGTTCGCTGTCGCTTTGCGAAGCGTCCGACGCCGTTTCCCTCGATACTTGTGACGAGTTCTGAACTTTCGATTATCTGAACTGCACTTCTTCGGGCTTGCCATGACGCAAAAATGCAGAGAAACGCAGAAAAACTCGATCGCGACGTCCGAGGCTTCGCTCTTTTGCCGGAGAGATAGGAGGGGGAGGAGCGTGGAGCGCACCGCCGTCCAATGGCGGCCTCGCGCTGTGTGCCGCGATATTCAAAACGCGTGACGTACGCGTTGTTTTTCTCGTTTTTTGTTTATTCTGCGTGAAGGCACGAGACTGGCTACTAGTGGATTATGAAGGATACGGCCTTCGCAGCATGCGTGCACGATTGCAAATGGCGGCCAACGCGTCGTTTTCGCGACAGGACGACGCGAACTTCGCCGTTTTTCGCGACTTTCCCGCATTTCTCACGTAACTGCCCACTTGGAAGCATTTTTTGATAATTTCTCGTGCGAATTTCAGCTTGATATTTTCAGAAGTAATAGATTATAGTCCAAGGATGCCAATACAGCCGGAAAAAAAAAAAGCGAAAATTTTCCGGAAAACCGCGACTTTTCGACCCGCGTCTCCCCTTAAATATGGCATTGGCATCCCCATTTTTTTTGCCACCCTGATCTACTGATGTACTGCTGTTTTTGCTAGAAGCAGCAGTCTTGTATTATGTTTACATGTGCCTGCAACGACAATGCAAGCCATGTTCTCACAATCAGACATCGGGTGAAAGGTAGATGAGCACTAGAACAGACAGGAGTGTTGAAGATTGGGCGAGTTGGTTCGTCGTACTTGAACTGGTATAGCGCATTACGGGGAAGAAGAAACGGCCGAGCAGACCGACACGCTCTGTCCTCTTGTGTCGGTCTGCTCGGCCGTTTCTTCTTCCCCGTAATGCGCTATACCAGTTCAAGAACAGACAGGTCTTGGCGAAGGAACTAGGCCTTGCAACATCACCATGAACGATTATTGGTGATGTGCACATTGGCCAACTTTTTGATTTACACAAAAGAGATGCTGAGCAAACCTCCCGAATAAACCTCAAGCAATCAAACCTTTCATGATAAGAAAATAACCACAAAGGACACATTACATCACCTTTGTCACAGTACTCGGTGTCCTAAGGTTACTAAGGTTAGGAAGGGGCTGCTAGCGGTTGCGGGTGATAACCAGAGGCCGGATTTATAGGCATTAAAAAACCGCGTATTAGGCTGCAAAAATAGATGGGCAAGACACTGTTTTATGCCCCAAATTCATAAATATAGGCACAATAAACTTTGACTAAATTCAAATTTTCAAAGATATACGTGTGAGGTCTGTGTCGATGACTGGAAAGCAAACAGAAATGTTTCATTTTATCATGCTACAAAGGTGCCAATTGTTTAGCATAGCCATGCGTTTTTTTTCCTGCAGGGTTTGCAGAATACGGTCTCTTCTTTTTTAGTCTATCCTGGTGAGTTAAATGTCCACGGTCGAATAATTGCGTTCCTGGGTCTTCGTCTTTTCGGCATGGCTGAGAAGGGCAATACAGAGCAATAAAAAGCAAATAGCCAGAGTGCTAATAGGCCAGAAGGGTCTTTTTGCCTCGTATTAACTTGGTATAACCAACCACACAGGGTCAATTTTTCTTCTGCCTGTGAACACCTTAAAGGACCCTTCCCCAGGTTTGATCCTTTTAATCAAGCAAGAGGAATGCATGCACTGGGCGCTCACAACCTCATCTGCCAAGGTTTGCAACGTTACCAGCACCAGAAAGAGGTGAAATGTCATACTAGACTCCACTTGACCTTCATCGCACGAGCGCGCGCCCCAACATAGCGGTGACGTATACAACAAACAATGGCCCTCCGTACGTTAAGGCGTTCCTTAACACTGCGAGAATTATTCGAAGTGGCATGTGTTTTTTAGCGATATATTGCCTGAATAGAAGTATGAAGGTTGACAGAAATATTAAAACATACAAATTGAATCCATGAGCATTATTTTTTTAACAACGTATCGAGCAAGATGCGAGACTAAGCTGCTTCCATTTTGTTTGCATTGATTTTCTCGCCGTTCTCTCATCGTGCCAGTGCCAGCATTCACGATGCTTGGCGTGTTTTTGGTACATCGTCCCTTAGAGCAGTTCCAGTGGTGTGATTTTGTGTATCGTGGTAAGGATACATGATTAATGGCAGCCTCTCCAAACATGCACGCATATAGGGATTCATGCCACAGAAACAGGCAGTGCATTATAGAAAATGTGAAAATAACACAACCCTGCTTGCGTGCATGACCTGGCATGGGCATGTCATGTGAATGTAACCTTGAATGTAAACATTCGACAGATGTCTGTCTGGTTGGTTATGAAAACTAGGAAATGATTTAAACTCCAGCTTAAAGGTTTTGAAGAAACTCGACGTTTCGGAACCGACTTGGTTCCTTCCTCAGGGAAAACTGGGACTTATCAGAGAGGGGGGTCACTAACCGCTTTGAAGACGCCGCTGCTACGTAGTCCCAGTTTCCCCTGAGTGTTGTTTTCTCAGAATTCAGGCCTCTTATGGCACACAGCATACCTAAAGCACGCTAAAATTTTCTGGTAGATGTCTTTTGTTTACCGTCTGGCCATGTTGGGCACGTTCACATGGTCATATGGTAAACAAGAGCTGGTGCATGTAGACAGTACTTTGTCGTAAAAAAAATGCAACCAACATAATCTTCATCTTTGACAGTCCCATTCAAGCATTTGTTAGATGAGGAGACCCTTTGTTTATGCGACAGCAGCCCCTTCATTTCAACATCACAGTCCATATACTCATACCTCATTGCCAGTAATGACTAACTTTGCAATATTCATGGCAAAATTTAACACACGCATTGTTCCTCAACCTCTTTCATTCTCACTTTGGCACTGATCCAATGAGCAGAATGTGAACACGTTAACTTCAGTGGATGTAGCTTGCTAAATAAGTCGAAGCGAAATGTAGCCAATTACAGTTTGCAGTGCAAGTTTGCCGCTATGTGCGCTTGGTAGCCACCAGCGTTGTCTCAGCCAATTGGTACACTATTTTTTCAAAAGTTCAGTTTCTTTTTGTACACATCTCGTATACACAATGAGAACTGATCATTTAAGTTTTTCTGGATAATTGACATAGTCATAAATTTGCATTATTCAAATGTTCCATTATCCAAATTCAACAGAACACTCCTACTATCTTTCAACCTAGACAGGGTATTCACATTACTATTTTGCCAGTTACTACTTTGGTGCCTTTGATGACTCTACAACTTTGATGCCAGTACAGAATCAATGAGCCTGTTCTGTTTTGCTACAAAATGATGGTTGTATGAGGGTACTGTCCTAAACAATGAAGTTAATAACTAAAAGTTTCGAGAATGAAGCTCTCTTCATTAGGGTTGTGTGCGAGTCGGCGACGAAATTCATGACCATAGATGGCCTCGAATATGACCTTGCCTTCGGATATAAGATATGCAAAGTGCTTTGCCTAAAAATAAATTTAATAAAAGAGCTACACGTTACTCACATTCTCCCCTCCTTCCACATCAGGTCGATATGGATAATGTAGATAGAATAGGTCATTCTTCACCATCTTCTTGCGCATACGACATGGCCCAGCTGCAGGAACAAAGTGCTTTTCAATAAATGAGCTTACTATGGAGCAAAAACATTATATCCAAGGGCTTAAGTGGTTTCTCCAAATAAAAGTAAAACAGACAAAAAGAAGTGCTCGAAGTGCGTTACTCTCTCTTAGAGGGATTGCAGCAGACAGAAAACGAGACCTAAAGAAGCACATGAATGTTTAAAGTGCAGTCTTCATGCCTATATAGCCTGCTTATCTATGTAGTTGTCCCTGTGCACACAAGTGTTCTTTCTCCCACCCAGTAAGCACACTAAATTGTTTAATTATTTTTATTTTCTACAACACGCCCTTTGACTGCCATTGTCAGCAAAGCAGGCACCTGCTGCCTTGTTGAATATGTCGACAATGCCACTAGGTGACTGGTGCATGAATAGAATGTGTTAAAATGCGAGTGACACCACGTGATTGAAAAAAGGAACACAAACGAGGAGACAAACACAAGTTATACAGCGGAAATCTTATTTACCTGGCAGGATCCAAAGTTACCGTATTTACTCGCGTATTGAATTCACAAGCATAATAAGCCCAATAAGCCCACCCCCCCACCTTGCTCCTTCGGAAAAAAAAAAAAAGCTTTGTTTAGTGCATCTGTTCATTTTATTTTGGTATGATAGCCAGAGTCGTTGACCAAAACATTAAATCAAGGCATTATATCACATGATATAATATGTGGGGTTTAACATCCCAAAACCACCATATGATTATGAGAGACACTGTAGTAAAGGGCTCCGGAAATTTTGACCACCTGGGGTTCTTTAACATGCACCGAAATCTGAGCACACGGGCCTACATTTCCGCCTCTATCACAAGTGCAGCCACCGCAGCCGGGATCCGAACCCGGACCTGCGGGTCAGCAGCCGAGCACCTTAGCCACTAGACCACCGCGGCGGGGCAAGCCATTATATCACAAAATAACAACGCAATAGAAATGAAAAGATATTTTAGAAAACATACTAAACAGTTGCGAGCAGCACGAGCGCGACGACGTTAATAAAAAATTTGAAAGTCGCTCCTTTTGCGGCAGAGCCCCATCTGTCGAATGCAGGAGAAACCTCTTTGCTGATAGTGCCACACAAGCACAAAAACAAAGCACGTGGCCTCCGAAATGATGGATGCGCGGCATAGAAACACGCCGCGCGCTCGCCCATCTTGGAGGCCATGCAAAGTGCAACCATAACGACGGCGCGTCGTGCACCCACAACGTCTACCGCAACATTTGTATGCCGCCATCTGACACTGTGTTTTTGTTCTGGGGTTTGTCAATGTGAACCTTTATTGGGACACCTGCTGCGCAGGGCGCGTTTGGGCGGTACGGTAGCTACACGGCGGGTTACGAACAGCATGCGATGTAGCATGGAAACCAAGCGGCTGGAGAACACTTCAGCGTCGGTTCGTGCGCTTTCGTTAGGGGAGGAAAAAAAAGAGCTTCTGGCTACAAAAAAAGATTTGTCGCGCATTTCTCGGGCCAAAATAAGCAAAGTCGTCAGGCGAAATTTTCACTGTCGTAACTCCCGTGACTTTTTCTTTCTTCTGCGAAAGGAACCCTTCCCCCAATATGGCGTAAACTTTTCTAAAAAAAAAAAAAGGTGGGTTCACTACGTGAGTAAATACGGTATGTACCTTTTCTTTCATGCATGTGAACACTCAGCATAATTAAAAATACATTCCAGGTATGAATTTAAAGATCTATGGTCTGCAATGTGCAACAAAATAATTTCACCTCAGTGGCATACATAACCTGGCACTACACTGTCCCGAATTAGCAACGTTGTGCACTTTACATAAAAAAAAAGTCCTCTGGAAAGGAGACCCTTAGTGGGAAAGGTAAACTAAATGTTAATTAAATTACCAAGCTGAGTAAATCAGGCTGAGCATCAAAATTGCACGAAAGCGATATAAAAGTTAAGTAAAGCAATCATGGCTCCATACCAGAATATTACTTCAAAAAAGTGCAATCAAACCACACTCTGTGTCCGGAAATTCCCGAGCCACAGTGTTGCCAAACTCTGGAAAGCTACATGTTTGTACTACAGAATGGTAGGAGGAAAATTTCTCACTTTTGCCTATCGAAATTTTAAAGTGGGGATATGGGGTTAGAATGCACTCTTATATTCAGACTAAATTTCATAAAAATTTGCACTTACATAAACATTTACATGATGATTCCACAAATAGAATGACTTTTTACATAGACTGAATGGTGTTTGAACAAGAAAAAGGAAATTAAACTAATCATTTAGCAGTTTATAGGACAAAGTGCAAAGAGAGCACCAGTTATAATGCATATAGTGTTGACATATGGCTGGATACTCCAAAGCATATGGAGCACAATCAGGAATGCTTCATTTTAGCACGCAGGAATTAGCAATATTGAATCAACTTAACATTCCATGTCCACACATGCCGGTCATGCAGGTTAAATCGAGACACTCTTTGTGACCGGCATGATAGCGCACTAGAAAACAAAGGAAGTGCTGACAAAAGCATGAGCTTGTTGCTCTCCAGGTGTGGTGTTCTTTTTATGCCATAAAGTCTGCATGTAGAGAAATCATGCACACCACCACATTTTCGCTACACTGTAGTAAATCATCATCTCATCACTGTCAAGAAATGCGAAACCACGTGATGACTGGCTCTGTACTTTTTGTGTGTTCCCTTCTACTTTTGAAATGTGTGAACACGAAAAAATGGTAATGGTATGGGAAAAAAGAGAGGAAAAAACTGTGGGAGCCAGCGTACTCTAATGTTTGTGTGAACGCCACTGCCACCAATCCCACAAGGCATTGGCCAGAATCAACGCCTGCTGCTAAATGGCTCGAGCAGCTTTCCGCATATTGCACACCACCAGTGTCAATAAAAATGCCTGGCCATGCAACATCACAGGTGCTCATTAAGAATTTTAACGTTGGATGAAGGGCACTGCTTGGATGCTGGAAATTTGCTCCATAACAGTCATGCTTTATGTGAGTGTAGTGACTGAGGGTTAAAATCTCCTGACTCACAGATTTGGGTTTACAGTGCGAGTGCTTGCCGGTTATGACTAATCACTTTCTGTGTTCCTTTTGAAATTCTTCCATAGTCACCGATAACCAAGGTAGGCAACAGAATGACACGACAAAGTGCTGTTTTCAGTACTGGTGGAGATATGGAGCACTGCAATGCAGTCAGGACCAGAAGAAAAGGGAGGCTAATGTTAATCAAACACCATTTTATGAAATGTGAAAGAAAAAAGTAATTTATTACAATTATTCTTACTTTCTTGGCACTGCCTCAGACTAGATTCCTTGGCAACACATTAAAAAGGGTACAGCCTCATTGGCACCACAGTGAAAAGTGAGTACACAACAGGACGTAAAAAATCCATTCATCACTGGTTTCTAAATCAGATTAGCCCTCTTATGCAGAATAGGATGTCTTCAAAACTTCAAGATGTATGCTTCAGATCTACAAACCATACTACGGGCAAGCAAATGGACAACACCATCTTCATCCACCCTCACTTTCAGAGCCGAAACCCAAAGATGGTCACTGACGCACCCATGAGTCTTGTCAGACAACATTTTCCGTCAAGAGAAAGAAATGGCACATAGCATGACTACAGTAGAGCATCTTCATCTCACATCACAAAGAAGCTGTATGAAAATTACATATACCCTTCTCAAGTTTTGAGGGGGCAGTGCACGTGACTAGACTCCATGGTGCATCAACGACTTGCTCTTGAGGCTATGCGCTGGCCAGACAGAATTTGATGTCAATGATATCCTTTGGGATACCACTCGGAAAGCAAGGAGCAAAGAAGTGCATGCATTACAAGCCCATGTTAATCTTATAAATATCAAGCATGAACAATTCTTAGAGATGAATATTTTAGGTAGTAACTTTTCAATGCCACTTGAAGAATGATGATGGGATAACTCTCTTACATGCAAAAAAAAAATGCGTTGGTGAGGCAAGATGATTTTGCTGCACTTGGCACAGAACAATTTTTCAAGCGTCTGTTTGTGCCATGTTTTTCTTAGGTTGATATGTCTTTGATGTAATAATGCTTGCTGCACCACATCAACAGCTGTACTTGTGTTCTAATCTCTACCACATACATCAATTTCTTACATACATTTCCATAAAAGTTCTTTTCTTTTTGCAATATAAAATTGCTTTTCTTGAGAAAAACTACTTTAATTGAAATATTACATGGTCCCAACCAAAATTTATGCATTTTAATTCTTAACAGCAAGTCTATAAGCCTTTAAGCTGTGACATCCATTAAGTGTAAAAGAGAAATTGGCAAAACTTCAGAATGAAGGTCCTAGGCATAGGTGTAAATGTGCATGCACATCTCTTCTCCAACACTGTTGATGCACAGAAAATGGTGCACATGCCAATCACATAGAGCCTCTCCCACAATTACAGCAGCAACGACATCATGATCCCCTGAAGGCAAATGAGAACCTATAGATAAGCAGAGGCTTGATGCATCAATACCTTCAGTCATGTCAAGCATCCACTTGTCTAAAGCAGATCCCTCTACTGGGCCCCACAGACCCCGCTCCTGAGTCAGCTCTGACTCGGTCTGCAGCCAGTCCTCAAAGACATCCTTCAGAAGATGCTGTTGACTCTGCATCACAACATTAACCACAAAAAGGAAGACAGGCTTTACACTCATGGGCTGCCTAGGCTCAGGTTTTTAATGACTTAATAGTGAGTATCACAAGTTTGAGAATTCATCATGCAATTGACCCTTCAGTCACAGTGTGTACAAATGTACACTCCAACTTCAATGACATGTCACGCACCACGTGTTTCATCAAATGGTTTGAAATTTGGTGTGTGCACATTCAGGCATGCATCCTTGGTGGACAACTGGTGATCATTTAACTTTATTATGCTGCGTATTGCAGCAGAGGGCCACTTTGCTGGATACACTACCATGTTCGATGTCACGCGTTTCTGGACGAACGTGAAACATACATTTTTCCTTCGCTTGAAACAAGTTTAACAACAACAACAAAAAATGAAAACATTTCGGGTCTAATAGTGGATTATTTTTATTCAAGAACTAAAGCTGACTGGCGACAAAATAATTGGATAATTAGTTATACACTCATTACTGTTAATTACTATAACTCACACAAAACAATTCTTTCATTCATTTTTTTTTACTTGGAATGTAATACTTAGTACCTTAAAATTATGCCATGGGAATTTGATGTTTCTCACAGGGCATCATAATAATTTTTGACTGAAAGGGTTAAAGCAGTAGGCAGGCACCTATTCATAACTACGCTGCTCAATAAACTTTATCACGCACAAGTGAACAAGAAGAAAAGGAAAGCAGGGACAGTAGAGAAAACTAATTGTTGAAACAAGTGACAAGGACTGTTTCACGAAGACATGTATATTTTACAGGCATTATGCCACATTAAAATAATAAATTTTGCTCTAATCTGTTGCCACTGACCTCCACAGTGCGATCATAGTGAAACAGTCACTTCACCCAGACAAAAAGTCACAGAAAGAAAGTTTTTAACGGTCTTAGCCTTGCACAAACGGTGAAACTAACATACTGACCTGCTGATGACGCTTTAATTGCAAGTCGACGAGCTCTTGTACAATGGAAACGTGAACTTGTGTCCACATTTCCACCTCCTTGAAAAGACAAATGAAATGAAAGGGTAAAACAGTGAAGATAGAAAGATTGACAAGTTTAACACATAGATTAATTTCTGTCTTAGCAAGGTCATCACTAAACAAATTAAAAATTTTACTCATTACTTAATTAATCACCGTAGCATCTACATAATTAACCCAATCAAACAGATTTACCTTGATTTGTGCCATACTCTACACACACGCCACATACAAAACAAAAAAGATGCAGGCTTGCCTGGCTAGTCATGGTGCTCAGAGGCACCTTGGGAGCTTGCTCCCTCTTGATCTTTCGGCTCGCAAGCCTTGAGAGTCCACCAGTCACTTTTTGAAGTTTCTAAGGAGAGAAAAAAATAAAAACAAAGATAACACACTCATACTGTGTGTTCCATCAATGCTATAAAGCTCGAAATGTGTAAGCATTTCTCCATCTTAAGGTGCTGACTAGATGGTTTTTCAAATTCCACAAAGGTTTTTCACCTGCTTCTGGCATTTGTAGACAAAACAAAGTATATACATGTATATTATATGAAATTATACTTGCTAAGACATTCTAAATCCAAGAATAAGAGCACTAGTGCAAAATGTAGTGAAAGCATAGCAGTGTCTGTAACCACAGTAGAAAATAGAAATTTCAGTCTTCCGATGACTGAAGCACTAGGGAAAAAATATGTTTCCAATGAAATATTTATCAATGAGGTTCTTAATTTATCAGCCCCCTTCTAGCAGCATAAATCCAGAAAAATCACCAGGGAATACACAAGCTGATGGCCGTTTTTTTTATAAATAGAAGTCTTACTTATTGATATATATCAGAATTAAAAGTATACTCTGAAATAAGAGTTTGAAAACTATTATGGATTCCCGACTCGCAGAATCAAATTGTTCTGTTGAGTCTTCTCTGAAACTGGTTGAGCACAGGTACGCACAACAAAATAACAATTAAATATAAAAACTGAATGTGCTATACTTGATTGTCAAAATTTGTCAAAAAGACAAATCTCAAGGGAGGATACTTGCAAGGAGTGTGTTGTGTGTGTCCCCCCCCCCCCCCCCTTCTCCATATGAACATAAGGGAGGTCAAAACCTTCCGACACCCCAGAGCACTAACTTCCACATGGAAGTTAGCACTCTGTCTATATGTGCTTTTTTTTTCTTCCTGTTGTTTACGTGCGCTACAAGGAAACTTACTGAAGCTGACAATGCAGCATCGAAAAAGCAGCAAATCGGGTCAAATGTGGGTAAAACCAGAGCCAACTTCACTGGTATTTGGGTGCCCTTACCTGGCTGACAGTCTGCATCTGCGTCTGCATGACTTCTCGCGTGTAGCCACTCTTGCGCTCAAGATCCAAAAAATTGGTCCAAGCACGGCATAGTGGCTCATGCAGAACTTCCCACAGGCTCTGCAGATCAGGTATCTGGCCTCCTGTGCTGCCCTCGGCTACGGGCAGTGCCACCTTGCATAACTCTTCCAGGGACTGCACAAGCAAGACACAGCCGTTACCAGCTATTACATGCCAAGCAAGGTGGCTAAACTGTGCAGTTAGTCCTCTGAACACCTAGTCTCTACCCATACGCATGGTTTGAGTTTTGTCTGAATTAATCGGCATCCATTAGTTTCATGAGTGGTGATTGGACCTGTCCCGTTAAGTAGGTGTGGTGATAACGTGTGCTGCCACTGCAGGTGTCTCAGAGCTATCCTACATGGTTAGCAAAAAATAAATATAACACTTGTTACTGCAATTGAATGACAGCGCTTGACAGGGGAGTATTTTAAGACTGAGCCACTCCAAACTTGTACTTCGGAAGGAGACATCAGAAGGAAACTTCGAAAGAAGACTTTTTAGTAGCGTTCAACCACCCTACAAGACATGTGTACAGCTAACTACCAGTTGCACAATACCACACCAGCCAAGAAGGTTTAAAAAAGATTGCTGGAGTGAAAATTAACTCCCGATGATGAAGCCACATCTATTCCAACTTAGAGGAGGTATGATAAAATAAGAGCTCATGCCAAAGAAATACAGGCATTTTTCATGACTGCCTAAAGAAATTAAAAATATTGATGAGCTTGTGTCCTATCAGGAAAATGGAGGGCAAGTAAAGCTTGGTATGTGCGTGCCTGACATGCCACTTCGCTTGCTTTCTTTATGCAATGCCGCCTCCTAACCGTTTCCTTCCTTCATGCCGAGAATCAGACTATCATGCACTTGTTTAGCCGTGCAACTCTACAGTCGCACTGTAGTATTGCAACACTGCGTTCATATACAGGCAACAACAATGAAACAAGGCAATGTGATACGACAGGTCACATCGATAACTTCGACAAAAGATCAGATTGCCATATCAGAAACAGCTGATCACCAGCAAGCCTATGATCGAGGGAGCACCAATTATTGGCAAATGGTGCATACAAGTACACATGTGGGTGGCACACCTTTGAGGGCCTTATTTATATTCATCCGCATTTCTGCACACGCAAAGGTGTCTTTTTTTTCTTTCTGGTCATACATATAATGCAAATTTTTTAGGCAGAGAAGCTTCACTTAGAAACCAACAATTGCCTATAACATGTCGTGAGATGTTGCTGCAAGTGAAAAGGACATAAATTATGCCGCCAGGTTCTATCATGCCATTTACAGTTTTATAGGAACTGTAATATTGAACTGCCACAGAAAATAAATTCTGATTATGATCTTTAGTGGCATTCCTTTCGAAAGTATGCAGCAACAATCAACCACATAGCCACTTAAGAAAAAAACATTCTCCTGCACCTTGTAGAAGCCTTGGTGCATAAAGATTACAGTGTTTGTACGACAGAAGAACCTTGTTCAATGCCATTGAACGTAAAGGGACTCAAATGATTTGTTTGAATTGACAAGAATTCCATTTACAACAAAGATGCGCAGATGTGCAGCACGATCTGCTAAATTAACATACATATGCCCTCTAAATGTTATTGGGCATGTTCAGCATAAAGAAGTGAATGTATCGACTAAAAAATGTTGGCGGGCTAGTTGATTAGCATTCAGACAGAGAGAACAAGCACGACTTCATGAGAAAGCAGAAAGAAAACAGACAGCGTGGTGTCAGTTTACTCTCCATGTTCAAGCTAAGTTGCAATTACTCACTCTGTCATGTATAAGCTAGTTTGTCCACCGTCGCGGAGCCCGGCTGATGGCCATCATATGGAGTAGGCTTTGCATATTTCAGTTTCACAGAGGTACCACTGACATATTTAAAACAAACAGCTCTTACGGCTCTATTGGTGGCTGAATAACACACAGTTGTGCATGGATTGCATTTTCCCCTGTTTATTATAAATGCCTTTTCGTTAGGCTTGTGCGAATATGCTTTGAATATTCGAATAAATAGTTGACTATTCGAATTCACTTCGATTCGAATTGAAATTATCAAATATTTTCGAAGTATTCACAGTGAACAAATAGGTGTATAATAACCCGCATGTCATCGCCTATAAAGGTGGTTTCGCTGCAATGTAGGGGTGCTAAGCAGTAAAAACACTTATTAAAAAAAAAATTCATTTTGCCATGAAGTCCCCCTTCAAATTTAAAGGGGTCCTGCAACACTTGCTGAACATGGTCAGAAAACGCTGCCGATCGGTAGTCGAGGCTACCGAGAACACGCGAGACAAATATTGCAGCGCAGCAGATAGTCTGTAATTCACAATAAATGTTTAAAGCTAAAAACTGCTTTATTCCCTTCGCAAATGACACTACAAGCTCAGAAATCATTTGTCACAGCCAAGATGGAATATACGGCTCTGGTCACAGGCATTGGCTGATTTGAGCATGGCGCACTCGCAGTTACTGGGGCCGCCGCTTGTCCACGAGTACGTGCACGATCGCACTGAAAAGCCGCGTATTCGAAGGAAAAAAAAAAGGAGGTCACGAGGTGCGTGAGAAGTATTTTCTTTCGCCGTGCCATTCCTCCCTGCTTCGCTTCAAGCTATTTCGTTGGGACAAGCAGAGAGAACGCAATTGCAGCATGCGACAAAATTTTTGGAACTCCGCTTGTACTGAACTGATTCTAGAAACTTTGTAGCTGTAAATTTGTGAGGCAACAAGGATGCTTACTGGCTCCATGGCGATTTGAAAAAAGTGTTGCAGGGCCCCTTTAAAGGAGCATGTTACCCTCACATCAATTCTTCATTTTATTAGGCTTGTTATGATGGCTTTTATGCTCTAAGTATGATAAATTTTAAAACCTTAAGTATCTTACAGGTTATCACTCGCATCCTACCAAAACTACTACTCAAGGTTGTTTTGACTTCCTTTGAACGAAAATAAAATGGCATTTGCATAGAGCCCCTATTTCAATTCAAAAGAAATATTGTGCATGTTAGTTGGGTCATGATAAATATTCCCTTTTTTTATATGTCATACATACCATTAGAATTTGATTCGAAATTATTCTACCAAAATCACTATTCGCTTCGAACCAAAAATTCACTATTCGCACAAGCCTACTTTTCTAAAGATGACAGACTTCACAAGAATGTATCTGACTGTGCTTCTTCTGGTAAAAATAGTGTAAAACTTGGTTTTGTGTGGTTCCATTTACAGATGGTTACAAAAGTATTGCTTTCGATAAATAAAAGATTTTTTTTTCCTATCCAAATACAACACAAACCAACCATAATACTTTTGGTCCACTTGAGCAGAAACTACACTCTAAGCAAATACCGCTGTCTGAAATCTGCTGTACATTGGTATTTGCATTTTATTTTCTATGAGTAGAATGTAAAAAAAAAATATAAACTGACAAGTGTGCATTTATGGCAATGAGTGGTAGGCAGACCCTTCATCCTTGTGCAAAAAAACCATTCTGACAGATATGTTCTATGACGTCCACATACTGACTCGAGACTATACAGATAGCAAAGTACAAAGTAGTAGTTGTGCTGTATCATGGCACACATCGCCCCACAATGAGATATGCATGGCACTCCTGCGATAGCCTCAATAGCACTGCATTAACTGTCTGGATTTGTTGAACATTGAATTGGTGTGTCTGACATTTAGGTGTCCCCAAGGGTGAATTTGATTCACTGGAGCTAAATACGGCTTTCTCCCTTGAGAATAATCTACAATGACCATGAAGTCCCAAAACACAACCAAAGCTCAAGGCATGCTGAAATAATGATGCCTCTCTGAAGCTTTTCAGAAAATTTAAAATCTTCTTTTTCTCTCTCGATTCCCTGGCAGACAAAGGTGTTTCCACGAGAGGAAGGCTGCGTTGGGGCTCTCCATTAAGAATTCAACCGTTTTTGTGCTATAAGAACACTTGGTATGGTGCTGTCACGATTGATGTGCCATCTATGCACTAGGCTTGCCTGCTTGCAATGTTTGAGCCTGGTGAGCTATTTTTGATGAACCAAGCCGATGTTATTTCCCCACAGTGGTAAAGGGGCCCAGCAACACTTTTTGAGCAAGAGCAAACGAGCTGCCGATCGGTAGCAGAGGCTCCCGACAACACGTGAGAGTTTTAAGATTGTTGCAGCTGCGACATGTAACCGCTCTATTCTTGTGCTCAATAAACGCACCCTTTCAGTTACTGCTTGCATGCGTGTGTCATCTTTACATGTATATATTCAACTATAATGCTTTCTGTATATTATATTGCAATTGTATATTTTCTTAGGTATTTTTGACAACTCCATATGTATATGTACATGTATCTTGTGTATCACCCCCCCTTACTCAATGCCCCCACCCTTGGGCCTGTAAGGTACCTTGAAATAAAAAATAAAAAATATTATAGCATTGCATGCGGCCTGTAATTCACAATAAATTATCAAAATCACCTAAAAATTGCTTTCTCTTTTCTCCACAAATCACGGAAAATGCTCAAAAATCAATTGTAGAAAGCCCATCTACCAGCCATAGGCTGATTTGAACATGGCGCGCTCGATTGTTACAGAGATACCCACGAGAGGTCACGGCTTGTCCAAGCATGCCCACGCGATCACACTGAAGAAAACGCGCATTCGAAAAAAAGAACAAAGAGAGCTTAGGGTCAATAGGCGCGGGTGATGTATTTTTTGCCCTGCTATCACTCCCTGCTTGGCTTCCAGCACTTCGTCAGGACGAGACAAGAAAATGCACTTGCAGCATGCGACAAATCTTTGTAACTCCACTCGCACTGGACAAATTCTTAAATTTTTTTGCGGCGTTGAATTCGTGAGGCAATAAGCTCTTCCAGTGAATTCATTTCATGGTTACTTAAAAAAGTGTTTCAGGGCCCCTTTAAATTCGAAAAGGTGAAATGAATCAAAGAAGACGAATCCCATTCATCCAAACCATTTTGTATAGCTTTTTGTCAATCACAACAAACCACATCTGTCAGTTCCATTTTTATGTTCAGGAGCTCCTTAAGATAGGCTAACCTACCTTTGAGAAATATGAAAAATAAAAATGTCCCCAAAGACCAATAAAGGAAGCAGCTAGAAGCACGACAAGCACAGAAGTATAGTAACATGCAAAAAACTTTTGCTGTGACATCAAACAGTTACAGTAGAGAATATGCGATGGAAAGTATAACAAAAACTAAGGCAGCCAGAAAAGCACAGCTGCCAATAGCAGGGTATAATGCGCAAGGTATCACTTCCATAATGACCACTATAGGTAGCTGCCTGCCATAAAAAACAAAACAAAAAACAAGCCAGCAAACAAACCTTTTAGACATCAATAAACAAAGAAATCATATTTCACTCCCTTTATGTTATATGGGTACCTTCAACCGAAAAATGACTAAGGCTGAGAATAGGCACACTACAACTGGATAGAGCCAACATAGACATATACCTTACAATTTACACAGAATATACATTGTGCCAAACACACTCAAACATTGTTATAACGAAGCTGAAGAGAAGCCACAATTATTTTGTTATATCCATTATTTCACTATATAGGTTATAACAGCTGGTGGCAATGTATGCTCAGATGGGCGCACACCTATAAAAATGCAAAGAAGAAAATCGCCTCACGACCCAATAAACCGCTACGCGACCACGCGTGCGACGAAAAATAAACACAGTCGAATCTCCTTAATTCGAACTCACCCTGTGGTCCCGTCAAAGCTATGTGTATTCCAATAGGCGAAAATGCCCTGTAATTCGTACGTGCAAGCACTTGCGATGGTTAATTCAAACATACCGCTCTCCGAAAATGCTCTCAGCACCACGCCCAATCGCGCGGCGGCCCCTCTCAACGCTGCGCGCAAAAAAGGAAAAGACGAAAAGGAAAGAAAAGACTGTGACGGATTGTTTGCTCTCTCTTAAATGCCGATCTGCGTCGTGCCTGTGCCACGCTTCTCCCTTTTCCGTCTCTGCACGTAGAGACCGTTCTCTTTTCAAAACCGCGCGTGGAGAGAGTGGGAAAAAAAAAGAAGAAAGCTGTCAGTCTTGTGAGAAGGAAATCACTTTGCATCGCAGCGCCGCTTCTCAGTCATGTGACCCACTGAGCGCTTACTCAATTCTCTCCGCTGGCTGTGTGAGGAGGATGGCTCTCTCGGCCGCGCGTAGCGTGGCTGTAAGGTACGGCGTGAGAGTTTTGAAAGAGCCGTGCCGAACGAGCGTAAAACTCCGCAGAAAACAATATACTTAACACAAAATGGTCGGTTTTATTTTTTTATCAACTATTCGATAGACTAAATTAGTTGGTTATATCTATTTACCAGTCAATTTTACTTCGTTACAACAAGGTGTAAAATGCATGGTTCTCAATGGAGCTTTCAAGGGGAACTTTATTTACTTCGTTACATCCATTATTTTGTTATATCCCGTTATGTTATAACGAGGTTCGAGTATATTATCGGACACAGAAACTCACATTGTACACATCGTTTAATATAAGCATGAGAAATTTGGCTCCAATTATTAGTAATATTAGTTATGTGCAATTTCCAAAGCCATTTGGAAATTTTCTCGTCAATGACAATTAAGATTAAAAGTGTGTTCTTCGGACAAAAAAATCTAAATAAAATGAATTTTTCAACCTCCTTACAATCTGTTCTCCATGTGGAATAATGTAGGCTATGTTAAAGCGATACCTTAGCCAGGCTACAATGCTCACATTGGGGACCATACTTTTTCTACTTTCAAGGAATGAAATAATATAAGTTAAGATTTTTATAAAGGTGAAAAGATATTCAAAAACTGGAGGTTCAACTAAACAGTATTATAAACATTGTTCAGTTAGCTTAGTGATCAAGGAAAACAGATTTTTGAGGTGAATCTTCCCAATATCAGCAGAAAATTGTCAAGAGCTCACAGCTCTCATGGAATTACTTCACCTCTCGTGCTCCCCCTCAAAAAAAAAAAAAAAAATGATAGAAGGTTGTAGAAAAAACTTCTAAATTAGTACGCCGCTCACCTGTCTCTTAGAGAGGTACACTATTTCCCACACTTTGCAGGCTGCTGATGCGACCAACAGGTGTCCTTCTTCAGATGAGCTCAAATTTTTGTTATCAGCAGCATTTCTTGAGCGGTCCGAGAAAGATGCAGGATTGATGTGCCAGGTGGTCCGACGCACCGTCTCCATACTAAAAAAGAGGAAAAGAGAAGCCATTTTTATTGATAAGGCCAAAACAAAGCTTTCATTCCCAACATGTAAAAAAAAATGACAAGCACATTTGAAGGTAGGTCTTGTTGAAGTGTGGCTAAATTTAACAGGAGAGTTATTGGATGTTATACTTCTAAAATTATTTTCCCTCAAGTGTTCATTTTTGTGCACTTACCTGATTTGAGCATCAGCAGTAAGCTGTAGAAGACAATAGCACAGGCAGGGAATAAATTCAGCCTCAGAGTTTGCTGCGACCAGCATGAGCGTCCTGTGTATAATCATCTTCTGGAGGCACTCAAGCTTTGTCATTTGATCTGAACAAGGAGAGAGCAGAAGCAGCTCGACTGATACATCGACGGACAGTAAATGTGAAACCAGGAAAACACACTGGTACCCAGACTAACCTGCAACACATTCTGTAGGCCTTGAAAGAATGAACAATAGGGTCCTGTTGAGACTTCTATAAACATTCTCAGTTTGCACATGCATGCCTATAAGAAAAAAGAATCTTGAGTTATATCCCAAACAGATGACACATAAAATATGAATCAGCAGTGGGGGGAGAATGAGCAGATGTGAAAACTTGCATAAAGAGCTGGAATTTTTTTAGTGCAAAGAATTTTGATTAATACATCAAGCAATAATGTGTGAAAAATATCTGTCCGAAAAGTGAAGTTTACCAAGTAGCCTTACACTGGACTGAAAGGTGTGCTTCACTGGACATCACAATTGTCTGACGAAATCACTGGTATTGGAAGAGGGTATGTTGTCACAATCGCAACATTTTCTTAAGTTTTCAGCATTAAAAAGTTTGTCAGGAAGGTTGACGTTTATTATTAAAATGACTTTTCCAGAAAACTAACAACAGTGGGCTTCACCACGTATAAATGAGCTCACCACTGTCGCTCAAGGCCAACTAAAAATAATTCGTAGTTGAAAAAGCTGAACCCTTAGACTACTGAAACTTGTTGTTAGGCCAGTTGATAACTCATCATAATGTAATTAATTCAGTGTAACTTAAGAATTCCTAGAAACGCTGACTCATTCCCACTCGTTTCCATTCAAGGACCACACACGCACACTGCGCTTATGCGGTGTGTGTTTCTTGAGTGGAAGTGAGTGTGAAAAAGTGAGCCTTTCTAAGAATTCCTAAGTTTTGCTGAATTACTTACAACAATATAGCCCTTAGACTCCCGACCTTTTTCTTACTTTTTCAGTACTACACACAGAGCACACTCTTACTAGAAGGGATGCCATTTCCAAGTACAGTTCATACCCGACCAGCAGCAAAAGAAAATGTCCGTGTTCTCAAGTTTACTCTCTAGCAGCTCTTTGCAATATCTTATGCTATGTACAAACAAGCCCAAAATAGATGCACACAATCTGAAGGTCAAAGGAGCTCAAATAGTCTCCTTGCATGAAAAACTAATGAGTGCTGGACAAGCGCAAGTTCTTGATGAAATGAAGGCCTCCAAATAATTACGCAGCGGTCTGCGTTTTTTAATGTAAATTCAAATATCAGAAGAATAACTGTTCTTGAAAGCAGCAAACAAAAAGGAAAGAAAGAATGACATACCTTTTCGTTTGACCTGGCCAAGAAGTTTAATGATAAAATCCAAAATTTCATGGGGATCCCTGGTATAAACCCCTGAAATGCAGCCAAATGAAAGTACAACATGTGAAGTCTAATAAAATACAGGCTAAGTTCAATGAGATATGGATATAAAGCAAGGGCATGGCCAGAAATTTTGGGGGGGAAGGGGGGCAGAAAGGTAATGGCTACAAGTCTAGCTATCTGAATTTATAACGAGGAGATAAACATTGTATATTTACTCCTACTATACAGATGTACATCATGTCTGGTTAACATTCATTGTAGCTTCAGTTCCAGCTCCAGTTTTATAACAGTCTCATAAACATTTTATAAGCATTCATATAAATCAGCAAGCAACAATCAAGCATTGCTTGACAATGGAGGCATGCACTAATGAATAATATTGACATCATCGCAACTTAGCAACCACCTCGTTTCCATAGTGTTTACGTCTGTGCCCTAATGTGAGTGCTCAGGTTAAGGTAGGTCACATTGCATGCTTGTTACATGACTTGACATATCTGTGAAATGGCATGGGGCTTACCTAATACAGTCCATGCAGATTAAACACATTCACGTGCTGAACAATACCTAAAACTTCTTAGAAAAGCTAGAGAGCATCTCCTTCTAAAGTAGGTTAGCCGCCGATCACATAAGCCGCAGCTACTTACAGCAGCTGGTGAGATGAACTCATGTGAGTATAATAGAATATTTTCACTTGCAGCATAACGCGTTTGGCAGTTTGTGCACGTGTGCGCATGACTGTGAGCTTATCCTTGATGAGAGAGCGTGAGGAAGAGAAATAAACAGCACTGCAATTGTGTGCTTCTTTGTTGTCAGATTTGTATTTTGAGCCTAAAAGACAAATCAAGTTGAAAACTAACTAGCCTGACTCTTAAGCTATCTTTCTGGGCCGGTCGGTCAAGTTGCGGGGCAAGCTGAAAGCCAAGTTTCCCACTGTGTTCGAGTCCACTGCTTTATATGTCGCCACCTTGCAAGCTGCTGCCATTGCTCCAAATTACCATACACAAGGCGGATCAGGTTGATCGGAGACTGCGGCAAAACTAAAACATTTAAAAATATTCATCACAATCATCGTCTCACCGAATCTGCGACAGAGCAGCCGTGATGCCACTTCTTTTCAATGAAAGAGAACTATTTTCTTGAAGCAGCAAATGTTTGACCGGTTCATAAAAAGTTTGTTCGTTCCCACCCACAACTGCATCAACCAGTCACAGCAGAATGAAAGCATGGACAGGTTATCTAATGTCAGAAGGCCCCTGATCAGCTCTGATTGATATGTGGGATATAACGTCCCAAAATCCTGGCAGCCGCCGCAGCCAGGATTCGATCTCGCGACCTGCAGGTCAGCAGCCGAGTACCTTAGCCACTAGACCACCGCGGTGGGGCCCCTGTTCAGCTCTAGCCTGCTCCTTAATGCCAGAGCACAAGGTGCGAAAGTGATACGTAGGTAGACCAAACCGCAAAGGGCCTTTAAGAACAATCATCACACCAAAAATGTTGGAAAAATTTCACTATATTGTAACATTCCCTCCCAATATTTTCAATTACTCGTAACATTATAATTGAACGATTACTAGGATGAACGAAAACTTCGTCTTAGTTGTTCCGTTTCCTCAACGTGCAGCCAACAGTAAGCACTGTCGAACTTTTCTGAGTGCATACCTGCCACGTTCAAGGATTCTGAATCCGGGAGATTTCTGCAACGAGGGCGGGAGGGGGGGGGGGGGGTTAAAAAACTAAGCACGAACAAACAAAAAACATTGTGAAAAACAAAAGTGCGTGGGAGGGGAGGGGTCTTAATCGCAAGCGTCAACATCAACGTTGCTGTCTTATAGTGGCTAGGAGTGGCCGAACACACGAGGGTAGAGTTTTTCACTAAGGTGAGAGTCTCAAAGGATCAACGCAACTGACAGAATCTATTTCAGTCAAAACAACTCGCGTGTGTCTTCCTGGGACACACGTGAGCAGACAGGACGGCGCAGCTGGCTGCTGCAAAAGCACGGGTCAAAGCTTTGCTCACTGCTAGATTCTTTTCACAGGAATGCCAAAATGCAACTGGCCCCTTTTTATTGCAATAGCAATTATATGGACAGTCCAGGCTGTTTTCTTGCCGTCCCCACCACCGCCGTCGTTCACCGTATATGTATACGTATCAATATATATGATCACTCAAAGAAAAAAAGCCGCTCGCGCTCGGCGCCGAGCTCGTCGCAATGCGCCGACGCATGCTTATCTCTTGTGTACTTTGCCCCATGGATGGATGCTTGTGTGCGCGAGCTTATCCTTTGGTGGGGGAATTGTGTGCCTTTGGCTTTCACTGAAACGAAAGCGTTAGTTGCCAGGCCCACAAAGGTCACTTCGGTCTTTGCACAGGCCCCTTTTGCGAAAACAGTGCGCTTTTCATACACAGCGAGGGAGTATAACAACTGGGACACTTGTTAGCTTGTACTCATCTGTACCTGTGATTACATATCGTGCATCATTTTTGTTTAAACAGCATGTTACGTGTCGAGCGGTAAACGCTGTTAGTTCGCTCTCGTCCTGCGAGTATCGTTTTTGTGTGCCATTTGTGTGTGAGCAGCGCGCTGCACGTTTCGATCTGCTTGCCGTTCTCAGCGTTACATTCCAAGTTGTTGCTGTCGCATTTATTGCTTCGCCCTTGCAGCAAAACTAACTTTTTTTTCTATTTCTTACATATTTACTGCCTTTGACCTACAGCTGGGTGGCTTCGGAGCTCGTAAATCACTATCGCGTCGCCGCGACTGCGGTTTTGTGCGCAGCGGTTGCGGCAAACGGTAGTTCGCGCATGCGCCTTCAAAACTAGGTCGTTTTATGCCATCTACAATAGCATCTGCTGCAGGTTTGTCTGCAGAGTTTGCAGAAAGCAGCACTGCTTTGACTGGTTGAGCGCACACTTTCGGGGTTCTCTCAGTTGCGTCATCGCCATACATGATAGTGTAAAGAGCGACCCCGGTTTCGTCCTCAGCGGTTGTGGCAACGACAATCACACGCACTGTAGTGTGCCGGTCGCAAGCGTACTTTCGAAGCTTCGAGTACGCTGCTCTCGGCCTTCGTTCGACGGTTTCCGTACTAAAGTTCGTATCACCCACCGTGATTAGGAAATGTGTCCGGAACATTCGAATTGAGGCTCAATGAACATAGTAAAGTTTGGCTGTGGAATTTAAGAATTCGTATCTGCCGCGGTTTCGCATCACTGAGATTATACTGTAAGTTGACATGAACGCTTTTTAAACTCATTTATGATAAAATGGGGTAGGTTCGAAAAGCCTGGAGCAGATTTAGCTGCTTTTTTGTCAATGCGGCCAAATCAGACACAGAAATTTCAATTTCCAGGAGATTTTCATGACAACCGTACAACCGAAAAAAACAATCAGAATCCAGGAGTCTCCAGGCCAATCCGGGAGACTTAGCAGGTATGTGAGTTGGGGGCTAGCGCCCCGCTTTCCCCCCGGCTGATATGCGTATGAGTCGGGGCCGGGCAGGCAGATGTGGTCGAGTGTGCCTTTGTGCTCTCTATGCCAGGGGGAAAAAAAAGTTCGGGGAGAGGGAGAGGGAGGCACAGGCTCGGTGTGCCACCCGTTGGCTACCCCACTGATGTAAAAGCTTTAATCTAGTGAAATTTGCACTCATTTTATAAAGTTAATATTGAACATTCTACTTTAATATGAAAAAAATCTCATAAGCAGGAATTCAACTAGACAAAAGTGTAAGCTTTGAAACAGAAACTTGCATGTCATGCACTTGCAATGGCAGCAACCAGGCGTTGAAACATGCTTCCATGTTCAAATGCCAGTTGCAGACACTATGGGTACCCCATGCCGAAATTCATTAAAATGGCTGGGGAGGTCAAGCCTACTGTGTAAAGATTTACTGAACTATGAATACATGCACACGCTGCTCGCACACATAAAAGAGTGCCCATTAGTACTATGTATCAACAAGCAACATATGCACTGGGTAAGTGAGTCAATGGGATTCAGTAGCCCAAAGAAAGATGTGGCCTGTGGACTTTAAAATGGAAAGGTTTACTCCAGTTAAACGCAGGTGGCGTTGAGCAGACACACAAATAAATACTTAGGTAAATAACATATCTCTACATGTCAAAATAAAGGGATGCACAAGACGTTTTCATAGAATAATATTACACTAAACTTCTTATAAGTATTAGTGGTTACCTTTAGCCTTTTAGAAATGCATTTGGAAAATATCGAAGTACCCTCTCAGAGCCATGACACACCATAGCACAAATTCGCATTGGCAGCATGTTTAGTGACATGAAGCTATCCTTGCCAGCTGCTAGGCATAACTGCAATGAGAGGCTCAAATTCATAGCTTTGGGTGGCCAGCTCAGGAGCATAAGAGCATTTGAATGAAGACACTGCTTGCTGTCTTTACCTTATATGCAGTGCAGAATTGACTGGCACACTACATATCCAACAGCTAGCTATAACTGCCAATAATGTTTCATTGTGCATCAAGCAAATGCACAATGATTCAAATTGAAATTATTTGCATTGCCCGATGACCATGTGCTCAATGCTGTTCACAAATAAAGCAGTAAATGACCTGGAGACACACTTCTACGCAGCTGGAATAATATATGCATCTCAGCAATTGTCTCCAAAGCATGTACAGTAAAAGCTCGTTAATTCGAATTCCACGGGAATGCTCAGCAATTTCGAATTAAACAAAATTCAAAATAATGAAAGTGAGCAAAAATGGGTGGATTTCGGGGGTGGGGGCACGAAAAATACTTATTGGCCAAAAAAGTCGGTGATGACCATCTGCTTCTTTTCTCTGAATGCCACAGCTGCGGCTCCCTGTTCCAGCGCGCGGACGCGGCGCAGGGAATCCTCTTCACCCTCTTCAAAGCTGAAGAAGAGACGCATCGCATTAAGTGCCTCCATCACCGCAGAAGCTGACGGGCGCACAGGCGCTTCGCCATTTTCGTCTTCCTCACCTTCTGGCTCTTCAGCATCAGGCTGCGCACCGGCTACTTGAGCGATAATGTCCTCATCAGTCAGGGCACCACACACTGATACACACTTCAACATAATCGGCAAAACGTATGCCCCAAAGAGTGTCGCGCAATGCCACTGGCATGAGCTCCTCAGCGCCATCCACGTCGACGTCACAACTATCCTGCACACTTCCAGCTGCAAATCCACTGTGGCGGAAACAGTTTGCGATTGTGGTCGCGGTCACCTGTTCCCATGCGCGCACCAACATGTGCATGGCAGTGAGCAGCGTAATGCCGAAGTCCTTCCTGTTGCCCGCGCACAAAATCATTCGTGAACGAACAACGTGCTTGAGGAACAAAGTGACGCTGCCGGGAGCGGCCTAGGACTGCCATAGAGAAATAAAAAAAAGGTTGGACTGCTAGGACTACTCCGCCGACTCCTCAGCGTCCCGTGGGTCCCGCGTACAAGTGGCGCCAGGCGCTGAGATAGCGGGAGGGCTACGAAAAAAAAAAAAAAAAAACTGCTCCCTGGATTTTGGAGGCCATACTTTGCTCGCCCTTTGCTCGGAGGCCACTTGAAGCTCGAAAAAACTGGTCGCGCCACCTATCGTTTGACCGTAAAAGCTTCCACTAGTGTTTGACGATGATGACGCTCGGCGGCGAGCGCTTCGAATTATCCATAGAGGCAGCACTTTCTGTTCGAATTAACGAATCGTTTTACACATGGTCTCCTATGCACTGCAGACCGGACTCCGGCGACCATTTCGAATTATCCAAAATTTCGAATTAATGAGGTGTGAATTAACGAGCTTTCACTGTAGTAGGTGAATCACAATTGGAGTGCGTTACTGTTGGGTGCTAAGTTTTCATTAATCTTTGTGATGTGTTGGTTTTTTTATTGCACTTTAATACATATAATTCGAGGATACGTCAAGGCCTCCATATGACGTTTTATGACATTCAATTCAGCTGTTAGTACTCTCTTGCCTTGGCAGATTGCAGTCCTATTCATTCGCTTGTGCAAGAAATGCCCACTCACCTTGCCAGAGCTTATCAACAAAGCAAGACGTCAGGTAGAAAATATTAGGAGGAATGTTCGAGTATTTGCCACCAGCTGTAATAGGTAAGGCTGCCTGGTCATTCAGCAGCACATCAGCTGCCAACAAGTGCTCTCTGAGTGATGACAGGATTTCCGTCACATATTCTTTCTGCTGACTCAAGGTTGCATGGCTTGGAAAGGCCTGGAACATAGACACAGCAAGCAATGTACAAAAACCATGCAACAAGCTTTCAGTGACATGGCATACTTGACAAGGTGACCTTAATACTGGCCTCACATAAATATAATGTTAGAAAAAAGAAAAAAAAAAACTTTGATGCACGAGAGTGATAGGACTTTCCAGCACAATGCTCTGTTACCTGATAGCTAGTTTGCTGCAACTTGCTCTGAAAGAATCAGAAGAGAAGGGGAGCATTATAATCAGCATGGCCTCTAACATAATGTGGAGCTTTTAAAAAAAGTGCACAAGATTAAACAATTAAAATGTTTACACATTATGGTTACAGTAAAATCTAATTAATTACAAAATTAGATAGTATTCACTTGTTCTCAGGTTTTAGAAACCATGTGTATTAATTAATGACAACAAGATCTTATTAATTTTAATATACAGGCCATGGTTAATCCAAATAATCCTTGGAGTGCACCAAGTGTAAAGCACCACAAATGTGCAACACAAAAAGAGAGACTAGTGCTAACCAAAACAAAATAGCAAAGCCCATATCACTCAAGTAATAGGTGGGAACCATACAGAAAATACAAGAAGATCATCAACGCTTTGAGCCTACTTGCGTTGATCGTAGACACGCAGCCGATTTAGTAAACAGCAATATTGTTTTGACTTATTGTGTCGGCGAGAGCATATGCTTCAGAAATGCATGGATAATATCTACTGCCATTTGACAGTGACCACAGTATAGTACACAGCGTATGCGGCAGGCAGTTTCGTTTTCCAGGTGCTCAGGGCACCTAGTATTTGACAAAGAAAGCACACAATACTGAGCAGATGTTATTTAAAAAGTTAATAAATAAATAAAAAGCTCTTAGCAGGAAAGATAAAGCATAGTTACAAGTAAAGACCTTGATGTGCACAGCGTCGAAAGCAGAAAAAAAAAAAAGAAATCGCTCAATTCTTTTCTAAGAGCATGTCACTAGAGTCACAGGGCTTTCTAGCACAACGCTCTGTTACCTGATAGCTAGTTTGCTGCAACTTGCTCTGAAAGAATGCGAAGAGAAGGGGAGCATTGTAATCAGCATGGCCTCTTACATAATGTGAAGCTTTTAAAAAATAAAAGTAGCAGAAAAACTGCACTGGTATATAAATACAAATGCAGTAGTTATATTTGGGACAATAACAACTACATATAGCTTTGCAAAAACCAAAGAAACGACAGTAATTATAAAATTATCAGGTAAAAAGAAAAAACCTGATGTTCTCACAGGAGCCCTGCACCCTTTTTCAAATAAATCATTGACTGGTTTGATTAAAGGAGCTTATTGACTTATGAATCAACTGGCTAAAAAAATTTTTAGACTCCGTGAATTTTGAGCACAGTTATGGGGATATGCAACACAATGCTTTAATCGCTCCAAGTTATGCAAGGTGGGGGGGTGGGGGGAATGACAAAGGGGCAAGAAGCAACATCCGCTCATCAGCGCGTGTCATAACCTTAAGCACTTCTTTTCTTTTTTTTTGAATTTGCAGCTTAATTTCAGAGTGATCGCAAGCATGCAGGCAGGTCACGACATCCAACGGCAGCCACGGTAACCGCGCAGCTACCGATGTTCAAATCGGTCAGTGGCCATGAACTGTGTGTTAATGGCACGGCCATTTGTCGAGAGAAGAGCGAGCGATTTCCAGCTGAGCTTGAGCATTAATTAATAATGCCAGGCCTCAAACTGCACCATAGCATCTGGCTCACACGCTCTCGGGAGCCTTGACTACCGTTTTGCGGTGTTCTCCGACCATTCTGAAAAGGTGTTGCAGGGCCCCCATTAAAAACCTACTGCAATGCATGCGTGAATAAGTGTGCACTTGTCCAATATTCAGAAACAGTATATGCTTACTTCCAAAACCAGGTCAATGACCGGAGCCTGTTTTGTAGGAAAAGCCAGGGAAAGACTGTCGACAACAATGACTCTGAGGAAGTTCATGATGTATTTCCGTGCTGCGTGCTTCGACAAACCTGCATTAGACTCGGAACCTTTAGGGTTTGAGATTATCTGAAACGAAATGGTGAAGAGTGAAATCAGTGGTCTGCGAAAGATAATGGTGGCAAATGGTTTCAAATCGAATTTCATTTCACCTGAAAATCATCTGCTGGAGATGCAACTTCGCTCAAGCCATTCGCAAATGGAAACAGGGTGGCTGACAAGGCGCACAGAATGTCTGAGCTCATGCACATATTCATAAAATCTAGCCGGTTGTTGTAAAGGTACATGAGAAACTGGATGAGCACCACAGGATGGTCGTCCACACCTGTCATGTTCTCTGCACGTGGCTGAAAAGCGGCAGAGGGCATGAAGAGGGAGAGAAAAATAAAGTGATACTAGCAATTAGCATCAATAACCACATATCAGAGAAAATTCAGTAATTTAAAATTGCACCATGGAAACAAATTCTGTGTCCCAGCATTTCAATGAGTAGAACACTCCAGTGTGTGCCCTTATACCTACACTTAGGCAGCAGCATGTTTATGAGCATATAAAATTTTATCACAATATTATGCTAGCTAAATTTGTAAAAAAAAAAAAAAAACAGTGTTCGATGCTGTAGGTGCGGGCAGCATGCAGAAACATCAGCTGTTCGTAGATTACACAGCTCAGAGTGCAGCATGGTTAATGCAGCCAGTGTCGTACTTCCCAGCGGGAAAGCCCCACGCAATGAGTCAGTATGCTACCACAAGAAAAAAAAATATAGGAGCCAAACGAGTGCCACTCTTGCCACATTGGTGATATGTGTTCTGAACTGCTCTGAAAATTGCACAAAAATAGTTTGGCTCATATATTGCAGTTCTGTTTTTATAATACCGCCACATTTTCTAAATTCTGCCCAGTACTAGGCTGATGATGTGTTAAAATGCAAACGGTATATTAGCTGCACTAGAAGAATGCAACTGTTGTGTAGAATAGCTGATTTCAATTATCTGTACTGATATCTTTGTACACGTGTTTTCACAATAGGTGCACATGCACGCACTGGGTGTAAATGGGGAAAAAGGAAGAGTGCTGCTGCGTCCTCGAAATATGGCAGATTCGCTACCGCCACAGTGCACTTCATCTCATAGGTTTGAAGTATTTTCTTTTAACTGCAGTGGCCCATTTTGCAGCCACCTTCTGATCCAGAAGAAACTTGTGAAAAGCGACCTCATCAGGACCGTAAGTGCTGCGGCAGCCATATGCGCGCAGTTACTCAGCATTGCGAGTCCACTTCAACCTTGCACAAACGCAACTAGTGAATGTCAGATGGAAAAAATCTCTAATCAGAAGAAGAGTACGATACAATGGCAGAACTGATGCTTCGCCAGGCAGCAGATTGCAGCAGAAACAAGGCTCAACCGCGAAGTAAACAAGCTGAGCTGACTGAGCGATGCAGGCGCCTCGGCGCAAAGTTGCCCGCCGGGCGGCGGCTCAAACCTGACGGTGACGTCACATCCCCACGTGTCTAGCTCTCCCGTGCTCCACCCCTGCGCACGTGCATGCCGAAGGGCGTTTTTTTGGGTAAAGTTTGCTCGCTTATAGTGCCGTTGTTTAATCAAGCCTCACGAAAAAAACCTCCGTAGACATGTTGTAAGAGGTTGCGGATATAAATTCACAATAAATTTGCAAATTCAAAACCATTTCAGTTTCCTTTTAAGGGAGGACGCGGCTTTCGACAAATGAAAAAATGTCAAAAAAGTCCATTTTTAGAAAACAGTATATATTTGGTCAGTGAAATCTATAAACTACGTCCTCTGTAAATATCAGCGCCGAATTCGCACTAAAAGTACCTCAAATGAACCATTAGGCTAGCCGAGGCAGCACGTGAGGAGCGCAAGATCGTCAAAAATACCCGAACTTTGCGCACACACCGTTTCTTCCCCACTCAACCGAGCGTCCCCATCTTGGTCACGTTTTGTTCGTGATTTCTTGCTCTTTTTTTTTCCGCCATCACCGATGATCACAACAGCGTAGTTGAGGCATAACTGGCATGGCCGCTGGATGAAAAAGCGCATGGGTACGGCCCGCCGCGTGCTCCAAAACCGCATGACCGATCTAGTTCTCGAACAACTGCTGCGGCGCCACCGAGGGGGGGGGGGGGGGGGGGACAGTTTTTGCAAGCGCCCATGGAATTGCATGCGCGGCGCACTTGCGGTAGTTTTGATTGAGCGCGTGCATCTTTGTGTGACCCGCGAAATCTTTTACTATTCGTCTGGCGTGTGCTCACTATGTGTGCCCACCGACTTTGCTTTTAGATACCTGATGCCCTTGCAAATTTTTCATATTGTCTTACCCGAGATGAAACCTTGCACACCGATCAGTTTTCACGGAAGTAAAAATTGTGAGCACATTTTACTCGGATCCGACAAGATCACAACTAACAGATCTGGCAGATCCAGATCTTTCTAATGCATCTAAATTGATTATAGTAACTGTGAGTATGTGCTTCAGAAAATGTTGCTTCAGATTTAATCATTTCCTTTAGAATAAGTAACCTCAACAATTGCAGTTTCCACTGTTCCTTTAACACAAAATAAGATAAACTTTGTACTTCATATATATATATATATATATATATATGTGTGTGTGTGTGTGTGTGTGTGCGTGCGTGCGTGCGTGCGTGTGTGTGTGTGTGTGTGTGTGTGTGTGTGTGTGTGTGTGTGTGTGTGTGTGTGTGTGTGTGTGTGTGTGTGAAACTTCATATATAGCTATTCGAGACACTTTTCAGTATGCCTGCCAAATTTCATTACTCTAGGTCAACAAACGAAAAAGTTTTTTTCTATCGCCATCTTCCCCCTTTAAACTCTAGATTAAATTCTGGCATTCTTTTCAAACAAAGCTCCTGAAAGAAAACTTCCTTATTTCAGTCATGCTGTGCCAGCTGCTGGTTCGATGGAGCTAAGATTAATGATTAATAGTAGAAGATAAGAGAAAAAAAAAACATTGTCATTAATCCACGACATAGCTATATTTGGTACTTCCGGCCACAAGGAAGCATCAAGGTGAGCATACTCTCATAAAGTCAGCATGAGTTGACAGCGGCTAGATAGTTCACAAGAGCAGTTTAATACCAAGGTCATCTTGCAATGTGAGACCTAGATTCACTGACATTATAATTTACAGGGACTGATACTTCATATAATTTTAAAATATAACCATGAAATATCATGTCACCCCTCCTTAAAACCAGGCTTTATTTACAATTAGAAGTAAACCTCTGGCATACCTGGCTGAGAATGCATCGCACCATGGCTAACAGGACAACGACAAGCTCAATGTTGATGTCCCCTAGTGCCATAACGCAATGACCAGGCGGCTTGCCAAACAGGAATGTCCAAATGTTGTCCAGTGAGAACTGAAAGCAAACTCCTTTAGTAGGTCACACCTCTAAAAAAACTTCCTTAATAATCCTTACGCCACAATAACAGTGTATTTTCAGACAAAAAAAAGTGTTGAAAAACAAAATAAAGAGAAAGACATTTAATGCAACTAGACATCTTTGTTTTATTACAGCTGCGTTTAAAAGATGTTGAGGTGCTGTGTACATCAACACCATAATTTCTCATGCATAAGCCGCCTCTTTGTATAACTCGCACCTCCAACAATAAGACACGAACTACAAAAATATATTTTTTTAAAATCATGTATCACTGCAATGCCAGCTTTCTTGCACAATCATGAAGCAGTGCCATGAGGCCAACCTATACCTAAACATTCGTACCCAAAATATTTTATTTCAAAGTTTTATATAGCATTGTACAATACACCAAACTATTTCCCCCAAATTTTTTTAGAGCTCAATATATGCAGGTTTGACTGCATGTGAATAACATTAAATCTCCAGTTAATATTTTCTACTATAAATTTTTATTCTGCATAAAGATGTTTAAAACCAGTCAACTTAACACTATTTTAATTAGAAAAATGATATAATTTATACTCGTGATTTGGTCACAACGCACATAGGCATATTTTTTAAACTACTTCCTCGTTTTTAATCTGCATCTTGCCAAAGTGCCCATTATTTACGAAATGTGAAAGCCTTTTACCCTGTCTGTATGGCAGCAAACTTGTTTTCTCACACATAAATTTCGCTGAAGCACGAAATAACATTGAATGAATTTGAAGAAGCTGACCTGCAGGCCACATGGAATGCGACTGACGGGGCGTCCCATGAGCATGGCCAAAAGAAGGAAAAAGATGTCTGGTACTGTGACATGCTGACACATGAGCCACTGGAGTTGCTGGAAACCCGGCACTTGGTATGCCTCTATCCTGATTGACTGGCTACCACTGCCTTTGTTGTTGGCTGTAGACACATTAAATCCTGAAACAAGAAGCCGGAGCAAAGAGAAGGACAGAAGAAATGCTCACCTAACAACCAATTTGCGCATTGCAGCCTGCCCGATGCACTGAGCTTTATACTTCAAGCGTGACACGAAACATGAACAGTGGTGTTTTTAAAGGAATATTAAAGGTCGATGTTGATTGTTGAAATAGCGGTCCAGAAACCTCGTAGTGTTACTTTTTTACCAATGAAGGGCTTATTTTGAAGTAAAGTCACATTTCAGTGGTCTGCATCAGGTTAGCGCGTTTCAAATTACCCGCCTCAAATAGCGGACCGTCTAACGTCCCTGTTGCGTGCACAACATTGCCCACTTCACTGCACAGCCGCCGACACCAGTAGCAGCAGAACAAAACAAGCGGAGCCACAGCAGCAACAACGGCCAATGATCAATTTCCTGCCATTGGCTCCAAAATAGCAGACATGTTTTCGTTCAACTGGGCCCTGCTAGATGCTAGATCTGTCCAGTTTAACCACGCGAAAATTGAACTTTCAAACCACTCATGCCAATCCCCATTAGTAACATCCGGCGGTTCTTTTTTCCATGAACCAAACAAAAACAAACAAGCAGCATTTAATTACGTCTCTTGATGCACGCATGGTTCTTTATTTGGTGCAGCTAGATCAATTACTAGTGATTAATTGTACGCAGTTCATCTGACATCATCGAGATCATTTTGAGAACGTCCTACTGCGGTGAATGTATTCTTATGCATTTGCCTTGATTTCTCGGTAAGTAGGGCACTGCTGTTGAAACTGTTGTTTTAGATGTTGTCATGTACTGAGTTTTCACTCTGACGTAAATTATTATTCGACTTTAATGTCCCTTTAATAGCCAACTCAAAAAAAAAAAAAACTTTAGTCAACGAACCCTAGGAGGTCAAAATATTCCAGAGTTCACCACAATCCTCACAAACATATTGTATGTAGTTTTGGCAAGTACAGTGCAATCCACTTATAATGATATGGACAAAATCGGTAAATTCAATCATTCTCACTATCATTATATGTGAATAGATACAAAGAAAAAGAGAACACACCCATGTTTACACATACAGGCAAACTTATTGATTTGATTTGATAAGTGGGGTTTCATGTCCCAAAACCACCATATGATTATGAGAGACGCCGTAAAGGAGGGCTTATAAAATTTCGACCACCCGGGGTTCATTAATGTGCACCCAAATCTGAACACACGGGCCTACAGCATTTTCACCTCCATCGAAAATGCAGCCGCCGCGCCGGAGCCGGGATTCGATCCCATGACCCGCGGATTAGCAGCCGAATACCTTAGTCACTAGACCACTGCCGCAGAGCATACATGTAAACTATAGTTACTCACCAACAATAAGTGAACGAGGTCGAACAATGCAAGCTATGGTAAACAACACTGAGCACATTATTAAAAGCCACATAAATGGCCATATAATTATGTTAGCATGATAATGAAAATTTTTTTTTTCAAAAGTCGGAATTCTTAAAGACATTTTTATTAGGTCCATTCGATTCGCCTGCACCACGTGAACCAGTTCACGAGGTGCTGCACCTTGCCATTCGTTTCAGCGGTGCAGCATTGACGACCGCTGAACCCTGCCATTCGTTTCGAAAGGTGCAGAAGAGGTGCAGCACCGGTTCACGATTTTCCTGCACCTCCTTCGCTGACGGTGCCGGCTTGGTGCAGGCGCGCGTGCAGCTGAGCAGACGACGCAGCACTTACACGTAGGTGGCTTAGACGCCGTACCCGCCTCTACAAATGCGGTGTGTTTTGCCAAGATGTTTGCGCCTCATAAACTGTCTGCATGTGCGTTTTGCCATATATCAGTGTTTGCTGAACGGTATAAATTAACGAAAAAGAAATAAGGCCAACACCTTGTCGGCACATCGTCATTTGTTTCGGGTGTCGTGGTGTGCCTGCACCGCTGAACTCACGCTGTACAATTTCTGAACTTCGCGTGCACAGCCGTGAGCCGGTTCCGACCGGTGCAGGTGAATCGAACGGACCTATTGTTGAAATCGTCAACTGCAAAAGCCCACATTTTTTTTCTGAGACTTCCCACCTTTAAACCCAGCCAGAAATCCCGATGATTTTTTCGTGTGAGACTTCCCACCTATGGACCCAGCCAGAAATCCTGATGAATTTGCTACTTCATGTGAAGAAACATTGCCTAGTGCCTTGCACTCAGCACTATCTTTCATGAATGCACAAACTGATGGAAAGCCGTGTGAGAATTGTAGCTAGGAGTTGAGCAGCTAGCGCAGATGCAACAAACGAAGCTCTTTTCCCTTACAAATTTCTGCACAGCGGTTAGATTAATGCCATTGTTATGAGTTTTCATGCCTTTCATCTTACTTATATCAAACATGGAGGCAGATTTTTTTAGCAAGCATCTTCTGGAAGGCAAGATTTCAATGGTTGTATCTGATGCGTCGCCGATAATTGAATTGTTACAAATGGTTTGCGTTTACATAGGGTCAGTGGGAAAATTAAGAAATGGGATTAATTTGACCATTATAAGCAATAAATTGCTATATCTGGTATCATTATAAATGGATTACTCGGTAATATCCCACCAACTTAAAATATATATAGAGACTATAGTAGGTGTGTGTATGTATGAGTGATAACAAGGGTGGGGGCGAGGCAGAACAGCAGTTATTTATCTATTTACTTATTTATTTACTTATTTATTTATTCATTCATTTATTTATACAATACTGCTAACTAGCTGAGGCTGTAAGCAGGAGTGGGAGTAACAGGTACAAAATAAGGTGAACAAATCAAGATACAACATTCATGGCATAAGAACAAGAAAAAAAGAAAAGAACGCTCCAGACAAACAAAATGTAAACCGTAATCGCAACTTGTCAAGCACTGGTATGCGCAAACTGACTGCAGAAAGATATGATCATATTTGCGTAAAAAAAAAAAAAACAGATACGCGACAGCCGTATCGCATCAACTAAAAGGGTTTTTAAAGAAAATGGTTATAATGCGCCCTGCAGAAAAACGAAACAGATAAGTGTAAGGCATATAGAAAGCATTTGAAACTACACAGGTTGTAAAAAAATCGTGAAGGCGATCGCACCTGAAGAATTTTTACAAAAGAATCAGTAGTTGGACATTCCACAACACTGGCTGGGAGGCAGTTCCACTCAAGAGTTGTCTTAGGAAAAAAGAGTTTGCATAAGTTTCAGTGCGGCAGTTAATCCTCTTATCACCAAAACTGCAGTTGAAATGCAGAATAACTAAACTGCAGTACAAACAAATAAAATGAGGGGAAAGTGCAATTTATTGGATCACTGATTTGTTTTGAGCATGAGGCACTGCCCTAGGATCTCAGTGAATTAACAATGAACCAACAGGAGTGGGAGGTACAAACGCACCCTAAATACTAGTGATTTTTAGTGTACACATAATGTCCCAAGGTTTTCGGGCAAGAGGCAAATCTAAGTGCCAAATTAAAACAAATGTCATATCAGCACAAATATATCTATGCACAGGTTCTCACTACGGAAATACCATGTGGAATAGAAAATAATAACTAATAATAATAATAAAATATAACTCATATATACTATTATCAGTATTATGCCAAAAAAAGCATATCAGATTTAAGCCTCTATCCTGCAGTGCATTAGCGGAACAGCCATTCTGGTGTGTTGCCTGCTCTGCGGCCAATTTCTGCCCTCCACATAGAGTGCAAATCATTGCAGCCAGTAATCGACCATTTCTACATATCAACATAAATTACTTTTGGCTGCAATCAGGCCTGATTCGGTTTGTATTTCTTCCTTTTGACTAGCTCCTTTACGCAAGCTTCAAAACAAAGCCAATCACTATTGAGAAATTTGACTCCTATCTGGCTTGATTGTGATCAGCAGTGCACCGCGTGACACTGCCATGAGGTCTATCTTCTTCAGTTCTTCAATAATGTCATAGGCGCTTGCATACATACATGTACAGTTGGCGTCGAAAGTTTGGGGACCACTAGGTTTGAGAAAATTATGAATTTCTGAACAATCTGCGATTGTATTGGGTTGAAATACACAGTAAATATTGTTAGTGCATATTAGAACTAGGCCAGAAATTTAATTTCAAAGCTGCCTGCTAAATCAGCAGGAATACTTAACTTTTTCTAGCGGGTACTGTCTCTAAATATTTTACACTGACTATACAATGTAACATACAATGGGAAAAAAAAAGAAAACCATCAAAGAAGGGACTAACCCAGCAGAACCGTGGTTCTATTCTGGAGCACAAGGTCAGTCTCGGTGAGCCAGCCGCCATTGTGAGAAGCCTCACGAAAGCGCTGCATCAAGCTTGGACAGCTGAGAAACACTGTGAGGCACTGCAAAGCTAGCACCACTGTGGTTGGGTGTAAATGGCTCTGCATGAAAAGCATTAGCCAGTCCATGCCTAGAACTCGAGCTATTTCCTCGCAGAACCTGCAAGGGAGATAAAAACGTTTTTTTGAAAAGTTGAGAATCTATCTGAATTTAATCATGTATTTACAAAGTAAAAAATAACTAAATGATCATATGGTGGATCATGTTCAAATAAAGACACGGACACAAAAAGACTGGACAGGGACACACCCAGAGTTAAAAGTTTGCACCAGTCCCTGTCTGGTCCTTCCGTGTCCTTGAGTTTATTTGCGCACATCAGTTTAGTTTGATGGTGTATCATATGTTTACTCTCATAGCACTTATACTTATTTTCTGTAAAAGATTAAGACATTAAGCTTAACATTTATAAGTGAAATATTCAGTATTTCACACCCCATTCACATCCCCTTCTCATTTGCTCAGGAATTCTTGCTTCTCAGCAGATAGCTCAACTCTGTTGTGGGGAAGAAATGTCTGTGCGCATGACATTTGCCGCTGTCAACTCTCCTCGGGTGTCTTACAAGTACGGTTGCGGAGCACCCATTTGGCATCTGCAAGGCAATATGCACACCTACGTGCCTGCACACTTCATTGATTACATGGCTGATCATAATACTGATGAATTATGGCTGTTCTTTGTTATAGATCACTCCACTCATTATGAAACAAAGGGGCAGCGTAGATTGAGCAACGAAGCCATTTTTTATTTCATCACTAAGAAATAATACTACAAATATACTCTGAAGAGCGAAACCGTGCACTGGTGACCGCGTATGAGTGCTCAAAGCTATTTAAAAATCCACCAAAAAACAAGCCTCCTGAAGCGATGATTGCTTAGCATGTTCTTTTCCAACATTTATTGCTGCACATATGACTTTTTCTAATAATTAAGGGGAGATTCTACTGAAAAAAAAAACACAACTCTTTTTCCACAATTACATATGTTTTGTTTTTACTTGCTTCTACAAGTTTAGTTTCTCTACTTTCACGACAAAAAAAATATATATATATCAACGTTGTAGTTAAACTGAAAGCAGGTAAAATTGCCTTTAAAAAGCACAAGGTGGCTATTAAATATAAAGAGCCCATTGTCTAGAGCCCCCTGCAAATTGTCACCTGGTTGCTTGCCACTGCTTTTCGCATGTGGAGTTCTCCAAAGCCACATGCTCAAAATTAATATGCTAGCTCTCATGATGGAAGAGAATGTTTTACAAAGCATATCTTTGCCACACAGATGAGCTTTCATTTCTTTAAATGTTTCTTTCTCAATATAAAATTTTCGGCAACTTCTTGAGTTTGGACATTAAGTTTTTGGTAGTTCTAATAACCAGATCAGGATAAAATTTTTCCAACATATTCCTTAGCATGCAAAGAGTGTTATTATTTTTTATAAAATGCAATATTGCTTATATAGTTATTATAAACTTATTATTATAAACTTATAAAAAAAAGTAATTAGTATGGACAGAGCATGCTTAAACTTCTTACATTACAGTTTTTCTCATTCACTCAAATGCTTATTATAGATATGCTTTTATAGTTATTTGTATTTTACTGTTCATGTGAAACAATATGAACCATCAATACCTCATAATCATAAAAGTTTGGAGGCAGAAAAAGTCTGTCTACAAAGACCCATATTTTACATATAGTCAAGGAACAAAACGAAAACCATGCAACTTACTATAACATTGATTACGTATTTCAAATCAGGATAAAAGCTTACATAAACAGCAAAAATTTCAATGCACTAGGCTACAAATTAAAGAAACATTTTTTTTTTCAAGTTGTCTCTCCCCATATTTTAGTATGGCTAGATCTGTTAAATAGATTCATTTTCAATCATTTTTGTAAATTTCGATTGCAAATCTTCTCATCAGGGATGCTTTTATAGTGTGCAATAAAAGCTCATTAACATGGACTTCACAGAAACACAAAAGAATCTTCAAATTAACCAAATTCTGAATTACCAAAAGTAACAAAACAACTATAAATAAACCACAAAACGAAGATAACGTTATGAGAGACGCCGTAGTGGAAGGCTCTGGAAATTTTTCCCACCACAAAAAAACTATAAACAGATGTCTATAGTCATCCGACTCTGGAGTCTTGCGGACACGTAGCGCCACCTGTCGACGCAGTTTTTCCCTTGCACAGTTTGCTGCCCAACCAGGTGCAAATACAGCAAAAAAAAAAAAAGTAACTGAGCTAAATATTAGATGTATTTGAGCATTGAACTCTTATAAAAACAGGTACGAGGTTTTTTCCGATAGTCAGGTGCTTTACCGAACCACCGTGAAGTGCTTGCTGGTTCATTCGCCAGAACGACGGCGAAAACAAGAGCAGACGCAACAGCTTTGCGCTGTACTAAAAAAAGACCCCAGACGACACTACAGTTGCGTAGTGAATTGCTATGGACGTTAAAGACATCGTTTTACTGTTTCCCGCAGCTTTCGCGAAGCAGAACGGCGAGAGCGCTGGACATGGGCTGTCGTGTTGGGTAAGCGAATCACTCGCGCTGTCTACAGCTATTCATGTGAGAAAGTGCGATAATGTAGGTCTCCTGTTATTGTTTTGAGTATCTTTGATATGAAGGGGAAAGGAACGGTAGTAATTTTTACTATGAAGCTTAACAGACCCTCTGACCGCGGCGCACACCGTGCAGCAGTAAACAGGTAACACGCTCGATAAACATCGCACACGCCGTGACTGCCAATAACCTGAAGCTCCACAGCATTACACCTGAGGGCTTTCAAAGTTTTGAGTTCTGGCTTTATCTGTGAAATGGGAACATGCACGTCATACAGGTAAATCGCAAAAGGATTGTGACCACAATAAGTTTTTTTTCTTGCCATTGGTCTCCGCAATTGCTGTAGCTATCTCGGAGGTCTCGGTTTCGCCTTTCATTGTACACCGAGAAAGTGGACACTCATGCATCTCCATTTGCAGTATATACAGATGGATGAGAACCATCAACAGAACATTCTAGCATGTGTAATAAAGCAGTTCCACGCACAGGAAGCAAGAGATCGATGAAGAATGCAACTGCAATGGTGAAAATTGCCAGGACTATTTGTGCCGAATAAAGCGAACCTCATACCACTGATCATAAGATAGATTGCTCGTGTATGCACTTCATCACTTTGGCATCATGTGTATGCCCAAGTTTAACGCATTTAGGCGTTACAGAACGAACGCCGGAGTGCTTGCCTGAAACTCAATGACATGCGATGTTCGCTTGCACTTAAAGTGCCAGTTGCAGTATGCCGAATCAACTGAAACATCTTTCGCATTGTACCGACAGTTTGTTTTGATGAGCTTCCTACTTTTCTGAAGCGAAGTTGGATTGAAGTAAGAAGCTTGTCAAGTCCTTGATTTTCAGAAAACTGTGCCTCAAGGCCAACGAAAGAGGAGGGCCTATGCAGGTTCGCTTGCGGACAGCTCGCTTTGCACTACCCATTTATGACCGGCACGTCAACACAGGCACTGATGGTGGCGTTTTTCACAGCGTCGCCTGGGCAGAGTCTGACATCTATTACATCATTTTCTTGATGAATATGTAAATGCTGTACTTATCTTGCGTAAGAGCAGTGTAAGAGCTTTAATTTCAGTCATCCGGAAACTTCTTTTACACTGCGACTATGACACAAGATTCCTATGTCTCAGTTAAGTCGAAACATCCTCTGCCTTCTTCCCTAATTACTACCACTATCACCTCCACCACCACGACTATGTGCACATGATGATACTTTTTTTTTCAAAAATAAACAAAAAGAATTTGCGGAATTCACTGAAGCCTTGGTCACCTACTATGCGATTGTGTATGGTCACCACGCTTTTTCGAACACCTGTGGCCAACGAGCTGTCACACGCGATGATAAACTGAAATACACACGAAATATTCTGGCTTTCCAGTTGTCACTATGAAGTTTGCACTGATGACCATGGCAGTGCGGTCTGTGCTGCCTTTTCGCAGAGCACATTTTTACTGCACTGCATTCGCCGTGCTCCCAGAATCACCTGAATTAATAAAATTGGGGACAATTAAATCCGAATTGATACGAGTTTGATTCCATTGAACAATTTATATGCTGGCCAGGAGCAGAGAACCCATCTGAATCACCACATTACCCGAATGAATAAGGGTTCCATTAATGAGCGTTTACTGTAGCAATTCTTTTATGCTGCCAGCATTTTAAGCACGTGCTTTTGAAAGAATTTCTTTTTTTAACACTAATTTTTTTTTAATTTTCGAAACTTAACATACCTTTTCTAAAAAACTATTCAACCGATTGCACTGAAATTCTTTCAGATAATATTTTGAATATCTTCTGAATAGTCCCAATTGTAACACATTGAGAAAGTGTGCAAGTTATACTTGAGAAAAAAAAAAGAATGAAGTTTAAAAAAGATTAGAAGTTTCTCTGATAGCAGATGACAAGTGATGGATATATATATCTTTTTAGACATAAATGTAGAAACCTTTTTCTTACAACTAAAGATTAATCTCACTACTATGCTGAATTAGCATATCAAGGTTGACAATCATACATTGTTTTTCATTCTTGAGAAAAGGTACATTTAACTTCACACCCTAGGGCAAAATTTTGTACTCAAATACAAAAAAAAACTAAGAAAGTTTACAGGGTCAAAATTGCACAAAGTGAAGAATACAAGCTTTCTCATTCAATATGCAATAACTTTAAATGTCAAATTTCTTGAGATATAAGGTTGAAATTAAGATAATTTGTTTACCCTATCACACCCTATTAGCATGGTGTGATGCCTGGAGAAATTCTATGCTTCTTCCAGGCAATATTAAATTTTTTAATGGCAGACCTTTCTGGACATACTCCCTCTGTAGGGTATTCTTTTCAAGCAGTTTCAACCACTGGTGTGGCTCTGCGGTATAATACTTGACTGCCATTCAGAATGCTTGGGTTCAATTGCGGCTGGAAGCATTCGGGATTTTTCACTCACCAGCAACGCCACAGACACCTAAGCCAACACCAACACCACATTTTCTGATATACAGGCTTGTTACACAATCACATTAATATGAAGTTCGGAGGTACGATCATACATAAATTAAATATGAAAAAGAAAATTGCTGTAATAATGTTCCATAAACCAGTCATTAAAAACTCAAACAACAAATTACTTCCCAACAGCGCATGACTTAGTATTGAGAAAGGTTCCACACAAAGATTCCAAAAGGCCCGTAATGACGGCAGCATGGCCGTAACAGCGAACTGGTTTAATAAGCCAGACTTTTGAAAATAATCCCTGAACCAGTGTGTCATAACTAAATTAAATTTAAACAAAAATCTAAATACTTATAGCAGTTCTGAATGGACCTTGTCCCCCACAGCAGCTAGAAGTGCAAATCACCAGGGCCCGATCCATGGCTACATTAGAATATCATATGAATTCTTATACAGTCGAACCCCGCTACAACAAAACTGACGGGGGGGGGGGGGGGCGGAAAAAATTTCATTGAAGCGAAAATTTCTTTGTAGTGAAATCGAAATAATATAGCTGATCTGAGCAAATGAAACAAGGGAGCGTTTATTCTCAAAATTCAAAAAAAGTCCGCTGCTTCCTATTTTTTCCCAGCAACAACGCGACGTGATTGTCGACCATGCATAGCGACGCCATGGTGAAAAAGCACGCTGAAACAACGCCTAAAACCGCCTTCGTGAACGAACCAAATAGTTGCATTAACACAACATTAACACCAGCAGCTGTCCGCCGTCAAAAGTATCCGACAACGCCGAGATGAAGGCAGGGTATCGTTGAGCGGCGACTTTAGCATTATTCTATGCCATTCTTATCATCCATCACTCGCGGCTCGCTGAGTTGGTTGATAATGCGGACGAACAGCCGCTCTGATTAGTTACCACAATGGCCAAGCACAAACATAATGATAAGCAATGGAAAAGCCATCTTGCCGCAGTTGCACCTAGCAGCTGCGAGAAGGAAACCATGAACTGAGCGACTGAGCTTCAGCTTCGAATCGTCTCTGGCTCAAAAGCAAGCCAGTGGCAAAACAAAAGCAGGGCAGCCTCATTGCCATCGCTATCAAGCAATCGTGGCGCCCATGCTTGCTGAACAGCGACGGTATAGCGGCGGTTTCTGGTGGTGCCAACGCGTGTTTTAGACTATGTTGAAGCATTTTCAGGCTCTGAAAATGCATCAAAATGTTAAAGACTGAGTTTACTGCATAGCAATAAGTATCTGAGTCTGGAATTGCATCGTAAAACTTTGTTGAAGCGGGACGATAGAAAAAAAAGTGTTCGTTGTGGCAACAATATCATGTATTGACTCCTATGGACTGCTGACAGGGAATCATAAATTTTTTGTTGTAGCTGAAATTTCATTGAAGCGGCATTGGTTGCAGCAGAGTTCGACTGTATGCATGACCTTCTTTAAATAGAGGGTGCCAAAACATGTAGCCCACTTACGGAACATTAACATTTTTTGAACCGTGATAAGTCATCAGGTGCAAGATGTGCAGGCAACGGTTTCTCAGGCACACATGATGTATCAGGAGTGCAGTCTCATCCATTGGAGCTGTAAAAATGGACCAGCAGAAAATGACATGTAGTAAACAAAAAATGCACTGCCAAGTTTCGTACACACTTTCAAAATAAATGCAAAATCACGTCCCTTTGACAAAGAAAAATGTAAAACAGTAACACACGTCAACATACGTGCATTTTCTGAAGCCTCCAAGTCCCTCTTCAAATTAAGTGGCTTTTCAGAAACCATGGAGTTTGGAAGTGTTGATACCACAAACTGGCCGAACCTTTAGGGCAAAATGTAACGAAAAAGAAGAAAAAAAAGAACGGTGAAATGTGGTAACAATTTTAAGGTACTCCAGCTACATCTAAAGTTTTCCGCTAGAAGAGTCAATATCTGTTTGTCCTGTGATCAAATTTCAAGAAGATGCTGCAAAAATTTGCAGTCACACCACATTTGATGTAAGAAGGCAAAGGGCAATTTCCATTAATTAATCTGAAGAAATATAAAGAGTGCTATAATACAAACTGTAGAACACTAGTCCTGTTTACAGTAGCAGTGGCAAAACATAGGGTAAACCTCAGTCATAGTGAAAATGAGGCGACTAATAAAAAGCAAATTAGAAAGTATATCGACATAGAGTATATGAGTATGAGGCTATTTTACATTGGAGGAAAATCTTAGCAAAAGTATACAGTTTATTTTTACTGCATTTGCTCTATATCTCAAATGAAATGTCTACACATTTTAAACCAACCATTCAAACCTTGCAATAAACGAAAATGGTAGACTTTGATTGGTTCATCCCGCTGCATCTACCAAATCATTTTATTGCCCTCCCCAACCCAAAAAAAGAGGCTAAACTGAATTGAATATATATACCTCAAAATGTCGCCATTTCTGTTTGTGTTCTGAAGGAGCGTCTTGAGGAGATTGCAAAGAAGCCGTATAGTTGAAGGGCTGAGATAAGGATCTCTCAACATCATGAGCACCTTGGTCACCATCTCCAGGTCACGCAAGATTCGCAGGTTGGCCTTTTGCTCACTGAAAGCAAAACCAGAACTAGAATCAATTTAGGAGTGAAAAACTGAGAGCAATAACACTTTTTTAGGTAGCACTTGAGAAATATTTCAGTTCTAGCTTGTTTGTAAATGTGTTACTTTTTGCAGAATACCAGGTTAGCAGTATTTCATGAAGTATTTAACAATATTACGTCCCCACTTTGACCGGCCTCTCTGTTCACCGACTGTCGCCTGGAAAACTAAATTTTACAGCTTTTGAAGGAAAATCTGCATTTAGTGACGTTAGAAAAATTCCTCCAGGACTTCCCCATAGTGTGATATCTGTTTTGGTAGAAGGCATAGCAGCAGAGGCATTAATTGGAACTGGTGCTAGTTTGTCAGTTATACACCATGATCTGTGCGTGCGTCTCCACAAAGTTACTACACCCTACGATGAATCTATGTTGCTCATTGCTCAATAGGACACCAATCGACCTTCTGCTCAGTGCACTGTTTGTGTCTACATAGATGAAATTCTCCATTATATATGATTCGCAGTGCTTAGTTCGTGTAACAGCTCATATTAGGGTGGAATTTTCTTTCAACGGCATCCGCCTCTATCTGCTGTACCTCCACCACTTGCGATGTAGTGCTCTACAAGCCTTTATAAGACCTGGAAGACGTGATCAAACCAGTCACACCTGAGGCACAGGACAGACTCAAGAGATGTCCCCACAAACAAAGATGAAGTACACCCTGTGATGATGGTTACATACAAGTGATGAAGAAGTGTTTTATGAATGCCCACAATATTATACGAGCTTTTTTGTCAGAACACCACGATATGATAATGAGAGACGCCGTAGTTGAGGGGTCAGTAAATTTTGACCATCTGGTGTTCTTCAACGTGCACTGACATCACACAGTACATGGACCTCCACCATTTATTCTCCATCGAATTATGAAATATTTCAAAACAACAACCAATTACCTGGACTCTGTAATGAGCTCGTAGAAGTGCTCATAGAGAGACTTGTGCAGGTCCCCCGGTGCATCCCGCCATACCTAAAACACAATAAAAAAGTTGTATAATGTTGGCAATCAAATTATCGTGCCCAACGACGAAATTAGCATACATCAGACTCCTGTTAGATGAAGCCTGAAGGGACCAGGAAAATTTGTTTCATGGAAGAGAGTTTCGTTTATTAAAAAATAAACAGGGCTACAAAATTCAAGTATAAAACCAATCATATTAGAGGCTGTTCCATTCACACAGCAATTTCGTTTTAAGAAAATTTTGTTTGATGGGAGTCTACTGTATTAGCGCAGCTACTACATGTGCACATGAACCAAAAGAAAGCAGTGTTAGGTCACCATGCATAGGGCAAGGTCTGCACTATAACATGAAATGGAATAAGGCTTGAGAAGAAGCTCGTTGGGAAATTAAACAAAATAAAACAAAAACAAGTGAAAAGAAATATACACCGTATTCACTCGCAAAATTCTTGCATCTCCCACATTGCCCAACAAAAATGAGATTTTTTTTTTTTTCCATGAGCAATCATCGCACCCCCGAATATCACAGCCATAATGTCATCTGCTCCCTCCAAGCACTGATGATGATAGCGCACAACAGCCAGGCACTACCTCTTAAGCAGCAAACTATCAATGCACGGAGCAGCAATCCAATCCAAGCCAAGCCAAAGTGGCAAATTCACATTGCGGCGTTCATGTGTACACTCTGTGGTTACGTTATGACGCGATACAAAAGCTGCACCGCTGCTTTCAAGTTGAAAGTAATGGCAAGAGGGCCGCCAGTAGGCACCTTGGAGTCTAAGAGTTTTGTGTTTGCTACTGGCGATGGCAGCATGGGCAACATAAAGCCACCAAGATGTGCTGGGCCTACCGTAAGCCTATGACTGGGATGGATGCCAAAAGTTCATTTCGTCAGAAGGTAACTGCGGACGATTCCGTGTTAAATGGCCATCAACACAAAGATGATATCGTATGCTGACCTTTTGCAGGCTTTCGTTCTGTAATGAACGCTAACACTACGCCCGCATGCGTTGCATATGGTATTCCGAAACTCTTTACTTTTGTGTCTCAATTAAATCTTGCATTGTGTTGATCCTGTGGTTGCATTGTTAAGGTAACTCTTGATTCAGTACTTTTCAAAGCTTGTAATTAGTTCCTAGCATGAGAAACCAGATTTGCGGCCACTTCGTTTTTTGTTCCACTCCGTGCGTTCTCGCAAAAATTTTTCCTCGCATATTTCTCGCAGCCCTCAACCTCTCATCGGGTTTCCGCGAAAAAAAAAGTTTGGTACACGATAGTTAGCCCATGTTTGCAATTGTTAGTTTTTCACATTGTAGGAATCTAAACTAGCTCGCCGCCTTTGCACGGGCTTTGCCGCCTCCTTCTACGTTCTTATGTCGCGACATGACTCTCCTCTCCTCTGCGGTCTGTCGTGCTGGGAGAGCGGGGAGTGAGGTTTAATCCCTCTCGCCCAGTAGCGGATGTTGACTGTGGCGCCGTGCACGGAGTCTTTTGAGATGTTTTGCGTGTGTGTGTCGGGAGTGAGAGAGATCTCTCTGGGACAAGTGAGGGTGAGCACCCATTTCTTTTCCATCCGTCAACTTCCGTTGTTTTGGGCTAATGCGGACTTTGCGAACGGCGCCTTGTGCCCGCGGCGAACGCTTACCTTTTGTCGCCCTTCTTTCAAACACTAGGCTGAAGAGCGGTGTGGTGTCCTAGTGTGTGGTCAAACTGCGCCAACCCGAATCTCTTTGAAGCCAACACGAGCGCCTTCGCCCACGCTCGAGCAACCGGGCCCTTTGTACCGGTGTCACCATAAATCACTTTTGCCCAAGGAGACGTGCTCGCGGCACCCCTGTGTAGTACTTCTCACCCGTGGCATGAATAAGCCCATTTGCTTCCCACGGCTCATTTGCGACGGGCTCTGTACTGTGTTTTGGTGTTGCCGCAGGCAATAAAGTGTTACGACCTTGACGGTTAACGTGTGCCCTGCGGCTCGCTAAGACTGGACCCATGCTAGTGGCTGCACTCCTTCAGGATACATGTACACTACACTGGCGCCCAATGTGGTATAAAAGCTTTTGACTGCTCGTAGCGAGTCAGTTTGCCTGTGCAATTCGGGCTCATGCCAACATGCCTGCTTCGTGGCATTTTTGTTCGCTCACCCTTTTAGGCGGATGCCGCGTTGCACAAAGAGGCCATTGCCTCTATCGACGGGAACCCCTTTTGCACCCATCCCTGTCTTCACCCCCTTTTGTGGTGAACACACAACCAACGTGGTAGCTGACGTGCTATCTCGTGCCCCCTGTTGGCTGCCGAGAACCTTGACCTTGGTGTGATGGCCGCTCGTGGTGCCTTTGCACATGCAAGCGTCGGGAGCGAAACAGCGGCAAAAAGGGGAAGTCCTCATGCGGACGACCTTGGCTGCTAACCAGGTAAGCGGCGCATTGCGTAGCGGCCGAACAGGGGAGCTTTCCGAAGGCCACAGTGCCGAGAGCGAACCCGTGACACCGTGCAGGCGACGGTTGCTGCGGTCCTGAGTAGGCGCGATACCAGACTCCTCCCTTTAGGAGAATGAGAATCGCTTCCGGCAGCGAAGAGCTACTGAAGGCTTAGCAAAGTGATCCATTTCGAGTCTCGGAGAGACGGATCGCCGTATACGCTGCTTGCTCTGCGGCGGGCGCCGATAACTACCGTCTCGAAGAGACACGGAGCGCCGTTACTTTGCTTGTTCGGCAGCGGGTGCGAATAGGGGGCTGAAACAGCGTGTGCCGCTGAGTCCCTGGCGGATTCATATTCGCTGGACCATGACGGGCTCCTGATGAAGTATATAGCCACTGACGACGAGTCCACCAACCCCTTTTAGGTGGTTATGCCCCAGAGTCTGAGAGCCGCACTGTTACGATCCTCTTACGACGAACCTACAGCCGGTCACCTGTGTGGCTCAAAAGTTTTTACAAAACTGAGCCGCGTTGTGACCTGGCCCGGCATAAAGCGTGACATTTTTTGCTATTGCCGTTCTTGCCACGTCTGTCAAACAGTAAAATCAAGGGGTGGCAAACCGCCCAATCTAACGAAACCGATTATCAGTGAGCGTTTGTGGCAAGTGGCCACCTACAAACTAATGGAACCATTACCTAGAAGTAAGCAGGGGTTGATTCACCTGATGGCAGTTGTTGATCACTTTTCGAAGCGGGTGGATTTGTTCCCTCTTCGGAAGGTGACAGACCGAGCAGTGCTTGAGAAGCTGCAAGAAGTGTTTTACTGGTTCGGCTTTCCAGAAAGGCTTATCACGGACAATGCTTCGTATTTCACCGCTCGGGTGTTTGGTGTCACGTGCCGTTCCCTTGGAATTGATCACTGCACCACTTCACCCTACCATCCCCAGTCCAATTCGACAGAGCGCGTCAATCTTACGCTCAAACCAATGTTGGCGACCTTTGCTGAAAGTCAAAGGGACTGGGCAGACCATTTGAGTGAGCTCACGTTCGCTACTCGAAAATCCGAAAGACACTCAACTGGTTTCTCACCCGCCTTCATAAATTTTGGAAGGGAAATGCAAATTTGGTGACCAGCGTCATTCAATGCCAGCTCGAGGACGAGGAGACACAGGCAGACTGCTCTGCTTGTGTGTCGACACTTCAGGACATGCTTTGTCGAGCTTTCTGCAAAGCGACCCCAGGTGGTCAAAACTTCCGGAGCCGTCCACTACGGCGTCTCTAATAATCATATGGTGGTTTGGAGACGTTAAACCCCACATATCAATCAATCAATCAATCAGCGATGCCAGTAAGGGATTCTCAACCTCGCTCACTCCTAAGTGGCTTGGTTCGAACAGAGTGGAGGAAGCTCGGACTCCACTCGCGTACTTGCTGGAAGAGCCCCGTTCAAGATAGCTCAGCCAAGCCCATATCGCAGACCTGAAACCCTTTGTATCACAATCTGACGAGCTCGCGCCAGCACCCAGCGGCACTGCGCGGAAGCAGCAGAGCACAGCCAGGGCAGCAGACCACATTCGGACCCTGCACCGGTATAAGCTGAAGAAGCGGTCACCTATGTGATTTCCCGCCGGACGGCGGACTTCTCCGCAACCGAAGGCCCTCAGTTTACTGTCTAGCCTCAGTATAGAATAGCTTCTTTACGGCCTGCTCTCGTAAAGAAGTTGACACCGGCCAGTTTGCTGCGAGTGTTTTTTAAAGTGTTCATTTGTATTTTGTTTTTTATTTTCTTTTGGCCAGATATTGTGTGTCATTTTGTGCTGTTTGACTTTTTTTATGTTTATTTCGTCTACCAACGAAGGGAGTTGTGACTTTGAACATTGAGCTTATGCGTGGAGAGAGGGATGAAGGATGCTTTGCACTTTTGTTCGGGCAGGCGTCTGCGGTGTGTGTGCACGTGGGTGGTTCTGTGCGTATGTAAGTGCGTGACGCTTCTGTGCGTGCCTGGAAAAGAGTGCGTGTCGTGGTTTCGTCCCATCAACGTGGACACTAGAGGTGCTCAGGACCCTGACCTGCTGACGTCAGACAGTCCGGCTGTGCCCTGCTCTCGGCCATCGCCGAGAAGCCCTGCTGCCTTTTCCCCCATGGCTCCTACGCGAGGCCAGCTGACAGCAGCTATATGCTGCAGGCCAATGCCAGGGCACCTCGCAGCCAATTCCGGATCGGCCTCCCTGATCCTGGAGAGGCCCAGCTTTCCAGCGAGGTTCCCCCACCATCCATAAAATATGCGGAGCCTTCGAACCACCACCGAAGTGGCGTTTGCCGGACTTGCGACTCATCAACAGCAGCCATGAGCCATCAGCGAGCCCCCTTCTGTGACACCTCGCACACGGGCATCGCACCCAGCAGACATTATCAAGCTCTTCTGCCCCTCCCAGCGGTGGACGCTATCCCGTCTTAGCACCTTGAACACTAGCCTTACTTCCCTGTGCTTCCTTTCACAAACATTTTTATGGTGTCATGTGTTTGTTATTATTGTTTGTTTTCTCCTTTATTATAATTTTTTAGCAGCAGTTTACAGGGCTGGATTGAGGTTAGCTGTTGCTCATAGCAGTGTCATTTTAACTGCATGGGTGACGTCCAGCAGCCTTTGCAGACCGGTAAAGGGCAAATTTAGAAAAGGGCGATGTGGGAATCTAGGCTAGCTCGCCGCCTTTGCGCAGGCTTTGTAGCCTCTTTCTGGATTCTCATGTCCGGACATGACTCTCCTCTCCTCCACACTCTGTCACACTGGGAGAGTGAGGAGTGACGTTTACCCCCTCTCACCCGGTAACAGAAGTCGACTGTGGCGCCGTGCGCAAAGTCTCTCGGGACGTTTCCGTGCGCGCATTGGGTGTGAGAGAGATCTCTACGGGACGACTGAGGGTGAGCACGTGTTTCTGTTCCGTCCGTCGGCTTCCTTTGTTTGGGGCTCATTTGGAATTCGCCAATGGCGCCTTGTGCCCGCGGTGAATGCTTACCTTTTGTCGCCCCCTTTCGAACACTAGGCCAAAGAGCGGTGTGGTGTTTTAGTGCATAGTTAAACTGCGCCGACCCATATCTCTCCAAAGTCAACGCGAGCGCCTTTGCCCTCGCTCGAGCAATCGGGCCCTTTGTCCTGGTGTTACCGTGAATCCCCTTTGACCACGGAGCCGTGCTCGCAGCACCCCTGTGTAGTACTTTTCGCTCATGGCGTGGATAAGCCCATTTGCTTTGCTGTCGCGCCTTTGCAATGAGCTCTGTACTGTGTTTTGGTGTTGCTGCAGGCAATAAAGTGTTGCGACCTTGAGCAGTACAGTGTTCTCCCCACGGTGACTGTTAATGCCTGCCCTGGGGCTCGCTAAGACTGGACCCACGCTAGTGGCCGTACTCCTTCAGAATGCGTGTAAACTACAACAAGAATTATATACCTCAAGGGTGCACAGCAGGTCTTCAAAGGCAGTCATGTTAGGAATGACTGTAGTTTCTCGCCCACTGTCCACTGTGCCAACCAACGAGAAAGCAAGGTGCAGAATGTGGCTGTTCAGGAGTCCACTCTTCTTCTTTAGCAGCATAGCCAGGGTCTTAAGAAAGGCAAAGAAGAACAAATAACGCATGGCACAGTTAACATCACAGTAATTATCCTTTGTGTAGCAAATGGCAAGAACTGCAACTCTAAAGGAGTAATCGAAGTCTCTCCTAGGAATGATACATCAAGTTTATATTCTAGTTTAAAGTAAGCTATGTTGCGTGCATGAAATCCGCAATGCACTAAAAGGCAATAAAGAAGACAAGAAGGCATAACCAAACTAGCAATGTCTTCAGCGATAATTCCAAAAGCTAAAATGTTAGCAGACTGTAACAGATGACACAGAAAGGTGCATGTTGCACTGATCATGTCCCCCCTGTGTTGTACACATTTTCATCTGTTGTTCAACGTACCACATTAATTTATTACCATGACTACTGCATCTTTGTTCTGTTTGCCTCTATAATACTACTAGCACTAAATAAATCCTCTCTGTTCCTTTAACTAGGTGCACATTGTAACTGCTCCAGACAATACTGCATAGACTGCTTATGAACACAAAAATGGGGGGGGGGGGGGGGGGGGACCATTGTATAAATTCGACGACTACTTCTCAGACGATCTCGATAATGCGCATTACACAGAAACCATGTCGAACCCCATCCAACACTTCACGCAATGAAACATGCCAATTCTTCGATTTCACGAGCGTGCACCCAATTTCAAGACATTGCGATTGAATAGCAAACCACCATACGAGCGCTACGCGTGCCACCCTCATTCTCATTAACAATATGTATTTCTTCCAATCAAGTGCAGCCACCACAATGTATTTCATTGATTCCGCACCAAACCGCAACTTAGATATAACGTGACCAAAATGCAACCAATGTCGATTAGGCCTAGCCTGTCATTCGGTATGCTGTTGTGGGAAGTTTGTCCAAGCAGCATCAAAAAGATCGCACTCAAGCACTGAAACAAGAACAGCGTGCGTGATACAAAGCTCGCATTTGCGGCTGAGAGATCAACTATGATGAAAACCCATTATTCTTACGTAAGACAGCGCACTTGCATCAAAGGTGAAAGCTCACGTCATAAAGCCACAAGAGGTTTAAAATTTACAGAAGACGTAAAAAATGCGATATCTGTAGCAAGCTCGATAACGACGACGCTTTTCCCAACTGGAAACTGTTAAGTGCAGTTGATAAGGACGGAATCGCAGGTGCCATGTTTAGCTGTGCGCAGCTGGAGCCGCGCTATAGCGACGCTAGTACAGTCTAGTTGCGTGGGTGCCGGTGCCAAAGGCTTATTTGCCGCCGAGACAACCGACAACCCCGTGTTTGTCACAAAAATTTTCCAGCAACCGCATTGTAACCGCCCACCTCCCTTACTCAACAACCCCGCACAGCTGGCCGGGGTCTTTTTTTTCTTTTTCTTTCGTCCTTCCCTCTGCCCTTTGTTAGTCCACATCATGTCCCAACACCCCTTGTAACAATCTCGTCGCTCACTTCCCAGCGGCGCGCCTAGCGCGCCTCATTTCAGACGCGCACTCGCTACCATGTTTGTCACAAAGATTTTTTGGCAAGTGCATTATCAACAGTCTTTCATTTTGGGGGACTGCACAATAAGCGGTATGCGTATATATGGTGTTCTAACCGGTTCTGTACTATAACCAGTTACGTTATAAAGGGTTTACACTCTATTATACTCCCCCATGAACCTGTGAGACACGTGGAATCTTGTTGATACATTTTGGAACTGGAAAACAAAATGTAATAGTATACAAAAATTGTATTAACCCACCAAAAAGATTAAAAAAGAAGGGAAGAAAACATTCATGCCCCGTTAGCAATTCATTTAATTGGGCTTCGTTGAAGTAGCTGGTCAATTTCCTCTGCACCTTTTCTTCGCGGCAATAAAGATAACCTAGCAGTTATTTTTTCCCCGCAAAACCGACGCTGCAGTGGCCGCAACAGCTCAGCAACTTGCAGATCTTGGCTTGTTGGAACGTGGTTTAGGCTAGCATGCTGAAGAATAAATGTAGGACTTCTAGATATATCGGTCAAGGCCTACTTTTGTTGTCGTATTATCCAACCTTGGAAAAAAAAAGTGATCATATTAATGCATAAAAGTGCATTATTTCCAAGAAAATTTTCCTGGGCATAAAAAAAAATGTATTAGGGCGAAGAACGTCTTATGCAGAATCGTATCAATGAGATTCCACTGTATACAGATGTAAAAATACAAAAAGCTTTGGCGAGTTAGTCGGAATTCATTATGGAAAGGTTCTCATGGTGTCATTCATTGGCAGATTCGGAGCACCTCCAGTAATACTTTTTCTGCTCAATACGGAACAAGTCTACTCCACTGGCTGAACTGGAGCAGCTCTGTCGTGAGATCCACTTCACAGAGCAGCTTTACTGCTCCGCAAAAATTGGCGAATTCAACCGGAAGTCGCAAGCGCCCCATGTTTTGAAACGGTGTCAATTTTCGACGCGCCACTGGACACTGCTTGCGTTGGTTGCGTCTTGTGCCGAAGCTCGCCTTTTGCTAGCATAGCGTCGTTGTGCGCAGCGTGGCCACTCAACCAAAAAGATAGACGCGTGTATAACGTTCCATTGTTACCCTGCTATTTGTTCCAGAGGGAGCACGCGCATTCCATTGGTAGATTCCCTCCTGTTGCCCTCCGCCAGAAAAGAATGCTCTAGAGCACAGTTTGTCGGACACTCTGAATCTGCCAATCAATGAAACCATTAGTTCCCACACAACCTATAAGGCCATATGGAATTGTGAGTCAGGGCTCATTAGTCTTTTTGTCCGTTGTGTACGCACTGAAAAACTTTCCATTATAAAGGATATATGAATGATAAAATCCTGAGTGACTTCTTGTCATCAATTTGGAACAGCTGATATGGCGAAGGAAGCAACCTTATTTGTATTCATGAATAACAACAGAAGTACCAAGGACGTCTTCTCTTCAAAGCTTGAATACACAGATAGGAATTGAGAAGTGCAGCAAAGCATAGCTGTGTGGCCATGTCGAGGACACTCTTTAGTGTAGGGCCGCTTATCCAGTTATGAAGAAATAAGTTTTCTTGTCTTTTGCTTTTTTTTTCGGTATTCTTGTTACATTTATGTTTGTTTGTAGGTGCACTACAGTATTCAAATACTTGTTTTGGCAACTACTTTTGAGCACCGATTCGTTACCCGCTTCAACTGGCCAGTGGCTGTATTCAGTCGGTTTCATCATGATGCTTGACCCCATGAATATCTGTTAAATTCTCAAGTACAATGAATACATATAAAAGAACATGTTGCCACGTAATTGGCTATGTTTCCAAGTTATTAATGAAAGAAAAGTAGGAGCCACATAAATTTTTTACCTGACCCAGCATCCCCTTGGGCGTGTCTTTTGTGTAAAAGATGTACACTGGCGTAAAACTTTTTTGTTCTCTTCTGATCGTGAAATGTCTTGCAAAACAACTACTTAACATGTGCTAAATTATCATCCCGCAGGAACATTCATGAACTAAACAATATGTCTAAGATTTTCATATTTAATTCAGTATTTACCCCAAGATTATAATTTATAAAATCGTATGCCTGACACCATCTAGTCATTACCTGTACAAAAATTTTTCAAAGAGTTACATTATTCTTTATGCTACACATTACCTTCGTATATGTTATTTTAATGCAACAATTATCCTTTTTTATTACAACTTTATACAGATTATTTTCTTGCATGTTTGTTTGCCTTGGCACTGCTTGCTTGCACTATGTACTTTACTCCTGTAATAGCCCTACCAAGGGTTACTGTATGCAAAAATAAATACCTCCTGCCTCTCAATGTTGTGGACATGCAAGCATGCTTAGATAAACAAGCAAGTAAAGAAAGAGAAAAGAAGAGAAAAAAATGAGATAGATAGCCTCCTTCAAATGAATGATGAGCGACCCAAAAGAGGTGCACGATCACCTGATAGCCTCTGACACGGTCCATCTCCTGTTGTGCTGCTCTATTGCTTCGCACAACGCACACCAGGGCTTTGACAGTGGCGTAAAGCCCTTCGACATCTTGGGCCATCGCCACCAGCCCCAGCAGGACAGACACACCTCCAATGTTTTCAATGGTCAGAGCCACAGGTCGAGGGATGAAGGTTCGTGCTCCTAAAAGGTAAGCACACATTTCTGCACTTGCGCTACTTGGAAGCAGGGACACCAAGCTAGATCATTTGCCTGCATTAGCACAATCACTGCAGCAAGATTAGTCTTTCAACGTTAATGAAACAAAGAGCTTCAACTACAGGAAGCCCTACCTCCTGCATGTTAGATTGTGTAAGATGACTGGTAACATGAACAAAAATACTACTAATAAGTATAAACTTTCACGACCACCCGCAGAAACCATCTATGTTATGAAATGAAATCCCCGCATTGACATGAGGGTCAAGAAGAGAAACAGAGCAACATCAAACTGCCTAACTATAAAGAAAGTAATATATAAAAAGCAGCTTGTTTACAAGATGTGTGCAACAGAACTGTCAGGTATGTGCGAAGATGCGATGATAAACAGCACTGTAATTCAGTACCACCAAAGCTGTTGCTGTAGCTGCAATCCTGCAATGCTGGTGCACCCTAATGCAGAGAAACATTCATGACGACTGTGAATATAGCAGCAAAACTTACCCAAGTACCCAATGAGAACGCCACCCAAACAGCGTGCCGGTCCGCTCAAGTGGGCTGCTGAATTGTGCAAAATGCGGATTGGTGTCGCATTTTCGTGTGATGACATGCCCAGCTATGAAAAACAGAGAAATCAACACAAGTTGTTCAAAATCACTAACAGTTATTTTCATGCAACTATGCTCACCATCTTAGCAATTGACTTGCAGTCAGTCTTACTGTACACTCTTCTTATCTTGGCCAAAGTCATGACAGACACTGCAGTTGCATTTAAACCAAACACAACCTTCTCTTCACTAAGAAAAGGAGGAAGAGGCTCTGTGCCTGCAATGGTAGAAGAGAAAGAAAGCAGAAAAAAAAATCAAATTACGCTGTCAGACCATCCCAGCATAACACATTGGACTCTCATTAAATGGAAGTCTGTTAAACGAAACTGCTGCTTAAGTGGAACAACTGCCTCTGATATGATTAGTTTCATGCTTGAATGTAGTCACCCCGTTCACCTCTCCATAAACAGAACTTCTGTTAAGTGGAAAACACTTTCCCGGTCCCTTCAGGTTCCATTTAATGAGACTGTACAGTACTAGTACTATTCAATCTATATTTAACGAATTTATTTTAAGCTTGGCAAGAAGTAATTTTAGTTTGCCCTTAGCACACACCTTACTTGATTCCCACTTTCTTAAGATGTTTTTCTCTTACACATAGCTCACAGGCAGCAGCAAATTTGGAACAGCAGGAACTGACAACAATAATTTAAATGAATTTAAATCACAATGACCTTTTCGGAGATATCACTGCTACTAAAAGAGCCTGCTTCAGGAGTCTGATTGCATTAAATTGTTAGACGCAATAACCCTTCAGCATATGGCATCTTGTACTGCAACAAGACAATGAAACATAATATTTCAACAGAGTTACTGTTTAGACTCTGTAAATACATACGCAGCAACTGGGTATATGATGATGTATATAGAGAAGTATCAATAATTTTTTTCTGCACACTTCTTGCTACCTTGTGTTGTTCAGTCTTTCAAAACTTAAGCATCGGGACAAAACTTATTTTTTTTATAAAACTTGATACTACATTTGTGAAATTGCAGGATGATCCTAGTCACTTTTGCTGAGAATAAGTCGGGTAACGCATGTGCCGTGGCTTGGATGAATTGTCACTGATGGGACTAAATAACTGGCACCGCACACAACAAAAACACTCGTCCTTGCCAGCCAGACCACACTCCTGGCCACCTACTGGTGGCTAAATTATCGCGGCATCGAAACAAATCCTACACTACAATGCAACCTTTACCAGTTAGGAAGAGAGCCCAGTATGGCAGAGATAGTCAATGGAGGGCTTCCACTTGTAGAACACTAGGAATGTGTCAATAGTAAGTTTTAGGTTCAAAGTGAATTCAAAGCAAATAATGCTTTGGTTGAATAAATTCAAATGAAACAATTCAAATAGTATATGTCACATATTATAAACAAAAATGAACATATTTGTTATGAACCAACTAACCAGCACAATATTTTTAAATTAGAACAAAGCATGCGTGAACGTAATTTTTTTGTTTGCTTGTTTGTTTGAAGTGAAGTGGAAGCAACTTTGAATAGAAGCAGGATATGAATTTCAGTAGTATGAAAGTGATAACTGGCAACACATGTTTTAAAATTTTCTATACAGTGAGCACATAAGTCCACATAACAAGCTCTTAACATGAAAAATGATTAATCGATGGGAGGGTGGTATGTTCATTTAACTTTGAAATGAAGCTTCGCGGCGAATTGAATTTTACCTGCAAAAGTGTTTTAATGGCATAGCATTTCTACACCGCAGTGAAACCACCTTCGCAAAAAAAAGGTTATAAGCGGTTTAATTATAAGCCTATTTGTTCATTTCGAATACTCTGAAATTTTGAATAATTTATACTCATGTTGAAGCGACTTTAAATGGGGCAATATTTGTTCAAATATTTGCAGTGATCAGATATTCACACATGCCTACTGAACACTACCACTCACCAATCATAACAGGGGCTTGCAAGCTGCCCACGTAACTGGGTCCCAAAAGGTAGATCTGGTGAATAAGTTGGGGTGAAAGCACCTCCTCCACCATGTGGCATGGGCCCTGCTTCCAGATGAGACGCGATGGATGACGGAACTGTGGGGGAGTGCCAATGAAGCCGTACACTGAAGAGGCCACTGTCAGATTTGCAGCACCACCACCAGGGTTTTGTGAGATGTACGGTATCTGTCAACAAGAATGTAGTTCAAAACACTGGCAATTAGCATGAGCTGAAACTTGATAAAATTTTTAAAAATGGAAATACAGTGTAACTTAATTATAACAAAGCAGCATATGATAAACTAATGAATATAACGAAGCAATTGTAATTCTCCTTGAAATTCCCATAGACGCCTCCGCCCAATGACGTAGTGTAGCACTAGTGCTATACTACATCATTGGCGGTCATCCCGTGTATTTAAAACCTCGTTTTAACGAAGCGAAAATTTCCCCACAATGAATATAATGAACCATTCCTATTCCACAATGAGCATTTACTGATCATTTTGCTATACATCAATTCTCAATATCTTATAGTGCACGACAGTTTACGTCTCATCACAGCCGCGGTAATTCAAAACTCGCGCCTTGCGCTTCCCGTGAGCCGCTTGCGAACACGCGTGTGGGAGCGAGACTCTCCGCTTCCCTTCTTCTCTGGAATTAATGGACTCGCCCGCGCAACAACTCGCGCGAGCGTGCGCGTCAGCCGGCCTCCCCTCTCCTGTAGAACTTGGGTGACCCACCCACGCATCTGACCTTCTCCCCTTTAGCTCCGCGCTGGGACCTCGCGCGCCGCCGTGGCGGCGAAGATTGCGACTTTCTTCTTTGTCGTTTGCTGTGAAAGAGCAACACTACCTCTATCAGTTTCTGCCGCTAGACACGAGATGGACAACGGCAGTGGCAAACGTAAGCTCAAAAATATAACAATCGAGCAAAAGTCGACAATGTTGAAAGCCCTTGAGTCAGGCATCAAGAAAAAAAAGGTGGCCAAAGATTTCAGCGGTGTGGGTGCCGCGGGCGACCAGCCCAGACATTGTGGGACGCTCTCTTTGACTGCCTGACTGCGACACTTTCTGCATGCACAAAGGTGCCGATGCTGACACAGTGCCAGCTGAAGAGTTGTCAGATGCGGAAATTGTGCCCGTGGTCACGGGCGTGCGTAACGACAGTGACGAATGTGTCAACACCCTGGAGCCTAATGTTGGCGAACCCGACGTACTTACGTTTGTGCAAGCGCTAGATGCGACAGACCTGCACACTTTTGTTTTGCTATATGTCATGAGAATATACTTAGGAATCCTCTTGAACTTTTTTTCTTCACATTTTCACTTCAAGCTAGTAGAAATATTCCAGGAGTATTTGATTTGCACTCACACTTCAATATTCAAACTCGCTTTGCACCCAAAATTTTGCGATTCGCACAGCTCTACTTTTGGTTCTTCATTCGACCTGAGAGTGGTGGCTGCTACAATAGTTTCATTATAATTGAAAATTCAATGTAAAATGTGAGTTATGTAAGCAGAATAAACTAAATGATGGTGGCCTGAAGAGATTGAGACTGAAAAGTGGTCTAGTAGAAGTGATTGGTAAGCACTAGACTCCTTGGCTGAGTAAACACTGGAGACACTTTTTAGGTGACATGACTACACAAGACTGCGCAGGACATAATGTGTGCTACAGCAGTCACATGCTAGATTGCTGTACAATGTTCCCACCTTCTGGGTGGACATATGCTGGCCATCGATGTAAATGGAGACGGAGCTGTTCTTGAGCACAGCTCTATTGAGCACGATGACCACGTGGTGCCACTGGCCTTCTTGCAGCAGTTCGGGGCTCCAGAACCGGATGCAACCTTCCTCCTTTACTTCAGGCTCCCAGTCAGCACCAGCTGCAGGAGCACAGAAATGCATCCTCAATGCAATACACATAAGCCTGGATGGTAATATAAGGTGCAAGTGACTACAGCATGGCCAATAAGAATTTATCATAACTGTACATTTTTTTGTGGATTTCCTTAAAGTATAGAAGATGGAGAACTGGTAACAGCAAGATGTCAATGCAGTACATGCCCATTGTGAGCTATCTTTTTTTTTTGTCTATTGAATGTTGAGCATTCAGGCATATCTGGCATTTTTTCCAGTCATAAAAGTTTCATTTAGTGATTTTTACAGTGCACTTTTTGGAATCACTGTGAGAAACACTGACTAACCTGTTTGTCCAAAAGCATTTGGAATAATGAACAGTCCTTAAACAGCTTCATTTAATTTCAATACAACTGACCATTTCCACAATTGCGATCATCATTATCGCATTGCTTTGCATCAAGGAACAAGTTCACCAGTGAGCAATTAAATTTTTATGATGTAATAGCAATTAAAAAATAATAATTGCTGGGGTTTTACATCCCAAACCAGACTCATGAAAAAGAAAACTGCCAGAAATCCCTTTATAGCACAATGCGACAGGAAAATCCAAATGAACTTTTCAGAAGGAAAAGCTCGATAGTTGATGAAAAATTCGCTCTGGTACAGAGATATCAATGTATTTCCTGCATGGTTGCTCTAACAATTGAACTAACCAGCATGAATTAATCCACAACTCGCAGCCCATCAAGATTGGTTATAGAAAATCAGTTCTGCGGGATCCTCCGCCTTGTGGGATAAAACAGAACGGATCCAATAATTACGTTTTATCGCGTAACAAAGTAACTGCGGGAGACAACCTTGATATAACTAATTTTCCCCACGGACAATCTTGAAATTTTGGTACAAGCATGCATCTTCCGCCACTGCCCCCGCCCCCCCGCCGCCAAAGCGTAAAGCAATGACGGCGAGCACACAGGCCACGTCCGCATAACAAAGTAACTGCGGAATCTTGAAATTTTGCTCCACATTTCGGCATTTTGGTATGAGCATGCATTTTCCGCCACTGCCCCCCACCCCCGCCGCCGAAGCGTGAAGCAATGACGGCGGGCACACAGGCCGCGTCCGCGTAACAAAGTAACTGCGGAATCTTGAAATTTTGCTCCACATTTCGGCATTTTGGTATGAGCATGCATTTTCCGCCACTGCCCCCCACCCCCGCCGCCGAAGCGTGAAGCAATGACGGCGGGCACACAGGCCGCGTCCGCGTAACAAAGTAACTGCGGAATCTTGAAATTTTGCTCCACATTTCGGCATTTTGGTACAAGCATGCATCTTCCGCCACTGCCCCCCCCCCCGCCGCCGAAGCGTGAAGCAATGACGGCGGGCACACAGGCCGCGTTTGCATAACAAAGTAACTGCGGGAGACAGCCTTGATATAACTAATTTTCCCCACGGACAATCTTGAAATTTTGCTCCACAATTCGGCATTTTGGTACGAGCATGCATCTTCTGCCACTGCCCCCCCCCCCCCCGCCGCCAAAAGCGTGAAGCGATGACGGCGGGCACACAGGCGGCGTCCGCATAACAAAGTAACTGTGGAATTTTGAAATTTTGCTCCGCATTTCGGCATTTTGGTACGAGCATGCATCTTCCGCCACTGCCCCCCCCCCCCCCCCCCCCGCCGCCGAAGCGTGAAGCAATGGCGGCGGGCACACAAGCCGTGTCCGCGTGAGGCGGGCCTGCACCTTACGAGCCGGCGTTGCCTCCTTTTTCGCGGCCGCGGTCACATGCACGGGTGTGCCCCCCCCCACACGCACCAAAATAAAAAAAAAACAACTTTTGCGCGTTGGCAGTGCCACGCTTTTAGTTAGCGTAACATATGTGGGGCCGTGCTGCATATGGAGGGCGTTTTACCCAATAGTTTCCACGGTAACCGTGTCTGTGTCCGTGTCGATCGCTCTTCGTTTTCGACGCCAAACGCGCGTGCATAGTTTCACTGCGCGCACATGGCGTGTGCCCTGACGACGTTCAGCTTTGTTTTTTTTTATATTACAAAAGCAATGATGTATATGGGCAGTTTCGGCTAGATTTTCGTCGCCGCCGCCTTCATTCACCGTATATTTATAGTATATGTATACGTACCTATATATACGAAAACTCAAGAAAAAAAAAGCCACCCGCGCTCGGCTCGTCACGATGTGCCGACGAGTGCTTATCTCCCACGTGTACTTTCCGCGCGAATGCGGAGGGGGGAGAAGGGGGTTATGTTATATGATTGTGTGCGCACGCTTATCCTTCGGTGGAGAGAATCGCATGCCTTTGACTTTGTCCAGAACGATTGCGTTTGCTCTTTTCACACAGTCCCTTTGCATTGAAACCACACTGATACTCGCTGAGATAGCAAGCGCGCCAGCGATCGCGACCCCCTTTAAAATTCAAATTGATTATTGCTACTTGAGCAATTCCCCCCCCCCTCCCCACTTTGTTTCATGCTCGTTTAACAAGGGTGGTTTACTTTCTGTTTGAGCATTCGATGGCAGTAACACGCGGGTGATGTTATGCACTTTCCAAGCGATAGGAATGGGCTGACTCAGGCGATCTCTGTTTCAGCAGCGCTCGCGCGCTTTTACTCGCTGGTAAAAGTTACGATGCGCGGGGGCATGATGTCAATTTGGACTTGTTGCGAAACATGGCGGGCACAGCAGGAACCAGCCGAGAGGGTGCATATAATTGTTATTGCAATAACAACGCAGTTTTTTACTGTAAAATGAGTGTTTAGGCTTAGCTCTGCCTTCAGTCCCGCTTTTGTTTAATTTGCACGCTTGTTTTCCGAATTTTCGTACCAAACCTCCGTATAAAAAAAACCTCTTTATAACAAATTTTACCGGGAATTTATTAATTGTGTTATATATAGGTTTAACTGTATAAGGTTTCCAACAGAATATGATACTGAATTATTCGGTATTTGATTAAGTTAGTATACTTGAGCGCTTGAAATTTACAAAATACTCGAAACAAAGAGAATATAAATTTGATAGCATGTTTCAACAGGTTTCATGAGTAAACAGTGTCACTGACAATATTCACAGCCAGGCCATTGCAAAGAAAACTTGTTTACTGTTGCTGATAAATTTTCCACACCAATTCAAACCCCCCCTGTAGCTGTAAACAATGACTGGTTGAATGATGGTGACCAAGGTTACAGAAGCTAGATGTTGTTTCTCTCAGTTTCTTCAAGATATATCCAGCCATGGTGTAGGAAAAATGGCAGCCATACTCTTGCTTACTTTTGCCATACTCTTACTTTCGTTGGCAGAGTGGAGTCATTTAAAAGACTTCGTGAGAGTTCATGTGGTCACTATGAATATACAGTCGACTTTCATTAATTCCAACTTGAAGGGACCTCTGAATTCTGTTTGAATTTTCAGAAGCTCTCAGAGAGATGACTTTGAATGAGGTGACATCACACATTATTGATTAGGCATTGATTTTATCATATTTAAATTTTTTTAGTGTTTTTAAGCCCTAACTGCACACAGAACAGAAAGCAGAGGTGTGAATTCCACAAGTTTATTGGCCATTTACTGCTGATCAGACATTTTAAAGAAATCGTGAATTTCAGGCTGTTTCATTGCTATAGGTATGTGCCTTCAGCACATACCTATACCAGTTGGGGAGCATCATGGTTTACCCTGCATGTGTGTTTGAAAGATTTGTTTACTTGCAAGGCCTTTTTCCTTGAATGCCTCAGGTGCTTATTTTTCATTTTTAGACTATTCTTAGACTATATAAGCAGACAAATTTTTAAATAGCAGTGGGAAAGCGCCTAATATTTCCTGGTATGAACGTGCGAGAAGTATGAATTAACCGAATGATGGAGTTTGAAAGAATAGAAAAAATAGAGGGTCAACCGAAAAATTGAATTTTGTTTGAATTAACAAAAGGTATGAATTATCAGAGTTTGAGGTATCCCAAGCCTACTATAGATATAGTAGATCTACACCAAAGCGACCGTAATTTTGGCCAATAACACCTACTGAATCAACGTTTATTAGGCCTGCTGCCTTCATTCGTCCAGAGATTAATTAATTAAAGCTCACAGTATTTTCACAAGCTTAGATACGACTACAGTAAACTGAAGTGAACTCACTGAGATTGGGCAGAGGAATTTCTTGTGTTGAAACAAGGAGTGCTTTGTCTCGAGATGACAGTTGAATCACCAGGCACACGAGATGGTCATCACGCCCATGCAAATTGCGCACCAGCGTCAGCAGCCGCACCGCATGTGGATCCACATGGGGGTCACTGAATCGCTCTACACTCAGCCATGTGGAGAATGAAAGCCCAGGCTGCGGAGGAAATACTCGATCGCCTGCAACATGCATGTCCACACACCAGTTGTGACCCAACGCATAGTCTGTCTATACTTATGTACCACAGAAAGCCTGATTTTACGTAGCTACTGATTACTATGAGTTGAAACCCACATCCACTGCATGCTTGAATCACCATAGTCAAGATAATATGGGCTATGAGAATGCTGAATGTTATTCATGTAAGAACTTCTTGAAAGTCATAAGAGGGTTCACAGCTGTTATTTTTTGTTTTGTAGCAGGTGCTTATTTTTCTGGCATGGCCGCAGCCTGTACCTGGGTAATGTACTAGTGCACTGCCCGAATACACACAGATGCCTTGTACAGCTTAATTGAAGGTTGCACATCTAGGTTGTTAGAGGAAACAATTTTTTCATGGCAATTGTGGTCCCAAAACTTTTGCTTTTGCTTGTACAGTATTCAGTAAGAAAAGGAGTGTTTTTGTTCGTAGAGCACTACTTTGACCTCCAGTAAAGAAAAGTTATGTTTTCTATTTTCATTTCCAGGATTTTCTTGCCAAGAATAAAAAATAAATGAGCACACTTTCACATACTACTCAACAATTAGGCGATGATTCAGTAATAAAACTGGTTCATTTCCTTGAAGTCTTTCCTGGTTTCAATGTCTGTTGATTCATGTGCTCCAAATACTTTTCAGTCAAAGAAGCAAAGCATCAGTCTTGACAGTAAAGTGCCAGTTGTACCCACCTGTGCCTATGCCTCCGATGACACCCTCGGGTGCGCCGCCCACCATGGAGACACCCACCATGGGTGGGCCACCTGAAGCACTCTGTGGAGCCACGCTGCTCAGGTAGAGGCAGCTGAAGCCCTCAGGGGCCATCTCAAACTCAACAAAGGGAGGCGTGAGCAGTGTGCCGTGCAGTCGACAGTCCCGAGGCGTGGTCATGGAGACCAGAGTCTTGATGCGGGTCAAGGGAACTGGCCCTCCATCCTTCTGGTTGGGTGGCCGTGTCGACTGGGCTCGTGCTAGGCAGACACTGTCTCCAGTCCGTCGCTTGTACTCACTGCCCACATCATATGTGTTGCAGCATAACGGAGAGCCAAGTCGCAGAAATGAGCTGCAAGAACACAGCATGCTCAGACTACACACTACACTTCACTAAAATGACAAGCTACACTTGTCCTTTTCTTCTGTCGTGTTTTTTCAATAACAAAAGTTGATCGTATCAAGAGTTGGTTTTCAAGACATCAACTTCCTGAAAAGGCTTCATAAAGCAACTATAAGACACAAGCCCACTGCGAAATAACAGCTTTGACAATGTAGTTGTACAATCAGGGTACTTTTTGTTCTGAAGTAACAGAGAAAAGCTGGGGTTTCGTTAAACTTTATGAAACTTTTTTAAAAAGAGCAAACATTTTAAGGTAAGATGGTAAGTAAATATTAAAAAAGAAAGTGCAGCCAACTTCACTTCACTAACACGGTAGAAACAGCGAAGTTGATGCCCCTTTCATCAGGCTCACCTTCACCTATATTTGTGCACTTTTCATTGGTCTGCCTTTTTGACCAAGCCTCGTCCTCACCCATCATAGCAAGGCATAGCCCTTTCTCTCCTAACAAGTCCAACTCTCGCCATGCCACAAGACCCCGTTGACCAATGCTACGCCAACAGACAGGGAAGCCTCGACTAAAAACAGCTTGGATGTTGAAAGACGAATAAGATAAATGAGCTTTACAGTGACAGGGCTCGTACAGGTTTCCAAAGGAAAAATTCAAGGATATTCAAGGACTTTCCAGGACCTATTGCAAGTTTTTCAAGGACTCAAAGCAGCATGCTAAGTTGGAATTCTTCCCTCTAAAATTTTCAAAAATGACCACTTTCATTGCACTTATAATATATGGATATCACAATTATATAAAAAAAGCGTAGTCTTAATAAGTTCTCGCACCCTCTCCATAGAGAGACAGAGAATAAACATTTATTAATATAAACTTTTATTATTACCCTCTCCATAGGGAGGGCACGATGTCATGTTGGAAAGTTACGCTCTGATGGGCCTCCACGCGCATGTGTAGTCAGGCCTTAAAGGGGTCATGCCACAATATTTGTGGCTTGCGTGTTCTTTGCTGCAAGCTTTAATTATAGCTCCAATAAGTACGATACAAGCACCAAGATTCATTTATTTTCGCTATATAATTTGTCACCTTTTTGATATGGACAATTTTAAGTTCCTGTTTGTGGGGACCGAGTTGTGCAGGTACATAGCAGTGTAGCTGATTTAGTCATGCGATCACAAAGCTTTGCACACCTCATGCTGAGTATTGTCAGCTCTCACACACATATGCCACACAAGTACCTGCAAAACAAACTCGCCGCTCCCTGCAGCAGCCGCGAGTCTTAATTTACACTCATCCTGTGGATACATGTGTGTTCTTTTCTAGCACCATTCTAGGTTTATTTTAGCAGCACGCTTCCAGTGTCGAGCTATGACAGCCGTTCATCAGCACTCGTCCTGTGCACTTACTTTTCGTGCGTCCTTCATGCTTGAGTGACGCGTTGCATGTATGGGGTTGCTTGGCTTTCTCCGCGTGACATTCTAATTTCTTGCTATCACATTCACTGCTTCACCCTCATCACAAACTAAATTTTTTTCACATGCACTTTTGCAAAATGGGATCAAGTGCACCCACGCCGCATTACTGCTTCAGAAATGGGGAGTTTGACAGGTTTACACATTGATGTACCCCATTTAGGAGGTCGCAACGTCGATATGAGAGTGCACTGCTCAGGTAATTCAAGGATTTTCAAGGATGGCAAAAAATTCCAGGACTTTCAAGAGCCTTAAAAGTGCATTTTTTAAATTCAAGGGTTTTCAAAAATTTCGAGAACCTGTACGAATCTTGAGTGAGTAAGATACACACGTTCAAAATATACATGTCCACTTGCAATGACCGCAGCCTCTCTCCAGTCTTCGACCCCCAGAAAGCAGAACGCATCGTATTCGCGATGGGTGGTATGTGCTGCTTTCACTAATATTCGCTAGCAGTAAATGCAATTTTAACCTAAAATACCTCCTAGCAGATCAATTCCTACGTACAAGTAACAAAATAATGGTTTGCATTGAATAACAGCTAGTGGAATACACAACACCGATGAGATAGATGGGAGAAACACAGATGCCAAGGTGCCTTGTTTTTCATTTGTGTGCCGTCTATATTGCGCATTCCCATATCAAGTCTGTTCTACCAACAAGGCCAATCTTTAGCCCTAGAAATTGGAATAAGTTCATGACCAATTGATGAAAGAGGTAGACATAGCTGAAAGACAGTATGTGTTTCATTAATTTCATTTTGTTTAGATGTACTAATTGATTAGTATAAACGATTCCTATGCTCCACTGCATACTCTATGAACACTAACTTAGAACCAGCTGTATCACTGCTAGTTACAAGCCATATTCTCCAGCTTGTGGGGACGCTAACACCCCCTGTAAAGTCATTTACGCCTTGTGGCACACATGTATTTTGCCCATAGGCCGCATTTAGGGTTAACAACCACTGAGCGGTAAATGACGCTGTGCTCGCGAACGTCTATTACCACCACCATTATCATCATGGTTACCGCAGTAGCACCAGCAGTGATGATGCCTGGCAGCAAGTCTCGGTGGCAGCACATAACACATTCGCGAGGCTCTTTGGTGTGTGGCGGTTGGCGCGAACAGTCGTCTCCCGCGGTGGGTCCATAGATGGACGGCATCGCGGGTTGGCTACTGTGGGCCCTTATGTGTCCAGCGTTGGTGGCACCACCTTCATCTAACCTGTGTTTGTTCTTATGCTTGAGTGTATATTAGAATATTGTGTAAGGTTGTTCTACCGTGCTGATCACTAGTGATGTATTTTGATTCGGCTGACGATATCGTCACTGTAAAAGCAGTTAAATAAATATGATGTTTGGTTTGCTTCCATCTGCGTCTGTTGTGTCCGCTCGCTCAGAGAGCAGCATGCCTCATTTGTAGAGACCCTCCACTGGCTGCCCAGTGTGGGGCCCTTGGAGCATTGGACCACCGTTTTCGTGGTTCGGAATAACCTTTTGTTTGAGCTGAGATAGAGGCCTAGGGTGGACTCCCATTGCTAGTGTCGGCGGTGTACTTCGTTATAAGCGAGAAGATCGGTTGCTGTAACGTGTTTGAACTTATCGCATATTGAGATCGTTTGAGATTTTCTTCCTGCTCGCAAGTGGTTTTTTGTTGTTTTTTAAGTACGTTGTTGAGTTGTTGGTACGAGAGCCATGGGGTCCGCATCCTGGGAACAGCAAAGCTTAAAGCACGTGGATTGTGGGCCAGGCCCGAAGTGAGTAAGGAAGCCTGGTAGGTGGTCTGAGTTTCTGTAAATAGCTTCTTCTATCTCTCTGGGCTCAGGAAGTCGGCTATCGTTGCTGTCTTGTCTTGCGACTCCACGCCGGCATGTCGTAACACCGTCTGGGACGGTGGGCGCGTGTTTTAGCGTGTTGATCCCTAGTGATGTATTTTGGTTCGGCTGATGATAATGTCGTTGTAAAAGCAGTTAAATAAATGTGATGTTTGGTTTGGTCCGGCAGTTTCTGCTTTCTCCGTGCGCTCCGAGAGCGGCGCTCTCATTTAGAGACCCCACAAGCTATTACTCCAGCACTGCGTTGGAGAATGTTTTTCTGCCAAGAGATGGCTCTCAGTGGCATGCACAAGCAACACAAGCTGGAGGGAATAAGCAAGGAATTCGGCCGTATATTATTCGGGTTGTGCAGGATAAAAGAGTGTAAAACAAAATTGCAATATTAAACAGCAAAATTAAACATGAGATGCATGTGCACTCTTTGCATGAGAGGAAACAATACAGTTAAACCTGGATATAGCTAAATTGATAAATTCCCGGAAAAGTTCATTATAAAGAGGATTTCGTTATATGCAGGTTCGGTACGAAAATTCGGAAAATAAACGTGCAAATTAAACAAAAGGGGGACTGAAGGCAGAGCTAACCCAAAACACCTATTTTACAGTAAAAAACGGAGTTATTATTGCGATAGCAATTGTATAGACACTCTCGGCGGGTTTTTGCTGTCGCTGCCTTGTTCCCTAACAAGTCCAAATTGATAACACGCCCCCGCACATTGTAACTTTCACGAGCGAGTAAAAGCGCGCGAGCACTGCGGAAGCAGAGATCAAATGAGTCAGCCCGTCCTTATCGAGTGGAAAGTGCATAACATCTCTCGCGTGTTAGAACTGCTGTCGAATGCTCAAACAGAAAGTAAACCACCTGTCTTAAACGAGCATGAAACAACCCGGGGGCGATCCCTCGTGTAGCAATAATGAACTCGGATTTTAAGGACGGTCGCAATTGCTGGTGCGCTTGCTATCTTGGTGAGTATCAGTGAGGTTTCGTTTCAACAAGAAGGGACTGTGTGAAAAGAGCAAAGTGATCTTTCGTGGGGCATAGTACGCGTGGTAGATAAGCACGAGTCCTTTTTTTTTTTCTTTCTTGAGTTTTCATACATATAAATACGTATAGGAAGCGGCGGCAAAAAAAAAAAAAATAACAGCAGAGACTGTATATATACATGATTGCTATCGCAATAAAAAAAAAGCAAAGCTGAACATCGTCGGGGGGGACACACCATGCGCGCGCAGTGAAACTATGCAGGCGCGCACGGCATCAAAAATGAAATGCGAACGACACAGAGACAGACACGGATATCGTGGAAAACTATTAGGTAAAGCGCCCTCCATATGCAGCGCGGCATCACGTATGTGACGCTAACTAAAAGACTGGCACTATCAACGCACAAACATAGTTTTTTTTTTTTTTGAGTGGGGGGAGGGGGGATACCCGCGCATGCGACCGCAGCGGTGAGAACGGGAGCAATGCCTGCTCGTGGGGTGAAGGCCCGCCTGCCCGTCTCATGCGGACATGAGCCATGTGCCCGCCACTGCCGGTTCACGCTTCGGCGGCGGCAGGACAGCCGCGGAAGATGAATGCTCGTACCAAAATGCCGAAATGCGGAGCGAAATTCTAAGATTGTCCGTGGGGGAAATTCGTTATATCAAGGTTGTCTCCCGCAGTTACTTTGTTACATAGAGGTCGCATATACATGTGCTCCTATGAAGCGACGGCGGGGAATAGAAAAACTTTGTTATATCGAGGAATTGGTTATATGGAGGTTCGTTATAAGCAGGTTTAACTGTACTATGCAGTAAGAGCAAAAACCTGTGCGGTATTTGGTTCTGGTTAAAACTAGACATAGTTCTAGTGGAAGAAACGAATAAAGCAAGAGATGATGCCAGTTGAAAGTCTAGTGTGTGCGCTGTCACCTTCACTCATCTGTCTTTACCCACTGTCACATAACTGCTCCAGCTCAAAATTTGCATTCCAATTCTCAGATCTTATACTTATATTAATTGCAAGACATCTATCGACTCCTTATTCAGGCTCACCGGAGGTCCCTCGGCTCAAGTGCCTGTGCTGCAAGGCGCTCGAGCATGTACTGCAGGGGCAGGTGGAGCGGATGCTGCTCATCTTCAAGGGCAGGCCGACAGCGCTGCAGCATCTCCCCAGGCAGGCCAGCCTCACACATAACCTGTTGGTTGCGCTCTGAACGCACCAGTGACCGCAGCACCTCTGCCAGGTACAGCTGCAGCGTCAGCTCTATCTGCAACCACTGATGAAAAGAAACAAAGTTCTTGTCACAAAAGGTGTTGTTTCCATGCTTCAAAAGGAAGCTTCCAACATTTTTGGAGACCATACTGATTAAGTACAATATTAATGTTGCATGAATACAAGTAAAAAAAAGCAAGGCTGGCAAACGACTCGAATAAGTGCATTTGATTGACCTAATAAGTTTCAACACATGAAGAAAGGAATAGTTCTAAACTTACACCACAAATTCAATTTTCAGTACCCCTTTAGTGGCTTAGCACTATCAAAATCTCTTGCGGTCAAGCTCTCGTGACTGACAAGGGAAATTCAATGAGGCGGTCCCGCTCAAATTATGTCACTCAAATGTTTGCTTCTCTGAAATGACACCATTTCAATAAATGATGAGTAGCAAAAAGCACTGTTTTAATGAAGCCAATTTTTTTGTTTTCACAGATGCTCAACTTTTTTTTCCAAAAATGCACAAGAGGCTATTCAGATGACTTCAACTCATCAGAAAGTTTAAATATTTCCATGTGCGCCACTACTTATGGACTATCAAGGATGCATACATGAGCAAAGCTAAATGCAATATTTGCCCCTCACTCTTTGACCATGTTGGCCACTACCTCTGGCTCACACGTTTACGGCATTGCCACTTGGCAGTACCTGATGGGTCGCCATGGTACCTGCACTAAACAACATGTGGCATACGTGACTGTCAGGTCTAGTCATCATAAACCATCTCTACAGTTGTAAATAGCAGTATTTACTCTGCCCTCATATCCTTTACTTGCATAAATGACATTTTAGTAGACTCTCTTTAAATGCAACCTGAAGACACGTGGAAAATATGTTTCATTTAAAAGGAGCTCTCTTTACTGAGAGATATACAGGGGTGTAAACTTCAGGTGGGAAACCAATTATATTAGTAACTTTTTAACTTTTATAACTTTTTTTTAACTTTTATAAGGAACTTTTTATTTCTAGATCAATTTTGATTAAACTTGGCAAGTGTATGTATGTATGTATATATATATATATATATATATATATATATATATATATAATGAGATATAACAGACAGTAATGCCAAGGAATGTACAGGGGAAGTTATTAGAACCAATGGAATGTAAATAAGAAGAAAGAAGAAAGAAAAGTGGATGAAAAAATTACCAACTGTGAGCAGGAATCGAACCTACGACCTTCGAATTACGCGTTCTATGCTCTAACCACTGAGCTATCACAGCGGCCCTCCCTCCATCCACTTTTTTCGGTTTATCTGTGAATTTAGAAGTAGGAGCGACAGTCAGCGCCATCTATAAGCCAAACAACGAGTGTGAAAACACTCTTATGCGCATGTTTGACGTCACGTAGCACGTGAACTTATTATGAGCGGGCAGCTGATTAATTGTCCCTCTTATACAACCTAAACACACCAAGTCTGCCAGTACGAGACCCTCGTTCAATGAAATAAGGGAAAGAAGTGTATACCTAAGGGCTCGTTTTTCCGTGTTTTAACACAATATTAATGAGATATAACAGACATAATGGCGCTGACTGTCGCTCCTACTTCTAAATTCACAGATAAACCGAAAAAAGTGGATGGAGGGAGGGCCGCTGTGATAGCTCAGTGGTTAGAGCATCGAACGCGTAATTCGAAGGTCGTAGGTTCGATTCCTGCTCACAGTTGGTAATTTTTTCATCCACTTTTCTTTCTTCTTTCTTCTTATTTACATTCCATTGGTTCTAATAACTTCCCCTGTACATTCCTTGGCATTACTGTCTGTTATATCTCATTAATATTGTGTTAAAACACGGAAAAACGAGCCCTTAGGTATACACTTCTTTCCCTTATTTCATTGAACGAGGGTCTCGTACTGGCAGACTTGGTGTGTTTAGGTTGTATAAGAGGGACAATTAATCAGCTGCCCGCTCATAATAAGTTCACGTACTACGTGACGTCAAACATGCGCATAAGAGTGTTTTCACACTCGTTGTTTGGCTTATAGATGGCGCTGACTGTCGCTCCTACTTCTAAATTCACAGATAAACCAAAAAAAGTGGATGGAGGGAGGGCCGCTGTGATAGCTCAGTGGTTAGAGCATCGAACGCGTAATTCGAAGGTCGTAGGTTCGATTCCTGCTCACAGTTGATAATTTTTTCATCCACTTTTCTTTCTTCTTTCTTCTTATTTACATTCCATTGGTTCTAATAACTTCCCCTGTACATTCCTTGGCATTACTGTCTGTTATATCTCATTAATATTGTGTTAAAACACGGAAAAACGAGCCCTTAGGTATACACTTCTTTCCCATATATATATATATATATATATATATATATATATATATATATATATATATATATATATATATATATACTGATTTCAGATGTGAAATTATTTTTCTTGTGTTAAGAGTAGTTTTTGAAATAGTACTAACTATTTCATGTGCCTTTTGGGGAGCAAGCTTTTGCATAAACTAAAAAAGTTACAAAGTAAATAAGCATATCAAAATAATTTGGAATCAAAGCTGATTGCAATACAACAAGAATTAATGTCTAAACCAACTAGAAAAAAAGTTATGGAATGTTGAACACTTGCCAGTGAAATTTTAGGTTGAAACTGACTTGGACACAAATGTTAAACGTACCATACCTTTTGTTCAAATTGATTTAAGACATCCATTTTTGTGGAATTGCACACAGTCCTGATTACAGATTATTGTGATATGTCAACTTACTTTGTAGCTCTCTTAAAGTAAAAAAAATCTTGTTGGCAAAAAGGCACATTAAATATTTTGTAGTTTAAAAACTATACCTTATACAAGAAAAATAATTGTATATTTAAATTCAGCACACATATTTACATAATACACCAAGTTTCATCAAAATCAATCAAGAAATAAAAAACTTTTTTAAAGAGCAATGTCTCCAATTAATGCATGTAAAATATTTTTATTTACTGAGGGTCTACTGTACTTCATCAGTGCATTATGCCCTTAGTGAAAATACATAATTCGAATACACTTTGAAGAATAAAGTATCATTTCAAGCCACAAAGAAGGCGTTGAAACTAGACTTGTGCAAACAGCAACTTCTAGGTCCAAAGCACATTTGAAGCAAATAGTTATTCGGTCGACTATTTGCTTCGTAGTAGTATATATAGTAACTTGTGTAGTATATACAGCCTATTATGAAGAAAAAGCATATTTATTGTGACCAATTAACCTACACAAAAGAACTGAAACAAGGTATGTGCAAATGTCATTATATTTTATTCAAAGAGAAGTGGATGTAACTTTGAATAGTAACAGGGTTTGACTTTCTGTAGAATGCAAGTGCAAGCTTATGCAAATAGTGAACTTTAGGTTCGAAGCAAATAGTGATTTTGGTCAAGTAATTTCTAACTGAATTCGAATAATATATAACACATATTATAAAAAAAAATGGGCATACTTTTCATGACCAATCAACCTATACAACATTCTTTAAAAATTTAAATAATACCTGTGCAAATGTCTTTTTTTTGTTTTAAAAAAGTGGAAACAATTTTGAACAGTAGCAGGATTTGACTTCCTATAAAATGCAAGTGATAACCTGTAGAAAATGATACATTTTAAAATTTACTATACTTCGAACCTACAGTTGAATCTCGATAATTAGAACTCGAAAGGGCCCAAAAATTCGTTCAAATCAAAAGACATTCAAATTGATGAAAGCTAAATGAACGCAGAGATGGCATAGTGATTAGAGCATCAGCCACGCATGCAAGAGGTTCTTAGTTCAAATCCTGGTGATGCACAGTTCCCAACTGGATTAAAAAAAAATACACGTGGTGATGGAACTGCATTAGGAGGACTGGCCACCCTGGTGCAGTGTATGGCCACTACCTCCCACATGCATATGCCAATAAACTCACGGCCCTCAACCCCAGTGGCTGCGAAGCAACTGACCACGGCGGTGGTCAGATCTGCAACGCAGCAGAGGGTGCTGCGAATCTCTGGGTCTGAGCAGGCCGCCATTTGAACCTGAGCTTGGCAACGTTTAATGCTAGAACCTTATCTAGTGAGGCAAGTCTAGCTGTACTATCCGAGGGGCAAGAGGGTGTTAAATGGGATGTAATAGGGCTCAGTGAGGTTAGGAGGACGGATGAGGCTTATACATTGCTACACAATGGGCACGTCCTGTGCTATCATGGCTTGGCTGACGGAAGAGAACTGGCAGTGGGATTCCTTATCCACAGAAACATAGCTGGCAACATAGAGGAATATTATACCATTAATGAAAGCGTGGTAGGTATCGTAATTAAACTCAATACGAGATACAAGATGAAGATGGTACAGGCTTACGCATCTACATCCAGCCATGATGACGCGTCAGTTGAAAGCTTCTATGAAGAAGTGGAATCGGCAATGAGTAAGGTAAAAACACAGTATACTATATTGATGGGAGACTTCAATGCCAAGGTAAAGAAGAAGCAGGCTAGAGACCAGGCAGTAGGAAATTACGATATCGGTACTAGAAATGCCAGAGGGGAGCTACTAGTAGAATTCGCAGAATGCAATAATTAGCAGATTTTGAATACCTTCTACCGAAAATGAGAAAACCGTAAGTGGACATGGAGGAACCTTAATGGCGAAAGTAAGAACGAAATAGACTTTATACTGAGTGCCCACCCAGGCATCGTGCAGGATGTGGAACTGCTTGGCAAGGTACGATGCAGTGAGCATAGAATGGTACTGTCTTGAATTCGCCTAAACTTGAAGAAGGAACGGCAGAAACTCCTACGCAAGAAACCAATCAATGGGCTAGCACTGAGAGGGAAAGTACAGGAATTCAGAGTCTCGCTTCAGAAGAGATACTCTGCTCTTATCAAGGAAACCAGCCTTAGCGTTGACACAATGAATAATAATCTGACAAGTATTATTACGGAGTCTGCAGTGGAAGTTGGAAGTACGGTAGTTAAACAGGACACTGGCAAGCTGTCCCAGGAAACGAAGAACCTCATTAAGAAGCATCAAAGCATAAAAGCCTCAAGTACAACAGACAAAATACAGTTGGCAGAGCTTAAGAAGTTGATTAATAAGCGTAAGGTATCCGATGTAAAAAGGTATAACATGGAGAGAATTGAACACGCTCTGAAGAACGGAGGAAGCGTCAAAGCAGTGAAGAGAAAACTTGGGATAGGCAAAAACCAGATGTATGCACTAAGGTACAAGGAAGGCAAAGTAACTATCAATACGGATAGGATAGTAAAATTAGCGGAGGAGTTTTACAATGATCTGTACAGTAGCCGGGACAACCACGACCTTACCATAAGAACTAGCAGTAACTCTGATGCCAGCCCACCAGTAATGATAGAAGTCAGAAAAGCCTTGGAGAGCATGCAAAGAGGCAAAGCTGCTGGTGAGGATTAGGTAACATCAGATCTGCTGGAAGATGGAGGACAGATTGTGTTAGAAAGACTAGCCACCCTGTTTACAAGGTGTCTCCTGACGGGAAGAGTACCAGAATCTTTGAAGAATGCTAACACCATCTTAATACATAAGAAAGAAGATGACAAGGACTTGAAGAATTACTGGCCGATCAAATTGCTCTCCATCGTATACAAGCTATTTAAAAGGGTAATTGCTAACAGAATTAAGGCAACATTAGAATTCAATCAACTAAAGGAACAAGCAGGATTTTCAACAGGCTACTCAACAATCGACCACATTCATACTATGCTCAGAATACATCCAACCACTAGCCTTCATAGATAACGAGAAGGCGTTCGATTCAGTAGAAATGTCAGCAGTCATGCAGACACTGCGCCATCGGGGTGCCGTCGAAGCAAATACAAACATCCTGGAAGAAATCTACAGGGAATAAACTGCTACTGTAATGCTTCATAAAGAAAGCGGCAGAATACAAGTCAAGAAGGGTGTAAAGCAGGGGGATACAATCTCCCGAATGCTATATTCTGCATGCTTACAGGAGGTTTTCAGAGGCCTAGAATGGGAAGAGTTAGGGATAAGAGTTAATTGAAAGTACCTTCATAACCTGCGCTTTGCCGATGACATTGCATTGCTGAGTAACTCAGGGGATGAATTGCAACTCATGCTTACAGAGTTAGACAAGGAGAGCAGAAAGGTAGGTCCTAATGCAGAAAACGAAAGTAATGTACAACCTCGGAAGAGAACAGCGCTTTGAGATAGGTAATAGTGCACAAGAAGTAGATGTCTACTTACAACAGGTGATAACTGTGAAGCCGAACCACGAGACTGAAGTCACTAGAAAAATAAGAATGGGGTGTAGCACATTTAGCAAGCACTCTCAAATCTTGACAGGTATTGCCACTATCCCTCAAAAGGAAGGTATGTAACAGCTGCATCTTGCTGGTACTTAGCTATGGAGCAGAGACCTGGGGACTTACAAAGAGAGTTCAGCTTAAATTGAGGGCGACACAGCGAGCAATGGAAAAGAAAATGGTAGGTGTAACCATAAGGAACAAGAAGAGAGCAGAACGGGGTTAAGGATATCATAGTTGAAATCGAGAAGACGAAATAGACATGGGCCGGGTATGTAGCGCGTAGACAGGATAACTGCTGGTCATTAACGGTAACTAACTGGATTCCCAGAGGGCAAGCGGGTTAGGGGGAGACAGAAAGTTATATGGGCAGATGAGATTAAGAAGTTTGTGGGTATAAAATGGCAGCAGCAAGCACAGGACCAAGTTGACTGGCGGAACATGGGAGAGGCTTTTGTCCTGCAGTGGACCTAGTCAAGCTGATAATGATGATGATGATGAAATGAACGGAGGGCTCACTATGTAGTGGCGCATCACACGAGGAGGAAGTTTCAGAAGACTTACACTTATTCACAAATCACAAAACATCCGTTATTATTTGAAGTAGTCAGTCATATGCGTCAGCACACATTTGCCTTACAGCGAGTCAATCATTTTCGCATGCAGTTTGCAAAGCATTTCTACTTCAGCTTCGGAATTCTCCTGGCAACAGAAGTTGCACGCGGCAATGTCCAGCGCCAACACCCTCTAAAGACGACGGCAGCGACTGCGTCTCTGCTACTTGCTTCCGTCTGCACCGCAGCCGGAGCGTGGCCAGCACATGACAAGAAAGGAAGAGCGTCTCCATGTGGAGAGAAGCAAATAGCAATTTAAGAGAGAACCAACACTGCGCAGCAGCTTTTTTTTTTTTTTTTTGCTGCTCTCTTCGTGGGCGGCATTGAAAGAACAAGAGTCGCTACATGGCAGGGACTCTTGTTTCAGGGTTCCTTTAACATGCTTTCAAAAAAAAAAAAAAAAAAAAAAGCTGTTTTATTTGGTGGCCCCAAAGAAATGAATATTTTCCTGTTTAGATAGGTTTTTATGCTAATTTCAATTATGTAATCAGTTTTATATCAAGTTGCTTAGTTTTGGTTTTGTACCATGACAATGCATAAAATATAACTCTTTCTGGAGACAGTTTTTATACCAATAACCTTTTCTTATTATGAGCCATTCACTGTAGAATGCAAATAATGGCTCATATTGCTCCAGCTTCACATGAACAAGACAAATTGTAATGTGAAATGTCTCAAATTGGTTTGACCATTCTAATTGTTTGCTTTAGGTTCATAACAATTATATAAGTGTTATCAGCTTTTAACAAAGACAATTACACTCTTCGCGTGTTAAGGAATATGTGGGAGAATTTTCATTGCGATGTGGTCGTCAGAAGTGCCAAACTCGGAAAGTTGCCCAAAATTTCATCTTGTGGAAAACACATTTTAAATGTAAAATGGTAGCTCATCCAAGCAGCTATGGTATGCCTTCTAAGATGATCTTTTTTTCATTATCAAAGCTTAGAAATTATTGCTATTTTAAGCATGTGAATTTTGTAAATTCCTGTAAAATACAATGGCAAGCAGTGAGGTGACAATTTCCAGGGGACTATAGACAATCAGCTATTTACAGCTTTTAATAGCCACCTTTTGCTCTTTAAGTTTAACTACAACCTAGAATTTTTTGTTGTGAAAGTAAAGAAACTAAATTTGAGAAAGCAAGTAAACACAAAAACTATGCAATTACGGAAAAAACTCGTATTTTTCGAGTAGCATCTGCCTTTAAGCCGTATAAGCCTGTGTAACACGCTTCTAAATTAAAAAAAAAATGATGAATTGATGTTAGGGTAACACATTCATTTAACATTGACATAAGGCTTCGCAGCAGTGAGCGTTTTCCTTGGAAAAGTGTATCCACAGCACAGCACCACTTTACTGCAGTGAAACCACCTGACAGGAGGTTACGTGCAGTTTATAAATGTTTATTCGTTCATTTCAAATGATTCAAAATTTAGTATACCTTTAATTCGTTTCAAAGCTAATTAGGGTACAGTAATAATGATCAAAATATTTCAAGTGCTCAAATATTCGCACAAGCCAAGATCAAACCTGCCATACTGTGTCCACTGCTCTCTAACCAAATTCAAGTCATGGACAAATGCCCCCTTAACTATGGCCTCACCTGGGAATCATTGCCATCGGCGATGGAAGGGACAAGGTGTAACATGGCCACAACCACTCCCGGGTGTACAATGAGGGGGTCTGGGCTTGGTGCTGAAAGGTTGAGTGTGGCCAGCACAGGCTTCTTGGCCTGAGGGCTGCCCTTGCCTGTGGTCTCAGATGGCTTCTTGGGAACTTCCACCGTACAATGCAGGGTTGGAGGGCAGGTAACCAACTTGGTCAAGGCCATCGGCCTGGGGAAGCCAACCAGTCATTGCTCTCAAGGAACTCTTGCGACGTGCAAATAGCACACAGACAACATAGCACAGGCATCACCAAAGCAAGTTATTAGAAGCCAAAGGATTTGCCAGATGGCCTTGTAGATCTAGGAAGCAGCCAAAGAGCCTGCAGTCAGAAAAATATGCGCTTTTCTGACTGCATTATATATATTCGTGTCACAGCCAATTTATCTTGAGGACACAAAACATGGCTGGCCAAAATAATAGAAGCTAACCTTGCATAGAAGCAGGTCAAAAATAATATCTTGATTAAAAAAAGACATCAAAACAGCGTACTGAAAATTATCACAGACCACTTACTTGTCAAAAGAGTCAAGGGCCATGTCATACAACAACCGAATAACCACCAAGGCTGAGATGAGAGATGTTGGTACCTTGGTCAGGTCAAAACTGCATTGAACAGTAGTAGTCAATACTGTACTTGAAGAGACACTAAAAGCAAATAACAATTTATGTTAGAGTGAAAGCTCAATGTATGACGTCTCAAATAGCAATATTATCAACATAAGTGCCCCACTAACCGAGAAATTAAACTAAATGTATCACACGACATACGCCACAAGTGGGACATTTTGGACAAGATTCAGATAATGTGAGAGTGCCTGACAACAATTAATCACTAGTAATCAAACTAGCTGCAATAAGATAAGAACCTTTCGTGCATCAAAAAGACATAATGAATACTGCTTTTTCATTTCTGTTTGATTCATGAAAAAAAGAACTGCCTCCCATTACTATGAGGAATGGCACGAGTGGTTCAAAAGTTTCATTTTCGCCTGGTTAAGCTGGATGGGTGATGCCATCTAGCAAGGTTAACTTGAACCAAGCAAGCAAATTGTTTAATGGTCATTGTTGCTGCTGTGGCTCCCACTACTTTCACTCTGCTGCTACTAGCGTCGGTGGCTGCGCAGTAAAGGCGGGCAACGTTTGGCACAGAAACAGTGATGTGAGAAATACTGCTTTTAGGTGGGTGATTTAAAGTGCGCTAATGGGATGCGCACCACTACAACGTGATTTCTTTTAAAAATAAGCACTACTCGGTTTCTGGACAGCTATTTCAGCAATCGATATCGACTTAATATTTGCCTTAAGTGTCCCTTTAAAAAGCACAACACATAAAAGCTCACACTAGTTGAATCTCACTAAGTGGCTTTACTTATCATGATAAATTGAACACGAAGTGGCTTTACTTATCATGATAAATTGAACTTTTGACTTTTGAGCATGCAAACCATGTTTGCACATATGCACACACACCCCGCATGTGTGTGCCCACACTTGACAGTGGACTGCATTGTACAATATAAACAGAATTTTTGTCATTGAGTTAAAAACACATTCCAGAACTTCTTGTTTCAAAAAAGAGGCACAAACTAAAACAAAGGCTAACAAAATAAGGCCTTGCCAAAAGTTGTTTGCAGCTTCAGTAGTAGCTTTTAGCACTAAGCTACAGCATATTTTTAAAAACGTACTTGCAAACAGACAAAAATGCAATGACTACCGTATTTACTCGCGTAATGAATGCACTTTTTTTTTCCCGAAAAATCGGAGCAAAGTTTGGGGTGCATTTATTATGTTGGGAAAATTTTATAAAAACTTTTTCGGTATGAGCAAAAAAAAATGAAGTAATAGAAAAAAAATTAGGTCGCTCAGCTTCTTTGTTGCACTTCACTTATCTTCGGTAGTTGAAGGCGCTATCTTCTGCAAGCTGTTCCCGCGCCACCCGTGCACGCCATAAAAGCTTTCTGAGGCTATCTTTTCTCGCAATCATTTAACCGCGACAGCAGTATCTGCAGCAATCTTGAGGGGTGCCCAGAAGCATGCGCTATGACGCCACGATGCACTTAGTCAACTTCGCGGCAGCCTCGCATGAAGGCCCCGACGACGCCGTTGACATTGCAGCAAGCAACCAACATTGCAGCAAGCTACCACAGAAGCATCAAAACAAACCGTTGATAACAAGATTAACGACAAAATACGGCGGCGGCCTCGCTTGCAACCAAAGCAAGAATAGAATTGAAGACCATGTTGCGGAAATAGTCACGAACTTTTCAGGGCGCCAAGCGCTTTCTTTCTGGTTTTCCAGAAACCTGCAGCGTGAAAGTGACAAATGGCCCTTCCTGACAGCAAATCCTGTTGTCGTCGCTCGAAAATTCAGTGCATGTGGTTGGGCCTTAAAGTGTGATATTTGCAGGAAGAGACCGTTGGTTGGCACAGTAAGTTTCGTGACCTTCACTCCCTGTGTGCTTGTCAGCGGCGATGTCTCCACACTCGGATCGTTCGTGAACCCTGCTGTGGCACATAGATATTTGAAAAAGACTGGGAACGTGCCGCACACAAATAGAAAGAAAAACTATACGGCACGTGGCAGCAGGCAAAGGGGGGGAGAGGGAGCGAGTCAAGGTGGTCAAGGTGGACAGGGGGGTCGGCATAATAATAAAAAATGGAAGAGATCCAACGGGCAAGGAGGTGCCAGGTGTCTGTTAGCAGGACTGGAGCAAACGAATGTAGGGGGTGCGTTTATTATGCAAGTGCATTCATTATGGGAGTCTATACGGTACTTTCAAAATGTTAACTAGCTGTTTGAAAGTAAAAAAAAAAGAAGTTTGTGTGATAGTGCCCGGCCCAACAATAAACTGAAGCACAAATACACACAATCCATTGTAGAAGTAAAAACCAAAATTATGTTACTACATATTCTTTTTCAACTTGAAGGTCATCACTGTTGATGCGCAATTTGTGGTAATACATAGACAGACTGGTGATTCCTCCTCCTTCTCTCATACTCCCATGTGTCCCGCCCAGCGAGTTACACAAAGTGTCCACCGATCGTATGTTAATTAATGCATGCTTCAAGCACCATGCCGTGCCCTGTAAGCACTGTGTTTACGCAGAGTGCCAGATGCCTAAAAGCTTTTTTTCCTTCTTTGCAAGCAAAAAAGTGAAAATAAAGCTCGGCAGTGGTATTGCAACATCGTCATTGATACACTCAGCATGAGACTAAGCCCAAGTGCTTCGGTAGCCATATGCACGAAGGAATTCCTCTAGCACATATCAAGGTGCTCGCTGGGTATTTTGGCTACCAAACCAACTGTCCTGTGGCAAGTCAGCGTGCATAAAAACTGTGCAATATGAAGACTTATGTGTTATGAGCCACAAATAATGTGCTCAACGTGTCTGCTAATGCTACATTTAAATAGCCAATATCGTTTTAAGTTTCTTGGCTTGCAAAATTAATGAATGGGCTAGCATGCATGCATTTTAAACTGCCCTGGTGAGCATGAATTAACAGCACTTTGCTCGCTTTGTCATCTTGAATCCACCAACTGCACCAGCTTCGTAATGCAAATTATACAGCCACAAGTCTACGGTACCTCTAGTATTACATGGATCTGTAGCTATTCACACACTTCCGATATGCAGGTGCAACATGCATTTTGTTTAACACAATAAATTAAGTGCTAACATGGGTAAAATGGGTGCGGGTCACAATTTTTATGCAAAATACAGTTTGATAACCCATGATTTAAATAAAAGATTAAGAACATTACATTCAATGTCAGTGTGAGAGACTGGACATTTCCAGTGTAAGTAGCAAGGCATGTCTATTTGCTGAGTGCTAATTATTCAGTGCACTTCATGCAACACTAAGCTCCATACACCTAGTGTTAAGCCTTAACACTTTAACAGAGTAAACAGGAGCTTACCTGGAATCATTTTGGCCAGTAAACACAGCATGAAATAGGTTTTCTTCCATTGGCACGAAGCTAGTGTTGACAGGACAAATGTCCATGTTGTTTGTAAAACAGCCGAGCAGTCTCACCGTGTCAGCAAGGCTTGTTTGACAGATCTAAAATACAGACAGATGGCATATCAAAAATAAAAAGCATGTAAGCCTCAATATCTGGGTTAAAGCTTAACTACAATATACGGAAGTGTGCAGTACCTCTGTGGCGAAGAACTTGGCATTGGCTGGTTCATACCGCATGGCAACAGTCATGCTGCTAAATACGGTCCGCAGAAGGGAAATTATTTGCTTTTTCTCAACTGAAAGGACACAGAAAAAAAAATATTCAGTAAATAAACAAAAAGTAAGACCTATCTGACATAAAAGCACAGAGATATATGACAGCATACACTCCAACTCCAGTAGAATTTTGCGAATAACTCTCATTGTAGTCGTAAAATTCTTTTACACAACACAAAATCTTTTCAGTAAAGCACTTCAACCACCATAAGGAGAACTGAAATGACAATAGTTCATTTAATAAATTTTTCTTTTGTAGCCAGAACCTTATTCACAGAAAGAAAAGAAATAAACAACACTTATGCGACAGACTTAACACTAATTCTTGATTTCTACCGTAACCAATCTAATAGATTAATAACACTTCTCCACATAATATGCTATTACTGGTACCTTGCAGTCATGTCTAATTTATAGCAATGGAAATATTGCCTCTAATGTTATACTGCAAGGTTTATGCCATTACTCCTCACCAAAATTATGTTGCTGCATTTTAAGCCATAGAAGAAATGCTAAGATTGCTAGGATGATACCACAAAAAGTGCTCATAATCTTTTTATGTCAATAAATTTAGTTAAAGATAATGGCAAAGAGCCTGAATGATTTTGTGCAACTGAAAAGGTAGGCACATAAACTTAATGAACATTTTATCAGAATATGCTCTTACTCACACTCACATTTATATCAACCCAAGCTCATCAGCACTTTCTCATTCTTATTCACACTCAACTGCACTCAGTTGCATTCATACCTACTTCCGCTAGCACTATGTGACGGCTACTCACATTCATATTCATGTCCAATTACACTAATATCCACTCAATCATGTCTACCAATCTCAACCCTGACACACTCAGTAGGTGCTCCCTCACAGTCACAGTAACACTGGAGTACAGTCACTCACTCATCATTCACACAAACATCCAATAACTTGCCCAATTACCAATTATTTCCACGCACGTTCACACTGACACCTATTCACACTCACAACTACTTATGATCTTATTTGTACTCATCTACACTCATGACTAGAGACCGGATTATATAGGCAAATGCCCATTTTGTTTCTTGCGTTTCTATCGTGCCACTTTGATATATAGGCATGAATTAGAGGCTAAGAGGAGCTATTATAGTATCTTTATAGTGCCTATAAATGCCTATTTTCAAAATCGGTGCTTACAAGAATGCCTTTTAACCTCAAATGTTGTTCTCGAGTACAGTTGGACACCGGTATTTATGTTACCAGGCGAAATTGAACATTTGAAACTTTATGGGGTGCCACCTATACTTCACCTCCTAAGTTCCTTTCAGTACTCTCAAGGCTACAAGGCCTCTTAGCCTATGGAAAGGCTACTTAGCTTCTACACATGCATTCATTTGCATCGCGTTGTCTGCTCAGCATCTCCCCGGCGTCTGCTCGCATGCGTAGGGAACAGGAAGTGCTTCTGTGCAGCCGCAAGAGGATGAAGAACGAATGTGAAACCGTGGAGTGTCATCAAGGAAAAGTAGAGGGTAGATAAAAAATTTGAGCTCATGATTCTTGCTTTTTTTTTTTAAATTTACTTCTTAGAAGGCACTTCACTAGGTCAAACGGGAAATATTACTTAGACCCTGAAAGTTGTTGCGTGCCCAGTGAAAAGCTTTGCACCACTACAATTTTTGAATTGGTTGATTACAAGCCGCAAAAGCATGATGAAAAGAAGTGAGCTTGAAACCTTTGCCATTCGGCCGGTGTAGACTTTGCAAGTGAAATTCTTTCCTTGCCCTCTTCGGTATCGGATCGATTCGGAGCCGGAATAACACACGAAGCAAACACATCAACATGTCATGCGCACGTAAGGTTACATTCTCATGACATGCATGCCAGATCGTGCACTCAAGCAGTGTTGTCGTTCAGACGGTCTGAGTACACTGTATTGTACTGCCTGTTTCTGTGGGATGGATCCCTCCATGCATGCACGTTTGCATAGGCTGGCATGAATCATGTATCCCTACCACGATACACAGCATCGCACCACTGGAACCAAACACACCAAGCGTTGTGAATGCTGGCACTGGCATGATACGAAAACGGCGAGAACACCAACGTAAATGAAATGTAGGCAGCTTATGTCTCGTACTTCCTCCATGGCCTCGCATCACGTCCTATACAAAGTTGAAAAAAAAAAAATGATGCACATAGATTCTGTTTTAACATTTCGACAATCTACATACTTCTATTCAGGCAACAAATAGCACAAATTACACATGTCACCTCACAGATTCACCAATTACTCTTTTTTGGTTTACCTGAGACACATGGGTGCGGCCATCTTGGGCAATTAGATCGACGTTTTCTTGTTACAATGAGTGCGCCAACTCAACCGTTTTCGCGTGTATGCATCTACTGTAACACTGTTTGTTTAGTTGTTAAAGATGCAAGATACAAAAGTTGGATGGATGGAGGCACGAAAACCCTTCTGTAAAATCTTGGAGAAGGTAATGCGTAGTCTACCGTATACGTCAACTCCAACATGCTGGGCGCGCACCCGTGAATTGAAGGTCAAATGGTGTTCAGTCTGACATTTCACCTCTTTCCGGGGCGCCTAGCATAATAAATCTTTGCAGATGAGATCGTGAGCGCCCAGTGCATGCATTCTTCTTGCCTGCTCGAAATTCTCGAACCTAATCAAGAGTCCTTTACACACACAGAAGAGAAATTAATCCTGTGCTTGTTGAACCAAGTTAATACAAAGCAAGAAGACATTCTCGGGCCTGGTAGCGCTTTGACTGTTTGCTCCTGTGTTGTCCTTGCCATGCCGAAAAGAGACCCAAGAGCTTGCTTGTTCGAGGGGGAAACCTTAACTGGCCACTCTGGACTAAAAAAGCAGAGGCGATATTCTGCAATCCCTATGAGAGAAAAAAATGTGCGGCTATGCTAAAGCATTGGCGCCTTTGTACCATCATAAACTAAAACATTCCTGTTTGCTTTCTTCTCCTATACACAGATGTCACACGCATTTCTTCAAAAATTTGAATTTGGTCAGAGTTTATTGTGCCTATAATTATGATTTTAGGCGCCTAAAACAGTTTTTTGTCTGCCTATTTATGGCACCTATAAACTTGGTGCCTATAAATCTGGCCTCTACTCGTGACCTTCACCAATTACTCATATTCATGCCTTTGTGTGTGAGTACACATGCTTATAAGTACCCAGGCCTTTATTTATATATACAAAGTAATGGTCGCACACGCACGCACACATGCACGCGCACACACACGTGTTCACACACACACACACACAAGAATTGTTACTGCAGCAATACGAAATGTGCTAAACGTCGGATGTTAGCCTTATTCATAATGGCCATATCAGGATTTCCAGTCAACTTTCTTGTCTGACTTGAACTATGCTTTTTACATCAGAGCCTGTCCATCTATTTTCAGCATTCTTTCATACATTGAGAGAAGCAGGGAGGCACAGTAAGGTTCAGTTATTTTGCCAATTCCTCTGGAAATTTCTCACCTGTGTTCCATGGCTCTCTTGGAGGATCAGCCAGGCATCCTTCCATAGAAACAAGGACTGACATAACGTAGACAAAGCCGCCAACTTTCCGAAAAACAGTTCGGGTTCGATGGCTCTCCCGAAGCACATACAGAAGCGACTGCAAATGACACCATGAAAAAATTAGCCCCAAGATATCTACTGCCAAATATCCCCAACCCTGTCCATTAAGTGGTATACCTTACAGCTCTAAAACTATAGCCCCGAACTATAGCGAAAATGTTGGGCCACATTTTTGTATTGCCCAACTTAATAGAAATTTACACAGAGAGGTTACACAGCCCAATGTAATGTACAGCACACTCTCAGTAAACCAAACCTGAAGGGACCGGGAAAATATGTTTCATTTAACAGTAACTGAGAGGTGAACATGGGTGCAGAATTGAAGCCCAAAACCAAGCATTACAGAGGCAATAGTTCCGTTTAAGCAGTAGTTTGGTTTAACAGATTTCTGTTTACTGAGAGTCTACTGTAAATTTCCCGCATTAAAAAAATTGATCAACCAACCAATTGTGCAAGAGCCCTATGAGAGGTACTGCATTCATAATGACCCTCTCACTGCACAAGTTGAATTAATATGTGCAAAAGGAATTGAAAACTTCTGCTCTATGATGTTATCTGTTACCAGTATGTTCAAAGCTACAATAAAACTTTTACACTAACACTTCACAGATCAGTCAATCTAAAAATCTTTTTAACAAACTGTGAGCATTTACAGGGACACTAAAGGCAACTATTAAGTCGACATTATTGAAAAAGTGGTCCAAAAACCTCGTAGTGTTAGTACTTTTATGTCAAGGAAAGGCCTATTTTGAAATAAAATCAAGTTTTAGTTGTCTGCATCAAGTCAGCGCACTTCAAATTACCCGCCTCAAGAAGCGGACCGACTGGACCGTCTCACGTCACTGTTGCCGTGCACAACATTGCCCGGCTTTACTGAGCTAGTAGCAGAAGACCGAAAGCAGCAGGAGCTATAGCAGGCAACAACGTCCATTGATCAATTTCCCGCCATTGGCTCCAAAATTGCAGACTTTTGTCGTTCAACTGCGCCCCGCTAGATGGCACCACCCATCAAATGTAACCACGCAAAAATTGAATTTTTGAACTACTCGGGTCATTCCTCATAGTAACGTTCGACGGTTCCTTTCTCCATGAATCAAACAGAAACGAACAAGCAGCATTTTATTGCATCTTTTGATGCACGGAAAGCTCTTTATTTAATGCAGTTAGATTGATTACTAGCGATTAATTGTAGACAGTCTGTCTGATGTCATCAGGACATTTTGAAAATGTCCTACTGCGGCGCTTGTGTTCTTGTGCATTTATCTTAATTTCTCAGTAAGTAGGGCACTGTTGCTGATAATATTGTCGTTTTAAATGTTGTCATACATTGAGCAATAAGTCTGACGTAAATTGTTATTTGACTTTAGTGTTCCTTTAACTGAGAATAAGTAAAAGTCACAAGCAACTCTATATCCTGTGTTTCTTTGTCCCCTATCCCCCATAACTTTCTCCACATGCAAATGATAAACTTTGATAGTTATTGTGGCCATACAAGTGAATGACGGTTGAACGTTAGGAAGTTTGACCACAGTGATGTGTGGCAGCATAAATATCTCCTTGATTATTCAAAAGACACCATAGACAGTGCACCTTTAGAATGTGGTTCTTGAGGTCAAGAGCCAGCGGTGGTGCGGTATGCATGAGCCCCAGCAGGGTGCCCATGTCATCGTCCCCACCATTGCTCAGTACCAGCTGCTGCACCACAGCCAGTGCTTGCTGTCGGCACAGCCGGTATGGCACCAAGTTGTGGGCACACCGGGCACCACCACATTCGCGGAACACACCTGCAGGCAGACAGCAGTGCTTACAAAACACAAAGCACATGCAGACAAAGCAACAACACTTTGAAGCGATTGCGGACGAGAAAGCTAGAATACGTTCACTGGATACTGAAAACCTCCGACTTCCAGCTAAAAAAGTTGATAGGCTAAAGAAGGAGAAAAAAAAGTTAAGAGCAGCAAATTTACCTTGAAATACCCCGCACTAGCTGCTCATGAATGCTTGCATCTTTCAACAATAAATCCCCACAAATTAGCACACTTTTCTGTTAACCTACGAAGTGGACATTGTCTGCTCAAAACAAAGTAGACGTTTTGTATACTGTTGAATCCCGCTACAACAAAGTTGACGGGATGCACGAAAAAATTCATTGTCGCGGAATTTTTCCTAGTGAAATTTCATCTATGGACCACAACATATGGTAAGATCTGATGATTAGGACTCGTCTTTTGGTCCTTGCAAGCGCATGCATTGAACCCTTGCCAACTCAGATGTACCTGGCCGAACAATGAGTGAACATATTTTCTTGCATATAACGCGATCAAAATATAGAGAAAATTTGGAGCTAAAGTCGAAGTGCGAGTTATACGATAATTTTGGCACGCAAGCTGGCTTGACGGCACGACTTCAGGGCAATGCAGAAAAGGCTGCCTTGCGTAGTGGACGTGAGTAGCTTTTTTTCCTTCCCACAGTTTGTGGCCAGGGGTCCCGGTTATTTGCAGGGGTGGGTTATACAGAAAAAAATACGATATTCAGATAACCCTTGGGGCTTGCCGAGTGCACAGCACCGTGAACAAGCGTACCAAAGCTTCGCTAGAGGCCTACTGGTAACTGCAACTGAAAGTGACGAAGCTTCACACTACCAAGGCCATAAGTGAATAACAGGAAAACCATAACGCTTCGTGTCTTATTATGGCTTCATTGCCTTAATCTGTGGCGGTGTTAACTGCGCACCTTTAGATTGTACTCGCTATTGATGAACACCACAATAGCGACCGCTGTTTCCTGCACAGCGGTTGCGGCAAACAAGTTCAGTTTTTAATCTGTGCACCCCGCGCTGGCTGCACGCGTGACTTAAGAACTGCGTCGTTGCTATCTTCGTTCACACAGTTATGGCAAGAAATATTGGGTTGAGTCAATGTGCGTTGACTGCGCGCGTACTTTCATAGTCGCCCATGATCGCGTTTGAAACGACCGCATTTGTGTTTGCAGCGGTTGCAACAGAATGAAGCTATGCTAGGACTAGGTGCGTGCTGCACGCATGTGCGCCTCCACAATGCGTGGTTGTCATTCACAATCGCAGGGCTAGTGACGATGAGCGGTAGTTTTGTTATGAGCACGCTGTCAAAAACAAATGGCCGGGGTTTTTAAAGATCACGATTCTGCCACGGCCCTCATGTGCATCAAATCCACTGGCAGCATCATGGCAAATGGGCGCACTGTCACTGAGCATCTCAATGGCGATAAATTTAGCGGGATGTTTGTTTGGTGGCAGAAAGCATGTATCTGATGAAAACACGGTTGTTGCGATATGGCCGTGTGCTCTGGATGTCACGAGCCGTCGAAAAATGTCCGAGTTGGTATCGGAATGTCACGGCAATCCAAAGCAAATTCCTTTTTCTTATGGGGTAGTACTCGCAAAAACTTCGTTAAAGCGGAAATATCCAGGAAAATTATTCGTTGGGACGAGACATTTTTCACCTTGTTTTCTATGGGCGGCTGATGGGGAATCGAAAATCATTCATTGTGGCGGAAATTTTGTTGTAGCAGAATTTGTTATAGCGGGATTCGACTGTATAAGCAAAATAATTCCACTGCTTCCTGAAGAAGTCACACTATTCTTAGTATTTCAAAGAAGACTAACAATTTTTTAATTTGACTTACGGCTGCAAATTTATCCCCAGTCTATGCTTTTCAGAGCATCATTATTCTTTTAAATGTGACTAGAAAGATTTCTTTGCAAGCTTTGAATTTTTGGAAAAGCCTGCTTAGTTTTCACAGTAAAATATCAGTATCTAATTTTCTAATTAGGCAAGAATTTACTAAGGCAATAAATGTCTCATCACTTAAAAACATGGTGTTACTCACTTGCATTGTTTGAATTGCCATTCAAGAGAACTGTGAGAGTCTCCATGACCAGAGAACCCATTTGTTGCTGTTCATCAGGGATAGGAACTTTTGCTGAAAGGAGTAAACAACAGGTCATACCAAAAATAACATTACATGTTTGCACACTATGCATCGTAACACAGAACAATAAGGAAACAAATAATTTGCTCAATGCATGACCATGATGGCCCAGAAATTCAGAAAATGCTAGCCCTAAACTTAACACAAGTTGACATGAAATTTATCAGAGACACACTTGCCAGGCGCTTATCGAGCAAGTGGTCTATTTATGTTGAATGATAACATTCTTCCCAGAAAAAACATCGCCTTGACTAACAACTAAGTCTGAATTTTGGCTTAGCTGCTATTTTGAGTTATCAGAGTTTGCATTTACAGAAGTTTGGAGTATAATAAGGCAATTTTGTCTTGAGCTCTCAATAAATTGCTTATGCATGAGTGCTGCAGATCTTACCAACAGGTTCTGCAGCGCCATCGGGAAAGGCCTCCTTGAGCACAGTTGCATAGCGATGCAGGCATGTGACTAGGACTTCCAGCAGTCCTACTTCGCGATAAACGTCCTTGAATACAGCGTTATATTGCAGGATGTTGGCCAGTGTATGCAGGCATATAATGGAACAGGACACAGAGCTGCAAAGGACAGAAAGGTTTCGTATTGAAGGGTTATACACGCTATAGGCATATCAACAGGCCAAAGTACCAACCTTAGGGTTGACATGTGACCGACAATACACAGGCCATGAATAATTTAGCCTCAGGTAATGCTGATGAGCTTTAATTATTAATTATTGAATAAGCCCAAACAATCGATTGATTGATATATGGGATTTAACGTCCCCAAACCCCCATATGATTATGAGAGACGCTGCCGTAGTGGAGGGCTCCGGAAATTTCAACCAGGTGGGATTGATTAACGATGTCTAAATAGAACACGAGACTTGTGCTTTAGCCTATATTGCATGACAATAACCTACAATAACTTATGTCAATACAATGAAGAAAAATATTTCTCACCCTTTCAGTAAAACACATTGAACAGAATTTCTCAAAGCTCACCCATTGAACACAATTTCTTAAAGCTCCTTAAATTCTATTTCTACAAAATAAAGATAAGTATCAAATTTACGTGTGCTGCGTAAGACTGAGCTAACAAAATCAGAGTTATCCAGCACGTAAAACACCACACCTGCAAGGTACTCTTTTAAAAATAGGAATGTGCAAATACTGAAAACTTTCTAATTAAATCGAATATAAATCAGATAAAAAATAGGCTCTAAATATTTAATTGAATGTTAAATATTAAGAGCAGAGTGCTCTAAGGGGTCAGGCTGCCGTATGCTGTCCTCTTCACTAGGCGTAATGCAGGCAAAACCACACATGGCCTAGCCAGCTGTAGCATATTGAGCGCGCACTCGCACCAAAGAGAAGTCTTCTTCCTCTTGCTCTTCGAGTGCCTTGATGATGAATTTAGTGCAAGCCTTTCCCTCTTGTTCTTTGAGTGTCTTGATGACGATATTAACGCACCCAAAACTACAAAATCATAGCCAGCTACAGCATACAGAGTGCACGCAGGCGCCACAGAGAAGACTACTTCTCCTTGTCCTTTGAGCACCTTAATGATTATGCGAAGTGTGGAAATTACTACTATGGCTAGGGAAACACGAGACAGCACATAGCACGATAAAGATTGAAAAAGGAAGCAGCTGAGAAATAGAAAGAGAGAATAAAAGGGAAAACGAAAAGAAGAAAATACAATAAATAAAAAGAAAAAAAACAGAAAAAAACTGTATAAGAGAAAAGGGAAGAGAGGGAGGAGAAAAGAAAACAAGGAAGGTTGCCCAGCTCTGCACTTTGCTCAAGCTTAATGGCACCACTAGGGCGAAACTGCCTTAATTTTTTTCCCCTACTTTTGTAGCAGCATCAAAGATGAAGCTTCTGCAGTCTGTTTGATTTGAATTTTGCAATTAATGACTTTTGCAATTACCTGCCGCAAACAACTAGGAAGCTTGCGATAAATAACAAGGACAAACTAGCAATGGCATCAATGCAATACTTTTTTTTTTTTCAGTGAAGGACAGAAGTTTGATGCTGAAGACGTGCACATAGCATTTAAGGAATGCAAATATGGTGAAACTAGTCAAATGACAAATCAGAACAAATCTGTATATACGGCACGATTTCCCCTAATAGAGCCTGAAACGACCGGGCAAAGATGTCCCATTCAACAGAAGTTTCATTTACTGAAAAAGATGTATAGCCATCACAGCACCATCTGAACCGAAGGTACTAGTTCCATTTATGTATCAATTTCATTAGAGTGATTCTTGCTTACATAGATTTTACAGTATAGAATAAATAGTTCCTAATGTGGGAAATTATACATCCTGTGCACTTTTTTCAGGAACTTCGGCCCCTGTGCAACAGCTGCAGCTATTGTAGAGAAGAATGACTTGAAACAGTCTTCATATCCATCATTCCGTCTTCTTTTGGACTACAATAATTGTTATTACCCAAATATATTTGAAGAAAATGAATATTTGATCAATTTGAATACAGAATTTTGCGAATTGAATAAAACTTTTTGTTGGGGTTTAAAGTCACAAAACCACCATATGATTTCCAATCGAATACAAACAAAATAGCATGGATGAATCAAAGGGGCCCGACAACATTTTTGAGCATGGTCAGAAAACACTGCTAATCGGTAGTCGAGGCTCCCGTGAACACGCGGTTCAATTATTGTAGTGCAGCACATGGCCTGGAATTTACAATCATTTATCGAAGTCGGTTAACAAGTGCTTTATCTTCTCTCGACAAATGATGCTAAAGGTTCCAAATCCCTATGTCCCAGGCCTACCGTAATTACTCGAATCTAATGCGCACCTTTTTTCCGGTTAAGCGACTTCATAAATCGCATGCGCGTTAGAATCGAGTTCGAAAAAAAAAATGAATAAGGTCATTCTATTGCCATCGGCATTTCCAAAATGGCCACCCCCTACGTGCGTCGGCATGGCGAGTCAGGCCATTTCTGCCTATGTGTTTCCCATGTGCAGCACTTCGTACGTGTGCAGAGGAGTTCTTAATTTTGTAGTTCATTAGCATCGACGGCATGGAAGGGCCGACTCGAAAAACTCGACAAGTGCACCACGATGCCGCTTTTAAAAGAAAAGTCATCGCGTGTGCCGAAACAGACGTAAATCGGGCCGCATCACGGTCGTTCTGAGTTTCCGAAACTGGCGGAAACTGGCGGACTGGCGGAAACAAAAGCAGAAGATTGTCGACAGCAAAGATTCACGCAAATGCTTCAGTGGACAACAGCAGGGTCGGTTTCCGCAAATTGAAGAGCTGCTCGCCGAGTATGTGCTTGAGCAGCGAGCGGCACAGCGGCCTGTGATGACAGAACTGCTCCAAGTGCGGGCTATGCAGTTAGCTTTAGAAAAAGGGTTAATGCGGAGCCAGTTCAAAGCGAGCAGGTGCTGGCTAACTAACTTTAGGGTTTAGGCTAACTAACTTTAGGCTTTTCCCTCCGAAAGCGAACCGGCATGGACCAAAACTTGCCGGAGGAGTACGAAGAAAAGCTCAAGAGTTTTCAGAGGTTCGTCCTAAACTTGCGGCACAACAACGGCTACCTGCTTGGGCAAATCGGGAATGCCGATCAGTTGCCTCTTTACTTCGACATGCCTGGCACCACAACCGTCGAAGCAAGTTCGCGTGCTGACATCGGGCCACGGTAAAACTAGAGTGACGGAAATGTTCCGCTGCACGTCAGATAGGCACAGGCTTCCGCCGTACCTTATATTTAAACGGAAGACGCTCCCGAAAGGAGTCGTTTTCCCGTGTGGTGTGATCGTGCGGGCCAACGAGAAAAATGGGTGTCTTACTTTTTTTTTTTCCGTTGTGGAAACCGGGTGCGCTACAATCGAGGGCGCGGTAGAATAGAGTAAATACGGTAGTATCAGACATTGGCTTGTTTGAACAAGGCACACTCGGTCGCTACTGGGGCCGCCATGGAAGGCCGAGACTTCTCCACGTGTGCGCACACTGAAAAACCATGCGCTCACAAAAAAAAAAAAGAGAGAGAGAAAGTGCTCCGTCTCACATGGCGCACGGGATGCATTTTCATCTCTCGAGACATCCCTTCCTGCTTAGCTTCCAGCACTTTTGACAAGAGAGAATGTGATTGCAGCATGTGACAAATTTTAGTAACTCCGCTCTTACTGGGCGGATTCTGAAAATTTTTGCAGAAGCGAATTCATGAGACAGTAAGCTCCTACAAAGAATTCATTCGATAGCTATTTAGAAAAGTGTTGCAGGGCCTCTTTAAGTTGACCTGAGGTGGATATTCCTACATGGACTAACCAAATTATTCTGCTGTGTATGTGCTCTGAATGCACTAGGGAATACCGAACACAAATAACCTTTTAATCTTTTCATTAAATGCCAGCATGTCCCCAACTAGCCATCTCCACCTGCGCTCTGTCGGCATATACATGGGATGGTAGCATAGGCACTGCCTATCCAAAAACACATGGTAAGGCTTACACTAGCACATGGTACCCTACAGATCAATGGACACAATTTTCAAGGAGGTTCTCTAAGTATGACTTCTATTTTATTCAAATTTCCAATCACGTTGGAGTTAACCAAGTTCCAATGCATAAGACTGTTCATTAATATTACTTTGCCCCCCATCAAAAAGTGGCCATCATGGCCGGAAATTGTACCCCTGCCATGGTGCTTAGCGGTGCAATATTACAGCCACTAAGTCATCACGGCAGGTCAACAGGACCAGCCATATCATTAATATTTGAATACTATTCACATTATCATCATCATCATCATCAGCCTGACTACGCCTACTGCCTCAAAAACACCTCTCCCATGATCCACTAGCCAACTCGGTCCTACGTTTGCTGCTGCCACTTTACACCCGCAAAGTTCCTAATCTCATCTGCCCACCTAATTTTTGTCTCCCCATCACCCACTTGCCTTATCTTGGAATTCAATCTGTAATTTTTAATGACCAGCAGCTATCTTGCTTTCGCGCTATCTGCCCTGCCCATGACTATTTTTTCTTGATATTAACAATACTGTCCTTACACCAGCTATCCAAAGGTCTAACACAGTTTTTCAACTGTAAGTGGCATGCATTTCATGCTGCATCACAATGAATGAAATACCTGTTGGTTTTCAGAAGGATGCTAAGGCTGATTAGTTCTTTGCAAGGAACAAATTTTAGATCCATGACAATGAACTCCAGAAGCTTGAAGAACTTTTCCTGTAAGGAGTAGAACAGGCATCAACTCCATACTTAGCACAGTTCATACACACAAAGAAGAAAAGAAAAGAACAGGCTAGAAAACAAACCTGTATTTCTGAAGTTTTCAGATGAATCTTCTCTGAAAAGTGCGACAATGGATGGCTGGATTCGAGAATGAAGTAATTTGCTTTGTCCGAATGATAGATGGTGCTGATGGCATCAAGAAGCAGGGATGACAAGTGCACGGTCTGAGCCTATAAAAAGTAATAGTAAAAGATTAAAAATCACAGTAGCCCAGGTGTACTCTGTCTTCAAGCAGTGTCATTATGTTGCTTTGCACAAACATACACATGTGAGTACAGTCAATAAATGTGACAGTGATGTTATGCAGTATGTTAGACATCAGGCCTGCCGTTATGTAGGCCTGCCATTATCTAATATTTCATGAAATAAATGCAGAAAAACTCAGCCATCATAATGATCTTGAGCTGTTCTGGCCTTTCATCACATCTCATATACTTTTAGGCCTGTACGCAATAGCCAAGATGAAGGAACTAGCTCGCCTTGTAGGTTTACTTAATAAATCTCAATGCTCTTCCCACACCAGTGATAAACTGATTAAAGCCAATGTTTTATGTAAAGGCTCAAGGCAAGTGTGCTCATCAAGAAAAGTCAACAGTTCAAGTGGTAGCTGTGCTAGCAGAAGACACAGATAGGCGCGTTCTTCCATGCTTACAGCGCATGCACACATCGGGGCATCATCTACTTGACACCTTACGTCAGAAGCGGTGCGCAAAGCGTGGCCAACCTGTATTCCTTCTAATTATGGACTACACTGTACATACCGTAAAAGGCACTGTCATGTTTTGTAATTAATTTCAACTTTACACAGTATACAGCGGAACCCTATAGTTGCATTTCTCAGGAGACCACACAAAAATAACACAATTTGAAACAATACAACATCTGATAATTTTTTCACTAAAAAAATTTCTCCAGTACGTCAAACCATACGAAACAGAAGGCAACATCACCAAGCCCATGCTATAATAACCATGGTAGGATTATAAGTACTGTATGGAAAAGGTGAAGGGCAGATGGCATGCAGCCCTTTAGGGAGCCTGCACGCGAGCAGGCTCCCAACTGGCACTCAGCCACCTGGCCAAATGCCAGTATGAAAAGACACAATCTTGCTGTTCCTTGTTAAGATGGTGCGACATGGCAGACGCTGACCCTTTTCAGTGGCGAAAAGTAGCGTTAAAAAAAAGTGCTGTCAATGTTTTTAGACTTAACAGCTGGGAAGGCAAATGCAAAAAATGAGAAGTTCATGCACATAACAGGAGAATTAAAAAGAAAAAAAAACAGGCATTTCAAACTGTAAGAGCCAGAAAAACATAGTGAACAGGAAAGTATGAGTTTCTACTGAACTGAGCCTTAAAGGGGTACTGACACACATAAACTTTGGCCTTGCATTTTTTTTTGCTGCAATGCATTGCTGGGGGCCTGTTACTCATGACACGACACTTCGTTTGCTGCAGCATGTGACAGATAATTAATTAGAGAGTCCTCATTATCAATCAGTTTCGGTTTGAGAGAGTTCCAAAAACTGGGTACAACTGTCGCCACTTAGCGTGTGCAGCTCTTGACCACGTCAGCACACAGAACTGTGACGCACTTCCACACGGTCCGCATCAAGAATTACTTTCGAAAAGGAAATGGGACAGCAATGTCGCCAAACACAAAACTTTCTAAGCGTGCGTCACGGCCACGCACTCGCAACCAGCAGCCGAGAAATATAGACTTCGGGAACTAAGGCGACAAAAGAAAAATGGCGGCTATGACGTCATCATAACTTATTTTGTTGACTGCAGAGTGGTGACATGAGGGAAGTAGGGGGTCCCCTCAGGGTCTCCTCCGAGGGTGTCTATAGCGCTATGGACTCGGCCACTCACACGAACTTCAAAATTAATTTAAAACACCTTCTAAGCTATATTCGCTGTTGATATCTTGCAGATGATATACGAATGTTCACGAGAATCGACCCCGCAAGCTATCTCGGCCCCGAAATTTTGTGTCAGTACCCCTTTAACAACCTCTTACCTACAAGATTGGATTAACAGTGCATTTCCTACAGAATACCTAGACAAATAACTTTGAACATCAAAAATAATTTTCAAATACTAAAGTACTGATTACATGTTTATGTAACATAGTTTTACTTTATGTGTTAACTACTCTATGTACACATTTATGCCGACCAGCCCATTTATGAATGATGATGCTTAGTAGGAAGGTGACTGTTCGGTACATTTTTTTTTTAGGCAAGCTGTACTGCTGGTCGAGATATAACAGCGCACTTCAGGTAGAGTGCACAATCATCTTACAGTACTTGGAGAACTGTATCAATATTACCATTGAGCTGAAGATCTAGTTATTCTCCCCAATTTTTCAGCCCATCTTTAACATGCTAAAAGAGTGGTGAATGGCATGCCACCAGGGTTTTCGGCAAGATCACTAAAGAAAAGCTCCCTTTTCTTCATATTCCACAGACACAACCAGCACCACACAAACAAATAATAATGCTCCAAACTCACTTTTGGAAAAACAGTCTGAAGCACTTGGAATGCTTGAATATTTCTGACGCTTGTTCCTGTAAAAGTTGCAGACTTGTGTACCCTTTCCCAACCAGTAACCCTTGCCCCTTTTCTCACAAACTGCTGAAATAGACACTTGGTGGCATACAACCAAACTGCAACATTCAATTTTTATGCCAACAGCCAAGCAACAATATATCATAAACTATTGACCTACCCAAACTGCCTAGGAGACTAAGAGACAAAAGAATAGCTCCATCTATCCCCCTTTATCAATCTCAAGCTTTTTATTCATTACTTGTATTGCTGTCAGGTTTTAAGCACTTGTTGTACAGTTCTAGCAAAGAACAGCCTTCTAGAACAAGCCCGAAGCTATAATATACTATGATAATGCCACGTTTCTTTTCTCAAGTTTTGTTATTACCCATTACACTACATTCAGCGCAAAACCGCGCCTGCTATGTTCGAAAAGCTTCGAGGCTGTAGTAGATCGTTTTGTTAAGATTACGCCCACTTCGTAAACATTTCGGGTTATTCTGGAACCTACGTTGCCGCTAGCGGTAACGCTACAACATTCGGTGGCAACTGTATAAACGCCGACACGCTTCGCCGCTTGTCAGTTGATCGACGGCAGATGCTCTGCTCGCCGCTACCAGTGCCAGTGTCTTGCTGTAATCTAAATTTTCTTTTACGTGGCCACAAGTATGACCCGAATAAACAGTTTATTATTCGGCCTGCAGTCTTCTCCATTCATCCACCTCACGACCCCATGACAATATGACCAAATCTACATAACTACTGGGAAAAATGTAAAAGTATTTCTGCACATACAGAAACATAAGAAAATTCACATTTGTAATTATACAATCAAACTGAACACTGCCCATGTTTAACCTCAGCTCTCAGCAAGTCATACAGTGAAATCTCGTTATAACGAACTTCAGGGGGCTGTGGCAATTTATTTGTTATTTTGAAAGATCGTTATAGTGAAATCCCAAGAATTAACCATAAATACTTATTTTCCACTGACCAAAACGACTTACCTTTACAACGGTGGGTCCTTGAACTTGTTTTTCACGAGAAAAAACAAACGCTTAAGTGAACACCAAAAAATGCACGTTTACTTTAAAGAAATCTGTGATTTCTCTATGTCTTTTTTTTTTGCGTGTGCACCACAAACTTTGCAGCGCAAAGGCCTCCAGCTCATCCACATTCCTGTGGTCTGATTTGCTTCTTTGGTCACAACAGTCTGTTTTTTGCCTTCCAGTTGCTGAAGAATATCCACTTTATCGCTCAGTGAAAACTGCTTCTGCTTCTTCGTCGCAAGCAGAGATGAACTCATTTGAAGTAGCACTGCAGAGCGAACGCCGACTTACTTTGCGGACGTGATAAGTAATCAACGAAAAGAGATGAACACAACTGACAAACAAGGCCTCCTAGAGCACATGTAGGAGTGACAAAGAAAAAAAAACCTGAAGTGTCGCGGCAGTCATCGCATCTTTCGAAGAAAGAAAAGTGCTAAAAAAGAAAATTCCTCGCTTTTCGTTTCCTGCTCCCTTGCTGGCTCAGGTTTTCAGCACCCATGCTTCCCGCTCCGCAACTCTCACTCTGCCTCACTGACCTTGCCCTGCCACAGCATCGGCGTTTCAACAAAAAGGAAAAAAAAGTTGCCCTTCATTTTTTTCCCCCCCTCCACACCATCGCAAGTCTTCCAAGAAGCAAGGCATCCGTTTGCTTCGTCTTCTGCTTGCCTACCGACCGCTCCGGTCGTACCGACAGATTTCAAAACATGAGTTCGTAGTACTGAGGCATTGTTAATATGATGCAGACCTAAATTAATGCCCGTTATTCTGAAAAGTTCGGTATTCTGAAGTACGTAGTCGTGAAATAATTTTATATTGCAACTATTAGCAGTCGGCACGGGATTTTTTAAAAGTTTGCTAATCTGAAAAGTTCGTTAATGTGGAGTTCGTTCTACAGAGATTTCACTGTACTTATGAAGTCAACTTTCATTATTCATAAGTATGACCAAAAAGAAGTGGTTTAGAGAATGGAAGTCTTTGGGTACTTTTGGACAAAGCTGTATTGATTAGGAATGATTCGAATGAACAAATATCAAGATAATGAAATTTAACTGTATAACCAAAGCTATTGAAGAAGAAAGTAAACGGGCCGGCGAAGTTCCAGAATCATCTCTCTTTGTTTCTTTTTTGTTTTTTCCCCCAGAATATGAATAGCTGGAAAAACAATTTCACGTACCTTTGCCAGACGGCTGTGGTAATGTAAAACCAGGGATTTGGAAAAGTGAACCTGTGCTGGCTTGGCTAGGCTTCAACTCATAGTAGCCACAAGTGGTGAGCGATGTCATTAGTACAGCAAGGTTTCTCAGTGCTTCACAAGCCTCCTGAGAGCTATTTTGCTCCAGTCTGGAATTGGTAACATTTTCTGTTTTCAATACAGACGTCGACGAATTCTTATGGATATGTACCCTTTTCATATAAGTATAAAGAGACATGAAGAAGAAAAGCAATTTTTCTCGTACTTGTAGATTACTTTTCTATGATACCAAAAACACAACTCTCCCTGGGAGAAGACACTTGCTAAGCAAGTAAACAAGAAAAAGCAGCTGTCGATGCCACCTTGAAGTTTTTGCACCAACTGTCGTGACATCATAAATTTTCATGGCACATATTGCTACTGATCGGTAGGAATGAAGAATACAGTCGGACCCCTTTGTATGAGACACTGATGTAAGAGACAGATAGGGATAAGAGACATCAGTGTGCCAACACTGAATGGGTGGTAAAAAATGCTTATAGGGTACCCTGCTTATAAGAGACACCTCATATAAAAAAGACAAAAATTGCTCCCCAGTGCATATCTCTTATACAGGGGTTCGACAGTATTGTCTTTTGAGAAAACCAGAGACTTAGCATACCAAGTTTCCAGAAATTTCATTGAGCCTATGTAGCCAAAATACAAAAGCAGTTTAGAATCTGTGACGTCAGAAGATTATAAAGAAAAATTCGAAAATTTAACTTCTGGCATCATTTTCTCATCTATTAATAAACCTCAGGTGGTAGAATTCATGACACCAAAGTTTTCAAAGTGTAATTTATTCATCTAAGCGATTTTATTGTCTCACTTTAGTGTCCATCTAAGACAAAACTAATATCATGTAGTTGGTAGAGAAATGCACAAACAGTATACTCTTGCAAGCAATTTTAAACATTCTAGAATTTCTCACCAAAAACAACTCAAAATAGTTTAACCCTTTGTGATCCGTTGTCGAACACTGCCCGACAAGGCAACACAGCCGTAGCGTAGTCGGGCACCGCCCGAAGACAGTGTTTACGGTTTAAATTTTGGGGTTTTCTCACTGCAAGTTGCGTACATTTTTAAAATACATGAAGAGTCATTTCTTGAGGAATGAGTGAGCTTAGTTTGTTGAGGTATACTTTTTTTTTTTACACTAGAGTTCAGCCCTATGTCCAGCACCGAGCCTAGAGCGTACCCATTCGGGCCAGGTTTCGCTGAGGAGCCATGCTACGTTTTCCCCGCGTGCGTTTTACAGTGGAACTTTTCGCGAAAGTGATGATGACTTCAGTGAGGAAGAAAACGACCTGCCCCACAAGACAGTGATGACAGTGGTTTCACAGAAGTGAGTGATGAAGACGACGACGACGGAGGTGGAGACAACACCTCTGTTTTTCTGCAAAACCTACAATGGCAATCGTAGCCTGCACCCTAGGGAATGCCTTGAGTGGTATCATACGCTGCCCGAATATCGCTAAGGGAGTTGCGTGCAGAACGCAGGAACAAAAATAAGTATCCTGTAAGCTTTTCTTCCACAGTTCGGGTTTTTTTTCGCGATGCCAGGAACTGACAAAATATGTTCGGACCGGTAGAGCCGGAAAGTGTGTAAAATTTTTGGACCGCAAAGGGTTAATTGCACAAAAAAAAAAATACAGCGACTTCAACCAGCCCGAAGCAGCTGCTTTACAGGTATTCTAGAAAATGGGGAATTTTCAAGCTTTTTTAATCAAGACTGCAGAAGCTAAAAAATAGAGGAAAAAATGTCTTAAATATATGCATTTTACATTTGGGTACGACACATTTTTATACCAAATTGCTATGCATTTTTAACACTCATTTTTACTGAAATGTCAGTTGCTGAAAAAAAGAACTGTGCCATATTCTATCACATTCCTCATTTAAACAATACTGAACACAAACACAAAAGAAGATGACAAGGTCTTGAAGAATTACAGGCCGATCAGCTTGCTCTCCGTAGCATACAAGCTATTTACAAAGGTGATTGCTAACAGAGTTAGGAGAACATTAGAATTCAATCAACCAAAGGAACAAGCAGGATTTCGAACAGGCTACTCAACAATCGACCACATTCATACTATCAATCAGGTAATAGAGAAATGCTCAGAATGTAGCCAACCCTTAGCCATAGCATTCATAGATTACGAGAAGGCGTTTGATTCAATAGAAATATCAGCAGTCATGCAGACACTGCGGAATTGGGGCGTAGATGAAGCATATATAAACATCCTGGAAGAAATCTACAGGGGATCAACTGTTACCATAGTGCTTCATAAAGAAAGCAAGAGAATACCAATCAAGAAGGGTGTAAGGCAGAAGGATACAATCTCCCAAATGCTATTTACCGCGTGCTTACAAGAGGTTTTCAGAGGCCTAGAATGGGAACAGTTAGGGATAAGAGTTAATGGAGAGTACCTTAGTAACCTGCGCTTCGCCGATGACATTGCATTGCTGAGTAACTCAGGGGACGAATTGCAACTCATGATTACGGAGTTAGACAAGGAGAGCAGAAAGGTGGGTCTTAAAATTAATCTGCATAAAACGAAAGTAATGTACAACAACCTCGGAAGAGAGCAGCGCTTCGAGATAGGTAACAGTGCACTTCAAGTTGTAAAAGACTATGTCTACTTAGGGCAGGTAATAACCGCAGAGCCGAACCACGAGATTGAAGTAACTTGGAGAATAAGAATGTGGTGGAGCACACTTGCCAAGCACTTTCAAATTATGACAGGTAGTTTACCACTATCCCTCAAGAGGAAGGTATATAACAACTGTATCTTGCCGGTACTTAGCTACGAAGCAGAAATCTGGAGACTTACAAAGAGGGTTCAGCTTAAATTGAGGACGACGCAGCGAGCAATGGAAAAAAAAATGGTAGGTGTAACCTTAAGAGACAAGAAGAGAACAGAGTGGTTTAGGGAACAAACGGGGGTTAAGGATATCATAGTTGAAATCAAGAAGAGCAAATGGACATGGGCCAGGCATGTAGCGCGTAGACAGGATAAGTGCTGGTCATTAAGGGTAACTAACTGGATTCCCAGAGAAGGCAAGCGGGTTAGGGGGAGACAGAAGGTTAGGTGGGCAGATGAGATTACCAAGTGGCCCGATAGAATTGTTTATTGAGATTAAAAAGTTTCCGGGTATAAATTGACAGCAGCAAGCACAGGACTGAGTTAACTGGCAGAACATGGGATAGGCCTTTGTCCTGCAGTGGACGTAGTCAGGCTGCTGCTGATGATGATGATGATGAACACAAACACAACAAAGGAAACTGACATTTACATTAAACAACTACACTCAAGCCTCATTATAGGAAGATCACATCTGTCACAAAAATACTGCATTATAGCTGAAAATTCGTTATGAAAGTATATTTATAACACTGTATCTCAACTATTTTTCACTTTGTTATAACCAATAATTTGATATATCCATATTCGTCAGCGAGGTTTGAGTGTATTATTAGATATATATTTAACAAGAGTTTTACCTTAGAAGAAATTCGGAGAGGAACACATATCCTTGGCAAGATCGGAAGTCATCAAGAAGCAGCTGCGAAACTTCACTTGAATCCTTCAGGAAGCAGAAAATGGTGACGAACATTTCTACAACTTCTAATGGGGAAAGTTCTTGCACACGCTGCACATTTTCTACACACAGTGCCACACAACCTTTGCCTGAAAAGAGACAAACATAACGCCAGCACATTTAGAATGGAACCTCCAAGATAACAGGTTTTGGAAAACAAAACCAACAGTCATTTTATATGCAGTCGGAAAAAGACAGAGAAGAAGTGAATCCTTAATATCTATAGAGACTAGTCTAACTGCAGGAGAGATCATGAGAAACAAACAAAAAATAAGTGCCCATAAAAAAAAAAACACTAAAGCCAGATACAGTGTAGACCACTTATAATGTAACCACTTATAGTGCAGGGCCGCTCACAATGTCGCCTTTTTCGACTCCTGTTTATTCTTCCATAGAACCCCATGTAGACGCATACCGCTTATTGTGCAGTCCCCCAAAATGAAAGACCGGTTGTAATACGGTTTCCAGAAAACCGGTTACAAACGTGGTAACGGGTCCGTGTCTGAAAGGATGCGTGCTGGGTGCGCCGCTGCTGGGGAGCGAACGACGAGGTCATTACTGAGGAGGAGGGCATGCGGAGTGAACGAACGGAGGGCAGAGGGAGGAAAAAGAAAAGGAAGACCGCGGCACACTGCGCGGATTTCCAGAGTGAAGGAGGAGAAACGCCCACACGGCTACAGTGTAGTATACTCACGGACAACTTTTCTTGGCAATGAAGAGAAAGCTACGGGGGCGGAGTTACTGCACATGTACTCCTCCACCAACTAGTCCGATTCGGCTTGCGCTTCAAATGACATGGACACTTCGAATGACGGCAGTGTTTCAATGATAACACTGCATTCAATTTACTACATGTGCTTAGACAGCCATTTGTTAGTGAGATTCGTCACAAGCTGCTTCGGTGACTCGTCAAAATAGCTGGATGGTGACAAGTGCTCACCCAAAGATGAAGACACCATTTTGACAGTGAGGTGCACGTAAAACAAGCGACATTTTCGCAAGTGCAAAAATGTGAAGTTACAATGCATGAACAAAACAATTATGAATATGTCATTGGGATGTGCTGGGTCTCTTTATAAACATCTAGAAAATAAAGTGATGTTGTTTTCTATGATTTTCACGTGGAAATATGGGTGCAATTGTAGGACTACAGTCGCCAACCGATTTTTCGGACTCCAAAAATTCGGACTTGTTGAATATTTCGGACTTCAAAAGTGCACCGTCAGGGTTCCCATAGTGCTAATGCATTTTTTTCGACCGATTTTTCGGATGAAAGTTGGATTTTTTGGACTAAATCACTTGTTTTGAGCTGCACCACGAACCTGTATGGACGCCGCCATGTTGAATTTTTCATCCGCTTGACTAAGCTTAGTGGCTTCACTTTAAAATCACTTTCCTGTCCCCAAGATTGGAAAGTAAACATCATATTTCAAATGTGGCAGCTTGGGCTAGCTGGTATGACATGACGATAGTTATAGCACAAGAACAGAATGACGAAGCAGAGACAAGAAGAACCTTCGTGTCCTACGTGTTCTTGTCTCTGCATCGTCCTTCTGTTCTCGTGCTATAATTATCGTCATGTCATATTTCAAGTTTCGGAGGCCGTGTCTGCTTTAGAAAACGCAGCACAGATCATTTTTTCGTCTTCGATCAGCCATAGTGGTCAGCACTGTCGTCATCGCACCGCACAGGGAGGAGGCGGAGCTGCGCAGTGGTGAAGTGAATGTTTAAAGACTTCGCTCGTGGGCACGATGACAATTTCGTGCGTGGAGCCCACAGTTGAAGAAATTCTTCGCCCGGTTGTGCCGGAGCCAGAGAGCAGTTCGGATAATAACGACGATGAGCGCCCACAGCTGTCGGCAACGGAGATCGCCACTGCGGTGACGCGTTTGTCGAGCATTTATGGTGACGATGTCACCTTGGTCCAAATACAGGCGAACAAATTGCTTCCATGCGTAGTATGAGGCAAGGCAGAATCATGGACTTTTTTAAGCCTGCCTGATGCAATTCAGTTCATATTTCTGACAAAAACGAATTTTTCGGACTGTTCAATTTTTCGGACTTTTTTTCGGTCCCCGCCAGGTCTCAAAAATCGGTCGGCGACTGTATATTTTTCAGCAGTGGCACATGCTCAGTTCAGCTCCGTAGCTTTTCTTTCATAGCCAAAAAAAGTTGTCCGTGAGTATAGCGCCTCTAGCATGGCTCCCTCCCTTATCAACTGTGCTTAAGAGTTTCCTACGAAGAAAAGCGCCGGCATTATTGAGCTTGCTACAGATATCACGTTTGCTACCTCCCCTGTAAATTCAAACCTTCACGACTTCATGACGCAAGCTTTCACCTTTGTAGCCAGTGCGCGGTCTTCCTTGGCGAGTTTTTGTCGTAGTTGATTTTCCAGCCGCAAATGCAAACTTCGTATCATGGATGCTGTTCTTGGTTAAGTGCTTGAGTGTGATCTATTCGATGCCCTATCTTCATGTCTTGGCCGAACATCTCGTGACAACGTCCCAAATGGCAGGCTAGGCCTGATCAACATTGGTTACATTGCAGTAGCAGTCGTGTGCTATCTAAGTTGTGGTTGGTACAGAATCAACGAAACTCTTTGCAGTTGCTGCAGTTGAAGGAAAGGGATACATATCGATAATGGAAATGAGGGTGACACGTGTAGCACTCAAATGGTGGTTCGCTATTCGATTGGAATATATTGAAATCGGGTGCGCCCCTGAAGTCGAACGATTGGTGTCTCTCAGGACATAAAATTTCAGACGTGATTCGACATAGCTGCTGTGTAATGTGCATAATAGAGGCTATCTAAGAAGCAGTTGGCGAATTTTCGCAATGGTGCTTTTTTTTTTCTATAACCCACTCCACCTATATTACGTTCATTTTGTTGGCAACGCGGGTCTTTGGACGTTAATTTTTTTTTAATTCGGAAATTTGAATGGTTGTAAGCACCACGCATCACATGATTTGATTCTCCAACATGCAAAGACGCATGCTCAACAAGTTTGGGGCAAAAGCGGCTTTTGAATAAGGTTGTTTTGATTATAGTGTAGTACCGCTTATATTGCCGATATATGCAACTCTCGTGGCGGTCTATACTGTAGTAACAAATGCACTAACACTCAAACTCAATTTAATAACTCAAAATGACCCATAAGAGTCTAGTACACCATCAGTACACAACCCAAAAATTGTCTTTAGCTAGGCGACCATTTATAAAGATAGAAAAACCTGACAACTAAGCTTTATAAATTACCACAAAAATCAGGGAATAGAGGCCACCGTCAACGATAAATATGATACTAAATCCAGTAGCCATGGTTAGGTGTTTGCTTCAGCTGTGGGAGATCATGGGTTGAATACCTCACACTTCTGACTGCCCACTGGCAAAACTGTGTACAACCATTGCCCAAATCAGATCTCATGCTTTGCTAAGGGCGTTCAAATAGCTTAATTTTCTCACTGAACTATACATGAGTATTTAGAAGTTCTACAATAAAGCACAGATAGTACATTTTTCTGCTTCATGAAACAAAACAAAAATGTGGAGAGCGAGGGTTGTAAAAAAAGCACCCCTATTTCCTTAAATGTATGCAATGATGTGACAAAAGTACCACTTGGCCCTCTGGAAAAAAAAAAGTTTGGTGCTAAACTATGTCCTTATGAAACAAAAAAAGACCATGATCAAGGTCAGGAAAACAATGCTTTAGACCAGGGGTTCTCAAACTTTCTGGCCTTGGGGAACGACAACGGTTTTTCCAGGGTGCCATGGAACTCTTTTTTTTTTCCTTAAGAATGAAGACAACGAAAAGCGGGAATTGGGGGGGGGGGGGGGGGGGGGGGGAAGGGTGCAGGATGACACTTTTTGATGCATGGAACCACAGTGCTAACACTGCCTGCACTGTCTGTTTTATTTATTAATATAAAAGGAGGTCATCACTGTACATATAGAACTATAAATATTATGTGGACCTGCAATTCGTTTGCACGCCCCCCCCCCCCCCCCCCTGGCCGATCCTACATCGCACGCTTCAGGCACTGCACTCTGTAAGTAATGTGTTCACGCAACTAAAGTGCTGTAGGTACAGAGCCTGTCTTATGTAAAAAAAGGAGGGAGGGGGCACACCTGTTTAACTGTGAAATGACTGTCAACCGATACACCAGTCATGAGGCTAAGCCAAAATTTTTATGTAGCCCACAGCATATGAAAGTGCAGCGGTCCATTTAGATTACAAAGCTAATATAGTGCAATGGCAAATCAGCATGCATGAAAAAATGTGCCTCATGAATGTCGGCACACCATTAGTTACAAATAAAGTGCCGAGATGCCCGTTAATGTTGTTTGAACTGGTTTGAACATCCAATAACATCTTCTGTACCTCCACTAGCAGAAATACTGAATCGATCACCACACCCATGTCCAAACTGATTCTCATTCACTGTTCCTGGAGTTCTGGCCAGGAAGCCTAACTATCTAGATACTCTAGATCATTGCAAGATTGTATTACCATTCAGGTTGCTGCTTGACCAGTCTGAATTACACTTGTCTAGAGAAGTCGAACATGTGGTTGCTGACACTAGCACTGTCCACAGCTGCAAGCTAGCATCGATTACAAAGCTCCTGTTCATGCTTTATTATAGCACAAAGACCCAACATGCAATGCGACTATGTTTGGTTTGGTTACGTCGTTGATCTCTTTATACTTTTGCAAAAAACGGTGGCTCAATCGACTGCCTAGCCACTCTAGACAAGTATGATTCAGAATCAACACCCTACTGAGTGAGTAAGGTGGTTCTTCAGCTCTCTGAATGCCATGATGGCCACTGCCAAAATATTTAGATCAACCAGCATCTAACTGCCACTTTTTTCATCCCATTATGATGAGTCAATACAGTCAGATTATGATGAAACATTAGTGAGAGGGCAAACATAGCACATACAATTTCTGCGAGAGACAGATGTCGAAACATCTTTCATTTATTTGAGGGAAGGAGGGAGAGCCCCTACAGGCCCGAACCAAGAATAGTTTAGGGCTATAAACTCCCGAATGCCAATTTAAGGAGACAAAATATGCACTTTGGTGCAGTTTGCACTAGATGCACTTCAATGGATGCAGTGAGGTACCTAGCCATATGATTTTAGCAAAATGATGCAAATGGTGCAGTAGAACCACTGAAAATTGTGGCATGGTTCATTGACTCATCAGGCTTTGTTTCAACAAAAAGTTGAGTTTTCTGTTTGTCCATGTTGAGTTTGGTGTTTGTTCATGCTGGGCCATTTGTGTTTCAACACAAATCGCCCAACATGGACAACTGTGACCATCTAGCATCAAGAAACGCAACCAAGACAAGTATAGTCATCAGTGGTTTCATGTGGGACCAATTTTTGTTGATGTTGAATGCAGTTGTCATCGGCCATTTTGGTACAATATCTCATGACTACACTCATCAATGGAGGGGTAATGAAGTGATATTTATAAGAATGCCATTGGTTTTGTTGAGGTGATGGTTTACCATATCTCCTTTTAGCCACAATTATGTAAAGTAATAAAATTGCTTATATCCTGAATAGCTAAACTGAGAAATTGCACCTGATATTACTTGAAAAAGCAAATATTTTCACACTGTAGAGCGCATATCACGGTACTTCGTGAGAAGTAACTTTCAAAAATAACAAAATTTCAATAGTTGTTTCCACACGTGCCACCTATTGGCGATTCAATCGGTGCAAATCTGTACAATTCGTTCCCCAGAGCTTAAACCAGACATGTTTGACTGCAAGTAGTGTGAGCCAATATTACCATAGGGGACATAACCCCCGAAAAACTTTGATCTTTTCAAGCAACTGCATTCACGCTAATAATTTTCAGCAAACCTTGTCTAGCATACCAAGCATTCGCATGGGGGTCACTCACTGTGAATGTAATTGACAACAGGAGCGGTGAGACCATGTCGAGACAGTGTCATGAGCACTTCAGAGGCACTCTTGCGCCACACATTGTTGTACAGTGGACACCAGGTGGTAATGGCGCTGAAAAGCAGCGTCAGGTCATCCTTCCGTGCCAACTCTTCTGCAGGAGCAGGGTGGCTGCACAGGCGCACTAAGACCTGCACAAGACATGGCAACATATTCTATGACAGCAGGCAGGAGAACAAGATGCAAGTAATGAAGTCAACGGTTTGACTTGTGAACTGCGGACATAACTTTTCTTCAAGTTGCATTGCTATGGGAGTAATGAGCGTTACTTGAACACTGTGCCTGAAAACTTTTAAAAAATGCTTTAAATGAAACTCACTGAGTAACTGTATATTTGTGTGCTGATTTCAAATATGCATTTTTTTTCCTACTATAGTATGTAGTTTTCAAAATCCAGAAGCCATTTTGGGAGTCATAGTCAAACTGGGAGGGTTACAAAGTAATTAAGCATGTCAGAATGACCAGGAATGAGTACAGAGTGCAAGAAAACAAGAACAAATGCTCTAAGCCCATCTGAACAAAAGTTGTGGTGTGCTAATTATTTTTGAGTAAAATCCTAGCTTGACATATTCAATGGTTAATGATCAACATATCATGACCTCAAATCAAACGGGCTTAGAATACAAATTCTTGTTTTCTTGCACTCTGTACTCCTTCCAGGTCGTTATTATGTGCTTAATTACTTTGTAACTCTCACTTTAGGTACACTATGGCTCCTAAGAAGTGCATAAAATGTATGATATTTTAAAAACTACACATTATACAGTACACTCGCGATAATTCAAACTCTGATAATTCATACTTTTGGTTAATTCAAACAAAAATCAATTATTTTGGTTGGCCCTCTATTCTTTCAATGTATTTAAAAGCCTCTTAATTCATACTCTATCATTCAGTTAATTCATGCTTTTTGCAGGTCCTTAGCAGGTAACATCAGCTGCTTTCACACTTCTGTTTAAAAATTTGTGTGGTTATATAATCCTAACAGCCTAAAAATGAAAAATAAACACCTGAAGCCTTCAAGGAAAAAGGCTTTGCAAGTAAACAAATGTTTGAACGAAGCACACGCATGGTAAACCGTGATGCGCCTCAACTGGAATAAAGAGCTTTGTGCTGAAGGTGCATACTTATAGCAATGAAGCAGTTGGAAATTCACAATTTATATAAAAGGTCACACCAGCAGTAAATGGCCAATAAACTTGTGGACTTTACACTTCTTTCTGTTCACTGCATGCAGTTAGGGCTTAAAAACAGTTGAAAATTTTTTAAATGCAATAAAATAAATGCCTAATCGTAATGTGCCGTGCCACCTCACCCAGAGTCGCTTATCTGAAAACTTCTGATAATTCAAACTTCTTGATAATTCTAACAAAGTTCAGAGATCCCTTCGAATTTTAATTAATGAGATTCGGCTGTACTACAAAAATATTTGCACATTTGAAAGCTGCACACAAATGCACATGAACTCAGCAAGTTTTGTCTCAATTGATAAAAAAAATTTTCAGGGCCCATGTTCCCCCTTAAGTTGCCCAACTGAATGCTTCAGTGAGCCACCATTCACAAACATCACTGCTCCATTAAGATAGATTGTTTCTTACTGTGAGCACTAAGAAAACATCAAAGCAGCTGAATAATAAAAAAATAGGCATTACCAAATTTTTCAACTGTACCAAGGTGAAAACGGAACAAACATAACACACCTGGCAATATCAGGGGTGTAGCAAGGGGGTGGCACACTGGGCACGTGCCCCCCCTCCCCCCTCCGAAATATTTTTTAACCATAGCAAAAAATGGCCATTGTAAGGGAGTGCCCCTACCGAAATCAATGTAGTGCCCCCCCCCCCCCCCCCCCCCCCCCCCCCTGAAAAAAGTTTCTGGCTACGTGCCTGGGCAATATGAACACATAAGCTTTTTGCTTTTGTGCAAATAAAGCAAGGCTCATGCAAGGCCCTGTTACAGAGTGAACTATTATTGAGAAGAATTAAAAGGCTAGGTACTTGCAAGCCACAACATTTAAGCTGAAACCTACGCAAGTAGAACAAACAACAAACTACTAATCTCAGGTCTGTAGAGTCAGCAATTTACTTCAGACTGAAACTTCATTACATTAAAATCCAGCCTTTTATGCATATTATAGACTTGCCCCTTACATGTAGATTTTTACGTGTAAGGGGCTACAAATTATGTCTGAAAAGCAGGGCAGTAAGAAAAAACTTTAAATTCACTAATATAAAAACTCATTCTTGTAAACGTTAAACCCCAGAGCCAGCAGTACTTTATTCAGGATTTGATATTCCACTGACAGTTTTCTTGATAGTGACCTCTCCACAGAGGCATACTGGGCAATGTGTCACATTCATAGCTTCATGAATATGGCCCATGAAAAACTCAAACAAGCACAGGCTCAGCACAATGTGGTGATCTGTGAAAGCAAAGCTATTTTGCCTACTCTGCGAGTGCAGTTTGCCTTCGAAATTAGGTACAAGTTTTAGCAAATATGAAAAACATCAAACATTTTGTTTGCCCAATTGCTTGCCCTACACCATGGAGCAAGAAATATCTCAAAGGTGAAACTTCTGTCGGAACGGGTGCCCATGGGCATCCAGATTGCGTCACAAAAATAGCATGCACCAACAGAGGCACAGCACTTGGAAACGACTTGTGACGTGAAGCTGCAATCACAGTGCAGAAAAAAAAGCTACCAGTTGCTGTAGGCAAACATACCAGTGTGTGCTTTTTGGCAGCATTCATGAGTCAACAAAAGTGGCGTTTTCATCAGAGGGCACATAACTTGTTATTTATTTATTTAACTTTTTTGCATCAGTTTATGCAAGCGTGAGCAAAGATTCCACGGTGATGGAGCGAGAAACTCACACAGCTTAATTGCGCTCCTTGTCCACGCTCTGTGTGAGTGGGCAGAATGGGATGTAGTATGATGAAGCAATGAATGTAGCATGTAGCTCCAGGAGCTCTAAAGGCCGATGCAATATTATCGGGCCACTAGAAATCGCAAAGCTGCCACTCCTAAATGCTTCTTTCTCTATGCCCTACACTAAATCCAACCAACACGCAACACTGAAACCCATCACGTACCCAGCAAACAAAAAAAGCTTGTTTAAGATTGCATCAAAGCATTATGGGGTCCTAGTTTATGCAGTTCCCATTTCCTGCTTTGTGACACTGTGCACCCGTATGCATTACATATTGCCAGGAGAGAATGTGTTTATTTACAGATGACATGAAATGACATAAAAGCAGGAGCAGCATACTTTACCGGACAAGACCAGCCTGATTGACTCAACCACACAGTCCAAGCGCCAGCTTCACTACTCTTCCTCTTCTTCTGAATTCTGCACACTCGCACATTTCCATTTCATTTTCCCCAAGGAAATAGAAGCTCGCCGAGCAAGTCAAATATGCCTACAATCGTACTGTTTGAAGCATACTATATAAACAGCATGCATAATGCGCGATCGCTGGTTACTGGCCATCACTCGGGCGACAATGTAGTTGGTCACTTAGACCAGTGACTATCACGAATTGGCCAGAATGGCCAGAACTTCAGGTACAATCCTTTTATATGAATAGGAGTCGACAACCAAACGTAGGCACAAGAAGAAAAACTTCCAGGAATATTCTTGGCATCGCAGCAACTCTTGCTTTGTTCTTGCGAAGACAATGTTTGAAGGCGTGCTAGTTAACGTGATTCTTCAGAGTGACACAATGTCTGAGCGATGAAAAGATCTTCCCAATGCAAAAAATGCAGTAGTGTCCAGAAAGCTCCAAAGCTTCCATGCATAAAGCAAAAACAAAGGCACATGTCTAGTAACTGCATGCTTGGTGGTATTATACACGTAAGTAACGAACAGTAAGATGTCGTCCCAGTTCCTGTGGCCAGCATCAACGTACATCGATAGCATGCTCATAAGCGTGCTCTACTTTCTCTCTGAGACTGTTATATAGCGGATGATAAGGAGTGAGTGTCGATAAGAAAAACCAGAAAGGCACAAAAATGTCTTCAACAAAATCAGCAATAAATTTTTGTCCACAGTAACTAATGATAACCCATAGAGTGCCATGACACAATATGACCCGCTGAAACAAAAAAGAAAATAACGTGGCAGTTGACGCCAATGTAAGCGCATCTTTTTCCATATATCAAGTTAAAAAAATTAGCAAACCTTATAGCTTCGCTTGAACGCAATTGCGATGACCTGTTCCTGGTGCGTACTTCAAACACTTAGTGCATGAAACCTTTCCGAACTTGCTATACACCCACTACTTCGCTTTAAAAAAGGAATAGGCACAGTCGCATGTGTGCCTTGTGCAGCGCGTGACCGGCTTTAAACCATGAAGTCATTTTGATAATCACATGTCCTGACACCCGCTAGCAATGGGCGCTTGTACCCCACATTATTGCTGCAATATTTCATGTTCTGTTGTGAAGGATGTATACAGGACGCATGTGTTTGTAAAGCATGAAAGTTACTTTCACTGTATTTTCAAGCAGAGCAAGTTATTTTCATTGTGTTCACAAGCAGACACGTGGCTGTGTGGTATCTGCTGGCCATGCAAATGACTCGAGTTTGATCCCCACTCTGGCGCAGAATTTTTAAAAATTTTTTTATTTGCATCGTTCTCGATTTTTCGGTCATGCATAAGATCATAATTTTTTGCTCACAACCAATGATGCCAACGACGACACCCGAATTTTTGTGAAACAAGCTCTTTAACGTTACCGTGTTAATAATCCAGGCATACTATAAACATGTTTGTGGCAAGACAGAGTCTTAAAGGGGTCAGAGCAAGTTAATTACTTTTTCAAAAGGAGATGTCAGTGGCCAAATGGGCTCCAATAATGTGCGGGAGCAGTCGTGGTTTGCCTGTGGCACTGACAAATAGCGCAGCTGGTGACGTACTTTTTTTTTGTGGTATTTCAGAGTTTTGGCCAGTAAAACCTCTGACGAAGTTGGGGTAGCATATATGTAAAAACAAGATGCCCGGATGTTATACCATCAATGAGCTGTGTGAAAAGCCAAATTTAGGGTGCAAAGCGAGTTTGAATATTGAAGTGTGACTGCAAATCAAACACTTATCGAATATTCCTAGTAGTTTGAAGTGAAATTGTGAAGAAAAAAAAATGGAAAGCATTCCTAAACATATTCTCATGACATACCACAAAACAAAAGTGTTTTCACTAGGTTGATAAAGCGCTGGAAGAATGGTACTTCATAGTTGTCTTATCAAGAATGAAGCAATGCAGAAGCCTAATTGTATTAGTGCATGATTTGGTGCAACCAAAGTGTTGCCGACAACACTTCGCACGTGAAAGGCCGAGATGCTATTTTCTCAGCCTCTCCTCCTCTTTCAACTTCTGTGGAAGCCCAAGTGATGTGGCATACAAGGTTGTGCTCCCTTCGAGTTAGAAGTCCAAATCTGCCTCATAGACGTAAACTTACAAGAACATGTGAAATTTTCGATGCTCAAAATCTTTGCCATCTGATTTTTGAGACTTACTACTTAAATTTTAGGGTCCAAAACAGCATTAAAATAAAGCCCCTGCTGCTGCCATATCTATCGCTTTCGTGTTGGAATCAGCGTTTTCTTGAGTCAATACATTTGCGAATGTAGTGGAGCTTAAAAGACAGCTTTGCCACAATACGATGATATAATGAAATGAAGCATACTAAAACTCCAAAGAGGTCACTAGGTTTGATGTTCACAATGTTTTGCTTCGACTGTAGTGGAGCCTGAAAGGCAGCTTTGCTGAAATATGAGAACCTAATAAGGTGAGGCATATTACAAGTGTGAAGGGGTCACTTTTATTCAAGCGTTCACTGCATTGTTCTTTGGGAAGTTCAAATAGCGAAAATTCCAGTGCAAATCGAATTGAATAGCAAACATTACTCGAAAAATATTCGAACTTTGGAATGTTTGCCCACGCCTAGTCGTCGTACATATAACAAAGGATGACTGGGCACAAGCTTTCTGGCACCACTAGAAACAACAGGAGGCCATCAGCTAAGTAGTTCCTCTTGTACAGCTACCCATTAGAAATTGTAAAATGCTTTCTGGGGGAGCTATGCACAGCTTCCAGTAAGGGTATCAAAGTGTGGGTCGCATTATATCTCGCTCTTGAAGTACAGTGAAATTCCTTTATAAAGGCACGCTCTGGAGAGCAATTCTTGTCTTTTATACGTGATGTCACTTATAAACAGGGTACCTCGTATCATTTTCTTATCCGTTGTTTTACTGTAAGCACACTCGTGTCTCTTACAGCCATTGGTCTCTTATATTAGTGTCTCTTATAAAGGGGTTTGACTCTATCTGTAAAGTCGGAAAAAACAGAAACTAAATAGTCATCAAAGTCATCTTCATCAGCATTGGTGTGCAGTGAAGGAAGGCGTGACAGGCAGTCAGCATCTGTGCGACATCATCATCTCTTATAAGTAAGAGAAAAGCTGTACGCTTGAAACACAGCGCCCGAAAGGCACCCAGATGCCAGACGGGTCACAGAGTCCGACAAGCTAGCATAGTGAGTGATGGTCTGTCATTGTTCAGCGCTCAAGCTCGGTGACAGTGTAGTGCTTCCCTGCCCTAGTCTGTGTCCAACTGGCATATGTTTCGACGTGCTGGCCAGCATAGCATCAACACCAAGACCACTAGCATCAGTAGGCATTTCAGTGAAAGCTTCCCCATCAAAATGCTTCAGGATGGATCCTGAAGTCAGCTAAAACTTCAGTTGTTAAAATGCAGCTCTTCACATTTGGAAATGAGCATTTTCCTTTACTGCACCCCAAATTTTGGTCATCGCAATGCACTGACTAAAAAAAGAGATTTTGTAAGTTGGTCTTCATCAAAAAATGTTCGCATAACTGCAAGCAGCCAAACAAATTCAGTTGGCGACATTAAACTTGTTGCAGCAGTGCACGCACTAAAATTTATTTGTAGTACAGTCAAACATGATTATACCGAACCTACAAGTATCGGACTTTCACGTGTATCGAACTCGTAAGTTATCCCCTTGACATTCCAATGTAAAAATTTAGAAAGTTGCAGGTTTATATCAAATGGTATTTTCACCCACCTTCCGATACATCAAATGCCGCGCGAGCTGAAAGGTGTGCTTTGGCGCTCGCACCCCCCCACCCCCCCCCCCCCCCCCCCCATGATCTCCGCGGTAGCGCGGCTCCACGCGCGAGTTGGAAGGCACGCTTTCGCACTTGCAGCGCCCGGCGACCTCCACACGGCACCAACCAGAAACTCAACCACCTCCGGCGAAACCCGAAGCGCTCGAAAAAACGTAAGGGCGAGGGGGCTCGGACTGTGCAATCTCTAACTAGCGGTATGGCTTTTTTCTTTCTCTTTTTCTCTCTCATGCTTTCTCCACGTACCCGTCGGCTCGGACAGCAGGCACGAAGGAGCCGCCGTCCTTCTCCTTTCACCTTTTCTTTTATTTTTTGTTGCTTTTTTGCGAGCTTTGATCAGCCAACCACAGCTCGTGCCTTTTGCTGTAGCCCTCGCAGGTGGCCATCGCCTGCCAAGCGCTTTCTTGCTTCCGCTGTTGAGTTGCCTACGTACCACCGCATGTGCAGCATTTCTCTTTTGCGTGCTTGGTGTGCAAAGCCACTGCAGACTCCTTAAATTACCGACTTCTCATGTAGCTATGGCCAGCGTCAAGAAGCGCAAGACCCTTGACTTTGCGACGAAGTTGAAAGCTATTCAGCGTGTCGAGGCGGGGGAGAAATATTCAACTGTCGCGGACAATTTCGAGATACCACGGAGTACTCAGAGTACTTTGTTGAAAAACAAGGCAGATATTAATGCATAGAAGGCGGAGCAGCGAACGTCGGGAGCCTGTCATCTGCGTGCTTCTGCCCACAAGAATGTAGAAAAGGCACTCTATGTCTGGTTTTTAGAAGTGCCCGCGAAGAACATTCTGGTGGATGGTCTGATGCTGATTGCCAAGGCCAAATTGTTTGCCGCTGCACTCGCTGAAACAACTTCGCCGACAACAACGGGTGTCTTCACCAATTTAAGCAATGCTACAGCATCGTTGGCAAAACCAATTCTGGTGAAAGCGAAGCTGTCAGTAGCTAGGACATCCAGCAGTAGATGACGAAGGAGTGGCCGAAAATCTCCGCGAAGTTTTCTCTTGTGGAGATCTTCAATGTCTGGCGAGATGTGAAGACGGACACAGTGGTCAACTGCTTCTGCAAGGCAGGCTTCGAGACGGCGGAACTTGCGGATGAATATGACGACGACGAGCGCATACTCCGCCGCTGAAGTGGCGGCAGCCTTCACCATCATTCACTATTGTATCAGCCACATGTAGGGAACCGGGCTGTCGCACCTAGGCAGCCTTGATAAGAGCAAGACTAGCGTCTTCAACATTTCAAAAACGAAGAAGCAGGCCAAGATTAGTGATTTTTTTCACGCAAATAAGTCATTTTCTGTTGCAGCGTGTGTGCGGAATTATCATTCTTGAATGCGGCTATTGTAGGTGATGATCCGCTACAGGTAAGCTCTCAGGGCATCTATTTTTTATATCGAGTTTTTCATACATTGAACTAATTCATGATTCCCTTTGAGTTTGATATATCCGTATTCGACTGTACTGAAAAGCATAAGCTAGATTTAAGTGCTTTAATTGGGAATTTATTCCTTTCTAAACCAAGCCTTTTCGACTTGGGCATCATAGAGAAAAAGCTCAGTGATGTCTCAAAACAAGCAGTTACATCCTTTTTCAGATCGATCGAGATCACTTGCAAGATACTAGCCTTGTCATCAACATATGTACTCTGAATGATCCCGCTTGTTATATAAGAGAGAGGTCTTTGCACTTAGTGCTACTGGCTCTGTGGAAACTCCATGCCCGTCAGTTACCTCCCTACAACAAAAGCACCAATATCAGGCTTTGACACAACAAAGCATGCGAGGTGCTTAATATGAAACAATAATTACTATGTAACAAAAATGTATTATGTAGAGTCAATATTAACGAGAACTAAGAGAGAATAATGCCAAGGAAAGTATGGGGGATATTATTTGCAGTAGTTATAATATAAATGTGGAGAAAGTAAAGAGGACGAAAAGATACCAAACTGCCTTCAGGGATCGAAACGGCAACATGAGTGTCGTATTAATGCAGAAGATTTGCCCCAAACTCTATTACTCTTCTGACCAGAAGGAACATAAAAGAGCACTGAGGTGAACCCTTGCTCTCATCCACAGCCGAAAAAGGTGCTGCGTGCTCTGTGACCATTTGCTGTCACCCAGCACACAATTTGAAAAATGCATTTGCAATAAAACTACGTTTAGCACAACCATTTGACCACTGAAACCAGCAATACCTTGTTTAATGTACTGCCTCGGTTCACAGAGTTTTCTGCAAATAGGTACACTAGAGAAAACTCTAGCACTATCGCCTATGAGAACTGCAATGCACGCAACTTCAGACAGCATAGGAATGACAGGGAGTACACAAGTTTGCCTAGTCTTCGTACTTTTGGCTCCGTTTGGCCTGAATCCGATTTGCTGCAATAGGAAGTCCAGCAAAGCTTTCACAGTTACGCTTCGCCACCTTGAGCTTTCTAGGCTTATCATTTCTAATCTGCTCATAAGGTTCACAATGGTTCGTTATTTTATTTTAAACAAAACCAGAATACAGCAAGAAACAAAGCCACAAGTGCATTTGAAACCCGCAAGCACAAAGACTAGGCAAATTTGTGTACTACCAATCATTTCCATGGTGGCTGAGCGATCGCAGCGCCCGAGTCTCATCTAGTCTATTCTAGGAAACTCTATGCCTCGGTTCTCCTTTGTGGCAGCACTGAAACTTGGTTATATTGAAATTATGAATAAACATTCGTCGTTTATATTCAAGTTTTTTTTATAATACATATGGTGTTTGACTTGAGATTATGAAAAGTCAAATAATATTTCATTATATTACTAGTCACGAATTCCATCTAAACCTGTCGATGAACTAAGCTTTTGAAATAAAATACTGTTCAGTGGCAATGGCATGGCGTTTCTGTGCTGCACTCACCTGAACGAACACCTTTTGGAGCAGAATCCGGCGCTCACGAGGTGTGAACTCGCAGTGGGGCTCCAGCCGGTCAGGGTCACGCAGTTGTGGCAGGTCGAAGAACAGATAGAGGCACTTGACCAACGTAGACGGCAATGCGCTCGAGGTCATCACCTCCACCAGTGGGGCCCCACCACTGGCCAGCAGGTTCATAGTGGCCAGCAGCATCCAACCACGGCTCTGCTCCTCTGTGCTCTCGATTTCCAGGAATTGTGCAATGGCACTGCTCGCACTCTCTGGGTCATGCAAAGAGATGGGAGGGAAGGGACACAAATATGTGCGTGTGAATTACATGCAAATACATGCAAGCACGACTCATAATATTGTCACAGGACACATAAATTTTACCACGGCACATAAAGACCTTGTCAAATGGAATATATTTAGGCAAGGTATGAAGAGTATGAAACAAGAAGGCCACACAATACCTGTACTTTGATTTGAAGCCCGTCTCCGTATCTCAGAAACCATGAGTTTGGAAACTAGCTTGGAGAATGCTAGCACATCGCTGAATTTGTCAATAATATCCGCAGCAGGGCTGTTCTCAAATACCTAAAACACAGAATACAGAGCTTTTGTAAACAAGACAGCACAGCAATATCACATAAATAATCATTAACTCCACTTACGAAAAAAAACGATTCCTTTAATGATGAAATGCTCATAGGAGTAAACAGAAAAAATATGGCAAAGCCAGCAGTCATCAGCAGTGACTGATGAGCCAAATGTGAACTCCAAACCAAGCACCAGTCAGACATCTACCCATTGAGCATTTACTGCTGACGCAACTAAAAAAAACACTGAAGAGAAATAATAAACCAGCTTAGGTTGATGAAGTTCCATTTCAAAACTGTGTCATTATTTCATGGCAAAAAATTGAAAGCTAGTAGCAAAATGAAAACCAAACTTACATTTACTGACTTTCACAACCAAGCCCCATCACTTGTATGTCACTGCAAGATAGTGTACTTGTGTTTTCTTCTTATTATTTTTTTTAACAGAGCTGTAATGGCATGACAGATGTTATCAACCCTACAGGTTCAGTCAATAAATTCCTTAAAATAGAATGGTGCTGCCCTCTACCAAATAAAAAAAAGCTACATGCAGGCACATTAAAAATTCACAAGACACGCTATGGAAGCTTTAAGACAATACCATCATCTGCCTAGTTTTTTTTTTCTTTTCTAGCTTATCTATAAAGACTTTTCATACTGTTAAAGTGGATTTCTTTCTTGTTGTTCTTATTGTACCTCACAAAGGTAATTTATTATTAAAAGCTCAACTTATGCTTCTCTTTAGCCATCTTTAACCTTCAACACTTTTGGACACCAGTAGTGGGCCTCCTAGGTTGCCAAGTCATACTGGCACAAACATATGAGCATAGCATTGTCATTGTGCCTATACGCATGGAGTCTATAGCATTGTTCATAACATTTCCTGGCTTTCTGCAACTTGACAGATTCTTTACCGTTTTGTGCAAATACTCCTACGTGCATTCAAACACACTGAAGCTGGAGCGTTTCCTTAGATGTCATGACTAAATATTGTCTTCAGTAAGAGCATCAATACAAGATATCTTGTCTCAAAAAAAAGGAATCTTGACAGGGTGCTTGTGTTGTGTGGTGGCAACATAGGCGTGTGCACGAGGCAAGGGAGGGGGCACTGTCCTAGTCACCCAAGAGGGGGGAGTGTAATGTCTGCCCCATACATTGATTTAATAAGGAATGGGGGCACTGCATCACACTTTGGACCCTCGCCCAAGAAGGAGAACCCTGTGCACGCTTATGGGTGGCAATCATTGACACCAATAAGCCAATGTTCTGGCACGTCAGTTCAGGCAGTGTGACAGAGGTCACGCCACACTACCTCAAAGTCAAGCCAGCACAAAAACTCTGAGCAACGATGGGCAGAGTATAGCAGGCATCATGAGAACTGCACAGTTTCAAGTGCGCTTCTAATAACAAAAAGAGAGTGAAGCTTTAAAAGGTTATAGCAGCATTTGTATGTCACTTCCTATGTGATTTATTGAAAATTTTTGTTGAGAAATATGCATGCACAAATGAACTTTTGATACCAACCACATTGGCCTCAACTAGCAGATAACAGTTATGAAATTGGGAATAGCCTGCATGTACCAAAAGTAAAACATAAGTAATCAAGAAAGGACAAAAATATTAAAGATTGTCACAGCCTCAAATTTCCTGTGCTAGCCATCAGTGACATCATAGACACTAGCAGAATATGCTAGGTGCTACTTACTTAATTAAAAAAAAAGGAAGCACTACATTGTACTCAGAGCAGACGCGTAGTCAGAAATGTTTTTCAGGGAGGGGGCACCAGCTTGATTTCGGGAAGGACACCCCCCTAAAATGGCTATTTTTCACTCTCTATGCCATGGCAAAAAAAAATTTCGGGGGAGGCATATGCCCAGTGTGCCACCCTCTGGCTGCGCCGCTGACTCAGAGTAAAACTCAAGCTGGCACTTTAATTGTCATACAAAAAAAGGCAACATTTTTAAGACAGTGGAAACCAAGGCACAGGCATGATGTCATGGTTCTATAACTTTGGTATAAAAAAAAGCAAAATGGCAAGTTTTGCCTTCATTTTCTTGCTCCAATAACCGGTTTTGTTTTCTTTCTGACAAAGAAAGATTGGTATTTTATATGAATTATCTGCCCCTTTGAACTCCCTCACTATGTCTCTTCAGTGTCCCAAATACTGAATCACCCTTATCCTGCCGAAATATTGATTCATGGCAGCTGCTCTAACAACTATTATGGCAGTTCCCAGAAACACCTTTCCATCTAGCATTTAGGTAGCATAAAGAAAAAATGCAAGTGCACCTCACAGGAGCCCCAGCATGGTCACATGACGATTCAGGATGATGCAACAGCATTGATCTACCTCAATCAATACATCAATAGAGGTGTGAGTAGAGCCCACTGTGATGCCACTGATGTCAATTTTAATTTTACAACTGCCCCCTTGTATTAGGTGATTTGCCAATATTTGTATTTACATCAACTGTTACAAATGAGTCAATTTTTGCTTTACCTTTTTCTACGATTGCATAAAATTAATAATGCATCCACTACCCCTTTATCCATGCATGTAGTTTCCTTCCTCTTAATTTATACTTGTACGGCAATGCTGCTTCGACCAAATTCTATTGTTACTTCTGCTGTTGCTGTTTTTTGTGCTTTCCTCTTTGCTCCCACTCCTGTAAAAACCCTGCAAAGAGTTAACAGCATGCAGAAAATTAAAAAAAAATTGTGGCAATGAACTATCATGCTGTCAACCTTGTTGAGCTTATTACCTTTCGCTGCTTTGTTACACTCAAACCACATTATAACAAAGTTACATCTTACACAAAAATAAGTTTATACCCAAAAATTCGTTGTAACAGTATATTCCAAACACTATATCTATTTCAAGACTACTTCTTATATACTTCATAATCACTGATATTTCGCTATATCGAGGTTTCAGTGTATAATCTTCCTCAGCAGTACCTTATCAACTTGCTTTGAATTGAGCTTATTTGCTTCGATTAATTAAATATATATTCACTACATATATACAAATGTAATGCTTGCCTTTTCTTTGAACACGGCCATGCCCCCTTGAAAGGAACCTTCAACAACTTTAAACGTTTTGAGTGAACAAACACAGCATACAGGTGTGTAACGCTCTAATATCTGCCATACAATCTCAGCTATTGGATATTATGAATGCTACACTTCTATATTCAAAATTTTGTGGTTACTTCAAGCATTGTTAGCACCACCAGTCTTTCAGGTTTTCTATCTATCGCGTCGGCAGATATGTAATGACGTATATAGACTTCGCGTGAAGGGGCAAAAGGTGACCGAACAGCTCGAAGAAATTGTATGCTCGACGGTGCGGTAAATGACAATGGATAGGTGCAAGGCCGTTGTGTACACACTTAAAAGTCTGTTGCTAAAAAGTGAGAAGAATTCACAAGTATTAAAATTGTGACAATTATAGAGATGTATAGTGCATGTTAAGATATATGGTGCAATGGGATGATACATTTAAATGTGGTAGAAAAAGTAGCCCTTCTGCCTCACCTAGCCCTCGAAGGCAAGGGCCTGGAGACGTGTTAAAAAAAATAATGCTACCATCACAATGCGAGAGGCCATGTCATGTGTTTTTTGAGTAAACAATGTGTACTACACAAGCGTCTTCGACAAAGCCAAAAATAAATTTGCTGTTAATTAGTAGCTCTGCACAAAATAAATAATGTCACATGTAGTGAAACATACCCCATGCACGCTACAGGAAAATGCATTTTTTCTCTCTGCTTTTGTTTCATGACATTCAAGCAAAGCATGGGAAGACAACCAGAGCAGCTACCCACACTTACAGCATGTACAAGGTTCACAACCAGTCAGTGAACAATTGTGAGCACCGTCAGTGCGTTTTATCCTGAGGAGACGAAGTAGGTTGTCCTTCATAACCACTTCATCAGAGGTGGCCGATTCCCCAAGCGTGACATAATTACGTGGAGCTTATTACAACTTTCAACATCCTACAAATGATGTCAGTGTATTCTTGAGCCTTTTGCATGAGGAAGTCTTCATGGCTGAAGCTTGAACAGAAAGAGGAGTTGCAAGCTTTAATCTAAAAATGTGGCAATTTGGTCTGTTAGCGTATTGCCTTAGGTGCTTCTGCACACAAGCAGACAGATTCCTATGACATGTTGGCTGGATACTTGAATGACACGCGTAAAAGCAAATAAAGGTTACCAATGACAGCACAAAGTAACATTAATGCTTTTGCAACACTTTATGAGTTAGTGAATGTAACTGCCTCTAGCAATATCTATTCTTGGATATTTTTAACAGCAGGGAGTAGTGCATAGCACTCCGCTGTAAAGATGCTTGCTTCAGGGTGTAAAATACTGCACTCTGAGAAAGATGGGTCACCTGCTGCATAAGGTACACATGGAATAATATTTCAAGCTTTGCATTAAATTCTGAGCACATGTTTAAAAAGTGCATTTAAATATGAAAATATTGGGAGTATCCTTTGAACTTTCCCCAAATTGTGTTGTATTACATAGGCTGCCAATGTTTCTAAAGAGACACTAAAGTCAATTAACAATTTACAACAGAGTGAAAGCTCAATGTATGACATCTAAAACGACAATATTATCAACAGCAGTGCCATGCTTACCGAGAAATTAAGGTAAATACACAAGAATACATGCGCTGCAGTAGGACATTCTAGAAATGATCCCGATGATGTCAGACGAATAGGCTACAATTAATCACTAGTAATCAATCTAGCTGCACTAAATAATGATTTATTAATATGTGGGGTTTAACGTCAGAAAACCACCATATGATTATGAAAGAGGCCGTAGTAGAGGGCTCCGGAAATTTTGACCACCCGGGGTTCTTTAACATGCACCCAAATCTAAGCACAAGGGTCTACAGCATTTTAGCCTCCATTGAAAATGTAGCCGGAATTCGATCCTGCAACCTGCTGGTGAGCAGCTGAGTACCTTAGCTACTAGACCACCGCAGCGAGTTAGCTGCACTAAATAAAGAACCTTCCATGCATCAAGAGACGTAATAAAGTGCTGCTTGTTCATTTCTGTTTGATTAATGGAAAAAAGAACTGCTGGACGTTACTATGGGGAACGGCTGAATGGTTCAAAAATTCAATTTTCACACGGTCAAACTGGACAGCTCGTGCCATCCAGCAGGGCCCAGTTGAACCAAGCACGCCTGCAATTTTGAAGGCCATAGCTAAAAATTGCTCAATGGCTGTTGTTGCTGCTGTGGCTTTCGCTACTTTCCCTTTGCTGCTTGCTGTAACTACAGTGTCGGCGGCCGCGCATTAAAGCCAGCCAATGTTGTGCCCGGCAACAGTGACGTCAGACGTTCTGTTGAGGGGGGTAATTGTAACTGCGCTAACCCGATGCGGACCACTAGAATGCGATTTTATTTCAAGATAAGCCCTTCCTCAGCATAAAATTAACACTATGAGGTTTCTGGACCACTATTTCCACAATCAACGTCTACTTATTAGTTGCCTTTAGTGTCCCTTTAATGTGGTACCAGCTGTGTTGGAGCCATTAGGTGACTAATGATGTAAGACACATTTATTTGTAACAATCAAGTGGAAAGGGGTAGCCGTCGCCCCGTAACGGTAACAACTCCTTCATTTATTTTTTATTTCAACGAAAAAGTTTTTTTTTAGATTTTTTTTGCACACATTCTTATTGAAAAACTCACTCTCACTAAAAGATCATCAAAATGAGCAGCACATGCCCCATTGATGGTAGTGTCAAAATGATGTTTACAGATAAGAGTGTGTTGTTGATATTTTTTCCGCCTGAACGTGAAACTGTTTCCCATGGCCTTCGATGTTTTCAAGGCTGCACACAGCATGTTCTCAGCCTCAATCACTAGTTTTCACTGAATATTACAAGAAGCAACAATGAATGGTGCCAATCACAGCTTCTTTGACAGATATGTCATTTTCCCTTTAAGACTATGTCCAATATACGATACCATGTCACTTGCCACTACAGTAATGTTTCATTTATTAACTCTTTCGTCACAACTATTTCAATTGATCAAAACTGACAAATGATTTGAAGCACTTATTTTGGCATGTTGAATTTGATTACTGTGTTCCTAGAACCTCCGGTGTCCAGCCACTGCACTTCCAGAAACAGCTGGAATTTTCTCACTTTGGCAACGTAATGATTTTTGACAGACCTTTTTGACAGACTCCCGGCGTAGGGTATCAAACAGGGCATGTGCCTGGTTAATCTCCCTGCCTTCTCTCTTGTTGTTCTTCCTTCCTTCCTTTGTGCAACCAATGTGAGCGCGTTGCTGGGAATACGTGCCGCTTGTGCTTATGCTTCAGTAACATCAAAGTTCAGAAATCAAGTGAGCTTTTGCAAGTCGAATATGAAATTAAAAGTGTCAGCTTTGCAATATGACAGTGTTGTGCAGTAATAATTACCCAAAATGTAAATGACAATGCTGCATGTACATGCACTAAAGGGCTGTTATTGGAAGTCAGGGAAGAATTATTCTACTAAAACTTACTTCCGAAGGTCCACTGCACGTATATTGTCTGGAGTTTTTCAGCAGTTCTGATTTCGCCCGCGATCCTACCCACATAAAATGGGGGTGGAATCCTTATGAACCCCAATAAAAGTTTTTCATCCACCATCCATCCATCTGATTTTGCTTCTCTTGATAAATCCTGACAGGGGGCCGTATCCGGTGTAATTAGTGACTTCCATGGTTGTGACATCACGCGCGCAGGGGCGTGTGCAACGTTCGAAACTACCTTGCGACTGCAGCAGAGGGACGAAAACATGCACGAGGTTTGAGTCCAAAGACAACAGCGCCTCAGCTTCAAGGGCTAACGGCGATGATATTTTGCACATTCGCTCAGGGGTTAGTTTCATTCACGGCCTCAAGTGATTCCTCCGCCATGCCTACACAGCTGCCGGCCTTTGTAAGCAATCTTAGGGCTATTCTGGTTACGTGTATGGTCCCCATTTCATTCGGGTGCTATACCCTGGCCGCGGCCACAAAGCTTCTTTTCCCGCCAGAAAGATAGAAGAGCTTGGCTCTGCACTTGAGAGCAATGTGAGTGATTTTACAAATGTGCGTGATTTAGTTCCCCTCCTCTCTCGCAGCAGAGGTGACCATAGAATGTGCAAGCGAACAAATAAATATTCTCGGTTGCATTTTGTAATGCCAACATATGCGGAGAGAAATGGCTCATGGAGAGAGGTGAAATGCCAGACAAACTAGTGAAGTTCACTGGACTTCTGATTTATATAGGCATTGTTCACATCTCAGCCATCCATCTACAATGTAACACCAGCACATTTTTGCCATAAAAGAAAGAAAACAACTAACAGTACTTGTACGAAAGGTGCACGAATGCACCTTTGTCTCACTGACACCAGGAAATGCTTTTCCGCATGGCACGAGCAACAAAACCAGTACCTCCATTTCACGTTTTTTTTTCTCGCATCATATGGGCAGCATTGTGTAGAGTATATATTGTTTTTTGTACTATTCTCGAGCAATTTATCGTCAAAATGTATATGTTGATTTTCATTTGTTTTGAATGTTTTTTAATATATAGTGCTTTTTATTGCTGTGTTTTTCAAATGGCAACTTTAGGTTACACTTTCAGATTTTTATATATTCATGATATTTTTTTGCTTAACAAGTTATGCTTTTTGGAAAGCGCATTTCATTATGCACGATTTCGTATGTTGCAATGCGTGCTGGAGTCTCTTCTATACTGACAAACAATTTATTCACAGGACCTATGAAAAATGGCCGTTTTCCGTGGTAACTAAAAAGATAAGACCTTTTTGTAAAAGCTTGTGAGAAATCATAGATGCCACAACACCGCCTGTTCAAATCACATATCAAAGCAATGAAGTCGTGTGTCACATTACAGCACTGGCAGCCTTTTATGAGGTCAGTTTTCAAGCTGCCAGCACGATGCCAACACAGTTAACTGCTATATTGACATGCTGTATTGAGTATTAGAAACTATGCTCCTGTATACGTTCTTAGAATCAAGTTTATGGGGAATTTCACATGTGAAACATTTCTTTGCTTACTGCAAACTCTTTTGGTGTCTGTCTGTCTTCTAGCTGCTTACGTCTAGGCGCTCTCGTGATCACTGCCTTAACTTGGCGTGAACCGAAATTAGTATCAGAGGGCGAGATGGTTTCACGAATAAGACTTGCGAGTCAAGATTTGAATAATGTCACCATCCCGTCGCGTTTGTCGTCGAACACTTTTCGCCTGACAGTGGCACATACTCGGGGGTGGGTATGTGCCACTGGTATGCGGATATGTGATGCAGGTTATTGACACTTCGTATCTACCCAAGAATGACGACAACACACATGGGTAATTTTAGCACATAAGCGTTAAGATAAAGCTAACACTGGCAGCGTTGACCACACAAATGCAAAGAATAAAATGTCAGGGTCGCAGCAGGAATCGAACTCCAGCATTCTGGGTGGCAATCAAGTATTTTATCACAGAGCCAAGTCAGGTCACAGCACTACTTTTCAAATAGGCCCTTATGTTTGTGAAACGTCAATTGTGGTTGCAGTGTTTTCTATCCATTTTTATAAACATTACAAATGTACTCCTACGTACAACCGTCACGTGGGCTCAACGTCAATTTCAGTTAGATGCCATCCAGTGAAGCTGATTTATGTAGCAGTGTCCAGGGCTACCTTCCCCACGAGAACCAGCGCTTCACATCAGCTTATCACGTCTGGTGTTCTGGGTTCAAACATACTCCAGCATTCTGGGTTCAAACATACTTTTTGTTTGTTTTTCTGATGCTACAAAATTTTACGTGCACTTTTTCCTATTCTTATCCAGTCTACACTACAATATCTAAGATCTCGAAAATGCAGAAATGTAAAACAAATAAATGTATAATGGGAGAGAGACCAACTCTCAATGGAAATGCCTAAAAGATTCTGGCAAACTTCAGAAAAATAAAGTGCAACAACTAGATGAATAAAAATGATGTGCACAGTGTAAAGTACATTGTGCACACCATTCTTCTAAACCCAATGAAGAAGAACTTAGTAAAACCATGCCCCACCAAGAATGCTGTAATGCTTGGCAATGATATACAACAAAGGGGTGCAGCAAAAAAACGCACGTGTGTGTTTTTCTACTTCACCATCAGATCACATCTACCAAAAGGGCAGCTTGTACAACCTTGCAGAAAAGAGGGAGCATGTTGTAGAGTTGCTGCTCTTGTTGTTGCTGGGTGAGCGGGTGGGTAGGGTGCGAGAGCTCAGCAAAGAGCTTGTGCAGATGCATCAAGCCCAGAGCCGTGTGCTGCGAACTCTGTGCTCCATCCTCGGCGGCGCCCGCAGCTCGGCCCTGGTGGCCCACCAGCAGCTTGCGCATTATGTTCATCTTGGAAGGTTAAGATGGTTGCGCTGCCTCCACAGCTTCAGCCTGCAGAATCAACAGGGCAGGCACAAATTCAGCACAAGGTTGCGAGAGCATGTTAAACTTTGTTGCTTTTTAATCCATACTTGGTACCATTTATAGTAACATGACGATGCACATAACGAGTCACACTGGCTTTGTTTAGCTAGGACTGCTCATGGCTCCATTTTACTAGCCTTTATACATTCTCACTCCTTAGGCAAGTTTCATGCCCTGTGTACGCTTAATTGAATAGCTATAATAGAGAGTTTTCAAATAGCGTTTGTTCCCCGCAAATTATGACACATGGTGACGTCACGGCAAAGGGAATTTGCAGGCCAAACGCTATTTTGAATTTTCTGCAGGCGTACCGCAAACGCTAACGGCGGTTAGCATTAAGACGCATGCGCAGTGGCAGCGACCGCATAGGATAGCGTACGCAAAGCCTTGGGTACGCTATTACTAAATTCCTAAAGGAAAAAGTAGAATGCAAAAATACACAAGCATGATTACTCAAGGCACAAGATGGTACTGAACGGCAACAGCAGCTGTACATAGGTTCGACATCATGCTTAAACACGGAACCAAAAGTGCGTAACAGAATTTTAAACAGGAGTAACAGCAATTGCTGCACCTGATGCCTGACTAAAAAAGCAAGACAGCAAATGGAAAGGTGAACAATTTTATTGCCTTCATTGTCGGCTCAAACAAAACATAATTAATATAACCAAGTTGATGTTAGATAAAACAATTCATGAACACTAACTCAAGAATATTACACATTTACTTACTTAATTCAGGAGTGACTAGAGGTACACCTACAAATTGAAATCAACGTGACAGGAAAAACAAAAACAGGTAAAGCTTCCAAGCAAACATTGCTACAAAGTACATGCATGACATAAATTGGGATGACTGCTCATAAAAAGGCAAACAGTTAGCATGAATAGTGAGGTCAAACAGCTGATAAAATCAGCTATCTTTACTATCTTATAGGGACATACCACAGGCCATGTATAGTCCCAACTGATGCGGTAAGAAAATATGGTGCTCTATGAACAGTAATATGGTATTTTTTTCAGTATATGTACCAGTAAGAAACATTATGAAAGCATGACCAGAAACCAGGAAATGTTTCACATATATATATATATCGTAAAGTGAGTCAGAAAGAAAAAGTACGCACGAAAATATGCTCAAAAATTTGTAACAAGTTCTGTAATGTGAATGAGAAAGGTATCATTATGAAAAGCCCGAAGCTGAGCAAACATATGCATTGAAAGTAATAGTCATTACTTTGTCATTAAACAAAATATTTTTAAAAGGAAGTAAAATGGTCATAACCAACAATGCCATGCAAATACCATTACTCCAAACATGGTACCTCTGCACAAGTTTTAATAAGCACAAGTAAACAAACATGACAGAATAATAAGCACATAGGGCATTGCCTTAATAGAAACAGCAGGGCGCTGGCCACAGATCAGAATGTTGATCTTAGCTATTTCGCTGAAAATCAGATGCAATGTATATTTCTGAATTAACTGCTCACTCCCAACTTCTAGTTCACATATAAGAAAAAGGTTAATTTCCACTATACATGCAATATGAAACATTTGCACATATACATAAATGCAATCACAAACTCCAAAATGTGCATACTGCTACAATGCACGGTTCATAAAGTGTGTCAAAATAACCTCATTTTCATACTCAAATAGTTCATTTGTAGGCCAAAACTAACGCAGTATAATAAACCAATTGTACCATACAAATGCATTCCTACAAGTTTTATTGGTCACATTACTCGAGGGCTTTCAGTAGTACAATTAACCGCAAAAGCAGGTCCAAGATTATTATTTATAATGCGCATTTAAGAGCCGAATGTTGCCCAGCTCGTTAGAGCATCGACAAACGAAAGTGCGTCGTCAATTGGTGATCGCTATTCATACAACGATAAAGCGCAATACTACGCGGCGGCCCTCTGTGCTTAGCGAGCATGCCACGCTGCTCTGTCCCACCCACACCCCATACGGCAGCGACAAGTTGGCAGTCACTAAACTATCTGTTGTGGTTTGCTCGAAACCGATCGTAGCTGTCAACTCAGAATAGAATGGACGTTATTATATCACAATGGAAAGAACAGGTGTTCCCCTATTGCGTAACCGAGTGCTGTTTTTAAACGAGCCCGTTTTAAGTTTCATTCGCTCAAAAAAGTACGATGGGCGTCGCTTTACGCAAGGCCGAGCGGGCCTTCACGCCAGAGAATTCTCCACGTGCATACAAGCATGATAGCAACAAGCGGGTTCATTCATTTATCGTTCGCGGAAAAGAGCTGTCCTACGTCCGCAACGGCAACATTCACGAGAACAAGGAGCAACCAGATCTCCCACGCAGGGAACTAATTCGCAATCCCCACGAATATGCGCACAAGTGCTGAGGACGAAGATGAACCGATGATCCAATAAAAACCTATGGGTTCCCTTGGTACGCGCTCGAAATGAATCAAGCAACCGCAATGAGAGCTATGATATCGTTTCGGATGTAACAGCAACACCATTGATCGCATTCAGCGCAGGCTCTTTACGGCAGCGACGACTGATGTCCGCACACCGGCTCATCTCAAGCACAAAGCAGTGATCGAAAAGTCACCATACTTACTGGAAACAGCTGTAGCTCGCCCAGACACCGTCGCGTAGGCCTACATTTCACTAACGATCATGCATGCACCAACATTAACCTGACGACAGACACTTCTGCGAAGTTCCGTGTGCACGAGCTCCTAAAGGGGCTACTTCTTAAAACTACGAATCCCATCTTTCCTCGCTTCGTCGCTCATTCCATCCATTGCTATCAACGTGAAGTACAGCAATGCCAAATTACGGATCAAATTACTAGTTCTACATCTCACAAGACATGAGCTGCAGCAGCTAGCAGGCAACTACACCAACTCGATGCGAATATCGCTTGGATTGGCTAGCATCTATTGATTGGCTCGATCCAAACAGCGCGACCAGGCGCTACTAGCGCTGCTACATGACTGGTCGAGCCATTAAGCGCGGGAAGTTTGAGTTTCATCTCTGCTGACGTGTGAATTCTCGCTATTGAAATAATAATGGCGAGGAATAGAGCACATCGGTCCGATTACGAAAGATATTGGCTGTTCCAACCATTCTTATACTCACACTTCTGCATTAATCGTGATTCTCAAGCTTGGTCCTCTCGGGTTGAGTTCGTTTGGCGCTGGCCTTTTTGTCTTGTCCTTGTTTTTGTTTTCTGGCTTTCTCGTTGGTCTTCCCTTAGCTGCTCATCTTTTGTTATTTTATACCCCAAGATCCGTACAATAACACAGAGGTAGCCTCCACGATCGCAATAGTTATGGTGACATGCTTTTGTACTTCACTGTCCTATTTTAAATTGATCCTGAACCACTTTTCCAATTGTAATCATCGAATTATCTCAATATTGAATATGACCTGACGAATTTATTGCCGTAAAAAAATCTTGAATCTGCCTAGAACAATCGGAGTTGCATGAATTTGTCGCACATTTTTCAGTCCTTTCTCTTTTTTCTCGTACCGACTAGCGCGATGGAAGCTACACGGGGAGGGGGATAACGCGGGGAAATGAAGCTACGTCCCCGTTCGTCATAACCTGGTGCGCACGCGACGAAACGCGATCCGTTAGGATTCCTGTGCGAGCTAGTGTAAGGTACACCAGCTGTATACTGTGCAGACTAGAGCACTGCACGGGCCTAATTTTTCGGCCTGAACCCGCATTAAAAAGCCCGAGCCCAGCTCAGGCCCGTGGTTCCAAGCCTGAGCCCGGCCAACAACCCCTAAATTTGACAAGGCCTGCGCCCAGCGTGCAGCGACGTCAGCTACGTCAAGACGCGCCGACTGGCCGGCTCCTACACAACACCGTGTCCTACACAGTTGCAACGCGCGGTGCACTGTGGCGTAGAAGTGTGGAAGCTTGGGCTAGTTGGTATGGCATGACGATAGTTATAGCGCGAGAACAAAACGACGACACAGAGACACGAAGGACACGAGCGCTAACTTCCAACTGAGTTTATTGCGCAGAGCACGAAAATATATGGAGGAGACAGTAACCATGTGATAAAAACCATATGGCACAAAGAGCAGAACATGAGTAAGAGAAAAACAAAGACAAAAAACACAAAAACAAAAGCACAGAAAAACGGCAAAGAAAAATCTATAAGAAAACGAAACAGAAAGGTAAAGAAAATATAACTACCTGCGCGCACCGAAACCTTCGAGGAACGTGAGTTCCTTCTCGGACAGAGCCACGGAGGGCTTGCTGATACAAGGCACGGGTTTCTCCTAGGCGTTTATCGCTTCTGTTGCTGAGACTATCCTGAGGACTAATAAGGCAGAGCAGAGGCAGCGACAGAATCTGAGCAACATGGATACAGAGCGTGAAAGGATAGCCGTGATTCCATACAGACACCAGATATCACACAGGCTCAAGAAAATCGGAAAACGTGTTGGAGTTCGTGTCCTGTTCTCGGCACCGTTCAAATTAATCAGCCTCACCAAATCTACAAACACCCTGAAAACGTAGTCATCAACGGAATGCAGAGTTCAACATAGAAACAGGTATGCGGCCTGCTCCCGGGAAGTTGTCTACAGGACCGCCCTTTCATGCGGTGCTTGTTATGTCGGAACGACCGGAAGGTGTCTGAATGATTGGCTGAGAGAACACGCTAACAATGTTAGAAACGGGAAAGATGGTTTTCTTGCTCAGCACTCCACTGGGTGCAATTGTGCGCCTATTTTCAAGGACACAGCGACGCTGTACAAGCACAGAGATGAGCGCACCCGAGTCATTGTCGAGGCCGCGCAGATGGCACGCGAACAGGTGCCTTGTATTAGCAAGCCCTCCGTGGCTCTGTCCGAGAAGGAACTCAGGTTCCTCGAAGGTTTCGGTGCGCGCAAGTAGTTATATTATCTTTACTTTTCTGTTTCATTTTTTTATAAATTTTTCTGTGCTTTAGTTTTTTGTCTTTCTTTTTCTCTTACTCATGTTCTGCTCTTTGTGCCATAAGGTTTTTATCACATGGTTACTGTCTCCTCTATATATTTTCGTGCTCTGCGCAATAAACTCAGTTGGAAGTTAGCGCTCCTGTCTTTCGTGTCCTTCTTGTCTCTGTGTCGTCGTTTTGTTCTCGCGCTATAACTATCGGCATTGTGGCGGCCGGAGCGGGCCAACAGGCCACGCAACAATGGCAAGACTCGCGATGCACGGAGCGCGTTCCGAAGCACGGGGGATTCTGCCCGGTTTTTCAAATAAGTGTGACGTAGCATTTATTTCCTTTTCTCTAAAAAGAGCTCTGCCCCTTTTGTGTCCCGCTCCAGCCTTTAATATTAGCTAATAAACTATAGCATGGGGAATTGCCCGATCGCGACTGGTGTACTGAAATACTGAAATGTAGAAGATACTGAAATACAGCCGTCAGACAGTAAGAAGCATTTATTGCTCCAAGTATTTTTTTATCGAGGACGTCCAATTCGCGCAACAATCTACCCCTTCATTAAAATATACTTGTATCACAACAGCACTGTGTAGAACACCTTTCAATCATTCACAGTGTTTAAGTGACTACATCACCACACAGTAACAAGATATTCAAAACGGCCAAATGTGCAAAGAAACACCATACAGTTAGGATACTGAAGTCCAGTGTTTCTCTGTAGCAGAATTCGGTTAACATCCTTTAATTAGGCAAAGAGGTATTCAAATACGAAGTGGCCATATATGCAAAAGTTTAACAATTTTGGCCCCGCCGCGGTGGTCTAGTGGCTAAGGTACTTGGCTGCTGACCCGCAGGTCACGGGTTCAAATCCCGGCTGCGGCGGCTGCATTTCCGATGGAGGCGGAAATGATGTAGGCCCGTGTGCTCAGATTTGGGCGCACGTTAAAGAACCCCGGGTGGTCGAAATTTCCGAAGCCCTCCACTACGGTGTCTCTCACAATCACATGGTGGTTTTGGGACGTTGAACCTCCCACAAATCAATCAATTAACAATTTTCTGCAGCAAAAGATACACAGGGATCATTTATTATACAATCAGTGTTTTTGTATTGTCAGGGTGACATTCAAGCATTCCAAACTATTCAATTTTCAAACACACGTTTAGTACTCTGAAATTAAAATGCATAAGTTTCCACACCCTCCCAAAAAATATTAAATGGTCAATATATGCTTAAACCTTGAGGCTACTCAAGTGCACACAAGTAAATATTTTAGTTTCCGTAGTGCATATGCAGTACACATAACTTAATCAAAGAAGCAACAAGCAAAGGTAACTACTTCATCATGCATTCCTTACATCCAGACCACATGAAAAGTATCTGTAGTACTTCACAGGAAGGCTTTAAGATGATCATTTCTTGATAAATATGCGAGCTTTCCCATTTTGGAGGCTCGTCTATGCTACCATCAACTTTCCCAAATAATTCACATATAACAAACAAGTTCTCCCACATTTTTTCCCATTAGAAACGTCGCTCAAATTTTCCAAAATTACGAACAATGCACTCACTTCATTAACGTGTTCAGGTACAACGCTGTTTCCAAGCCTCTTTACAGAGGCTCCTTGGAAGCATGCGCTGACCCGCATTTCGCCAAACGCAGTGAATGATGAAACCAGGCATGGTTCACACTCACTAACGATGTATGAAAACATCGCAAACTTTTCCTTGTAGATAGCTGTCAAAGGTTCAGGCACTGACGCTGCTCGGAGACACTTTTTCATCTGTTATCCATGCACAGGTGGCAACTCCATGGGAGAAATAAATTGAACATACTCATAAGGAAAATCATCAAGAACGTTCTTGGCCTTCCTATGCGCACAAGCACTGAAAACCTTATGAAAGTTGGAGTCCACAACACGCTTAAAGAAGTTATCGAGGCTCAACAAACGGCACAGGATACCAGGCTTTCGATCACACCAGCGGGGAGAAAGGTCCTGGTTGACACTGGAGTCAAAGCCCTGAGGCCCCAAGTGCAAAATGCGCCACTGGACGATTATATACGTTCTCGCATTAAAGTGTATCCCCTTACACGAAATATGCACCCACAGTACAACGTGGGCAGACGTGTCGCTCGAGCCTCCTTTCTTTTAGCTCAAGCTCACACCCACTCATCTGTTTCATGCTTTGTTGATGCCGCCCAGTATTCATTTTATTTATTTATGCCATACTCACTGCGCCACATATGGCATTAGAGTGGAGGGGAATAAGCAAAAAAAAAAAAAACTTCAAAGCATAGTTAGTAGCAATCTGTAGGATCACCAAGGGAATATACATAAACACCTATACATAAAGATAAACAGAGTACACTATAGTGCACGATAGTGAATCAATGTACAAACAAAGGATAAAGAAACAAGATTAAAAGTACACAAGCATACATATAAATAATTTAACAATGAAGTGTACTATAGATAAAAAAGATAACTACATGAAAACTAATGCACAATACAGGAAATCACAAGTACAAGCATACAGTAGGCCTCACCAGAAGTATAGCATGAGGGAACTGCAACTGTAACACAAGAAAAATTATTTTAGCACAGCGTAAAATATGTCATTAGACGATATATTTCCGGCAGACCTGTCTAATTGATTCCAGTCCCGTATTGTTCTAGAAAAAAAAACTTGCTAAAAGAGTGTGTTTTGCCAGGGTAATACAAAACCTTGTTCTCGTGGTCAACCCTAAGGGAATAGTAGTAACGTGCATTTATGTAAAGATGTCTATCAATACCAACTTTTGAATGAAATAAGTGTGGAAGTACTTCCAGTGAAGTCTTAGTCTTCGACAATCTAGCGTATACCATTGCAATAATTCTTTCGCGCAGGTAGGACTGGAGTTTCTGTCATAACGTCCACAGACAAATCGAGTACGGCGTTTCCGCTCACTTTGCAGTAGTATCCGT